AAAAGGAAATTTTTTGGAAACAGCAAGCCAAAGAGTTCTGGTTACGGGAAGGTGATGCTAATACCTGTTTCTTCCATAGAAGAGCTTCAGCCCGACAGCAACATAATCGAATTTCTTCCTTGAGAGATGAATCTGGAAATTGGTGTCCCTTGAACTCCGGGTTAGAAGATCTAATGGTACATTATTTTACTAATGTGTTTGCTTCCCAAAACTGCACCTCTACGTTGGTTTCCGATCTTACCCAGTCGGTTATCACTGAGGAGCAAAATGAGTTCTTGTTAGCTCCTTACTCAATTGAGGATGTTCAGGCAGTAGTGTTTGACATGAAGGCCGACAAAGCCCCAGGACTTGACGGGTTCAATCCTGGTATCTACCAAGGCTTCTGGGGCATTATAGGTAACGATATTGCTCAGAACTGTATAGAGATAATTCACAGCGAGTGTATTCCTGATCATTTGAATGTGACTGGTTTGGTTTTGATTCCTAAGAACTCATCCCCCACATCTATGATTGATTTGAGACCGATTTCCCTTTGCAATGTTCTGTTAAAAATCATTACTAAGATGCTTGCAAATCGTCTTCGCACTATTCTTCCTCTTCTGATTTCGGAAAGCCAGAGTGCCTTTGTTGCGGGTAGGAGTATTCAAGATAACTGTATTGTTGCTTTCGAAGCTTTACATGCATTTCATAGGAAGACTACGGGTTCTGGTTTTTCTGCAGCTGTCAAAATGGACATCAGCAAAGCATACGATAGAATGGAGTGGTCCTTTCTTCATCAGATATTAACTAAGTTGGGTTTTCATGCTCTATGGATTAATCTTATCATGTCTAGTCTCACTTCGGTCAAGTACTGGATTTTGCAGAATAACAGAGAGATTGGGCCCATTATCCCCACTCGGGGTTTACGACAGGGAGACCCTCTATCCCCGTACTTGTTCATCATCTGTGCTGAAGGTTTATCAAACATGATTCGGCTGTCTATTCAAAATGGTACTCTAAGTGGTTTTCGGGTTTGTCGGGGTGGACCATTAATTTCTCATCTATTTTTCGCTAATGACAGTTTGGTGTTTTTGAAGGTTTCAGTTCAGGAATCACAATCTCTCAAACATCTTTTGGCTATGTATGCGGCAGAATCAGGGCAGCAGATAAATTTCACTAAGTCTTCCATTACTTTTACCGCTAATACACCTCGGCAATTCGGAAATCAAATATGTTCCTTACTTCAGGTTACGGAAAAGGATACATTAGGTACTTACTTAGGTTTACCGTCCCATATGGGTCGGAATAGGAAGGAGGTTTTCAGTTACATTAAGGACCGTATGTGGAAGTGTTTAAATTCGTGGGAGCTCAAGTCTCTCTCCCGTGCGGGACGAGAAATCCTGTTAAAAACGGTTCTTCATGCTTTACCTAATTATCTTATGAGTCTGTTCTTATTACCCAAGACTTTATGTATGGAATTGGAACGTATCATGAATCAGTTTTGGTGGGGAAGTGGGCGAAATTATTCTCAAGGCATTCATTGGCTAGCTTGGAACAGAATGGCTATCCCGAAGGTGTTCGGAGGGCTAGGATTTCGAAAAATTCATGAATTTAATATAGCTCTTCTAAGTAAACAAGGCTGGAAACTCATGGTAAGCCCAGATTCATTGGCTGCACGAATTTTGAAAGCAAAGTATTTCCCGCATTGTAGCTTTCTGGAAGCTGATCTCGGCTCAAATCCAAGCTATGTTTGGCGCAACATTTGGGGGGTCTAAGAGTTTGCTTCAAAAGGGCTTATATTTGCGGGTTGGTAGTGGCTCCAACATATCTATTTGGGATTCTCCTTGGCTGTGTGACGAAGAGTGTTCTTTTATCTCTACTCCTAGACCACACGACAGTAATGCTTTCCTAGTTTCGGATCTTATTGTGCAACGAAGATGGGATGTTGAGCGGATTCATCGATTATTCAACGAAAGAGATGTTGCTTGTATTCTCTCTATTCCTTTAAGTAATCACATGGGAGATGATCGGGTTTGCTGGAAATTTGACACAAAAGATACATACACAGTTAAGAGTGCTCACAGGTTACTTCTGCATAATCCTCTTGCGTCCCAATTTATGTCTACTATCAGTTGGTCTCAGCTGTGGAAGATGAAGATTCCACCCAAAGTTACTAATTTTATTTGGCGTGCAGCATGTGATGTTCTACCTTGTAGGCGAAATTTATGTTCTCGGAAGGTGGACATTCAAGATATTTGCCCTCTATGTCTTGGACATTCTGAAACTAATCTTCTTGTTCTTATCAATTGCCCTTTTTCAAGACAAGTTTGGACTCTATCCCATATTGGCTTTCGGTGGTCTTCGGCTTTGTCTTTTGGGGAGTGGTTTCAGCAAGCCTCAACATCATTGACCTTGGAGAATTTGAGTTATGTTTCTATGGTGTGTTGGGCATTATGGGTCAACAGGAATGATATGGTCTGGTGTCAAAAAAGCAGGAATCCTAGGGCGATAATTTTACTAGCTACGGGAGTTTGGCACGCATGGAAGGAAGCTAAGCTTCTAGGGCGATAATTTTACTAGCTACGGGAGTTTGGCACGCATGGAAGGAAGCTAAGCTTCATGGTTTGGGTGCTCCTTCTCCAGTAACCTCTAATCATACATGGAGTCCACCCCCGTTCAACTGGTTAAAGGTGAACACGGATGCTTCAACTGGAGTGGCTTATGGTTATGTGGATATTGGCACAGTAGTTAGGAATTCAGCCTCTGAGTTTATTACTGGCAAAGCGTGGAGATTTCCGGGATTTTTCAATGCTAAGGTGGTTGAGGCCATAGCCGTAAGAGAAGCTTTAAGCTGGACTAAGGATCACGAATGGAATTATATTTTGTTGGAAACCGATTCTCAGTCAGTTGCAAATGTCATTAACAATGTTACTACGAATGACTCGTCTGCTTTTGGTTTGATAATTCAGGACTGCAAATCTCTTTTATCTGAGATACCAGTCGCAAAATGTAATTTTGTTTATAGGTCTGCGAATGTAGCTGCACATTCCGAAGCAGGCTTAGGGGATTGGAATTCTGTACCACCTCCTGTTCTACTTGATTTCTTGATTTCGTAATAAAGTTTCTCATTTTAAATTCAAAAAAAAAAAAAAAAAAAATCTACTTGATTCTTGATTTCGATAAAATAATGAGTTTTCTCAAAGTGTTTTAAATCTTCAAATAAATACAAAAAAAAAAAATTACAGCACGATGCAGCCAAATATGAAATTATAAGTAAATTTCTAGCCTTTGGGGAAAGTAAAAAGGATATTTGCTCTCTTCTTCCTCTTTCCGATCAAAATAGGAATATATATATATGAAAAAATATTAAATTAGACAGTAAAGATTTAGTGTCGTTTCAAATATTTAATATAACTCGTTTCTTCCGCATTGTTCTCAATTCATTTACCTCGAATTATATTCTGATTTAAAAGTTTTTCTGGTTTAAAGTTAGAATGTCAATGTTTTACCCTCACCTTTTTATTCGTTAAATTTTCATATTCTTGCCACCCAACTGCCATCAGTAAAACTCAAACTAGGTAAAACTCCAACAAAAGGAGAAAAAAATACAAAAATGTAACCCAATTAATTTTCTAGAGAACAGTAGCAAATGAGAATAATTAGATCAAGTTACTGAAATCAATAATCCTATACGCCAATTTTGTTCAAAAGAAAGATCAAATTTGAGTTGGGACAGAAGCCAAAACCAAACACGAAATTAGAGAAGTAAATAAACAATTCAACCCTTTGTTGATTTTGCATATTCCTTTTCCCATAATGCGCATGTACCATAAACTATCACTTAAGTGAGATTATTGAAAAATTTTTTTTTTTTTTTTTAATAAAATCATAGTCAGATTTCATGGAACTTGGAATTAAATTGAAAAAAAAAAAAAAAAAAAAAACATGCACGATGCAGCCAAATATGAAATTATATTTCTAGCCTTTGGGAAGTAAAGGTTTTGCTCTCTTCTTTCTTTCCATCAAGGAAAAAAAAAAATATTAAATTAGACAAGTAAAGACTAGTGTTTTCAAATATTAATATAATCGTTCTTCTGTTCTCAATTCATTTAACTCGAATTTATTCTATTAAGTTTCTTGTTTAAGTTAGAATGTCAATTTTACCCTCATTTTATTTGTAAATTTTCATATTCTTGCCACCACTGCCATCATAAACTCAACTAGTAAAACTCCAAAAAAGAGAAAAAAATACAATAAAACCCATAAATTTTCAGAAAGTAGCAAATAGAATAATTAGATCCAAGTTACTGAAATCAATAATCCTATGCCAATTTTGTCAAAAAGAAAACAAATTATTTGGGACAGAAGCAAAACCAAACACGAAATTAGAGGAAGTAAATAACAATTCACCCTTTGTTGATTTGCATATTCCTTTCCAATGCGATGACCATAAACATACACTTAAATGATTATAAAATTTTTTTTTTTTTTTAAAAAAATCAGATTTCATGGAACTTGGAATTAAATGAAATTCCCAACTACTATGGATTTTCTTATATGAATTTCAGAATGCCAACGAAACTATATACAAAACATGTAAACCTCTGATTATCTGCATTGTAGATTCCTTTGTTGGGATCCAACAAGGAGTTTAGATTTGTTCCTTCACTTTGTCTCCCTGGCAACAATCTGCAAGAATTCAAGAAGTTTGATCTCCTGCTGATCCAGATATCTTCATTCTGCATTGCCACCAATTTTATCATGAGATTTTACAACGGTAGCCATCAAACAATGCAAATTCAAATGGAACCTGAACTAAGTTGTGCATATTTATGTCTATATGCATGCACAAAGAATATAGAGTTCTACCCCAGAAAATGATTAGAACATGCTTATATGTGTCCATATCCAGTGATTAGAACTTGAACTCTCTACTTCATGGTAACAAAAAATCCCATGAAACTCAGAATGTCAGATGGACCTCAAATTCTTTGTAGTCTGAATATTCCCAAAATTAACTGAATCAGGTTATTCTACTGCATTGTTGGAAATGAGTTTCAAAACCTTTTGTAGAATTCATTTTGAGTGTCGTGTTTGATATGAATAAAAATATTCACTTACTACATTGTATTAAAATTTTGCGGAATTCAACACAACTATAACAAAATTCTACCATTTGAGAATGAATTCTATTCTTCAAATTCATTTGTACCAAAGGATGGGTATGAGTTACTAGAGGAAAGGAACAAATTCACAAACCAATACATCGAAAAACATGCAACTAGAAGTAATAGCTTGTCTAAGGTGACAGATCCTTGTTCTTTCTGTTGGAGGCAATTTCCTTTAGCAAAAACTACAAAAAATAGAACCCAACTGAAAAAATACAAAAAAACCCCTAAACTCCAGTAGTAATAAGAAGTTACCAAGAAAGTACTCTTAGCTAAAAACATTTAAGAGTACTCTGCATTTTCATTTTTCATGCCTTGAGTAATTTCATTATGAAAATCAGATGGGAAAGGAAATTAGAGCAAAAAAGGCCTGCTGTAGAGACACCTAATAGTTATGGACAGCTAAAAGTTGAAATTGACACTTCAGTTTCAAAGGTACATTTTTTGGGCGAATGATCACTAAAATTTGCGCCAAATATAGACTTAAAATGCTGCAAGACTGAAATTGATAAGATTCACACAAATAAAAACAGATTTTTGAACGACTGAACCAAATAATTAAGAAATAATAGGAATTGAACAGATTATATTACCCAGCAGCAGAATTTCTTGCATTAATGGAGTTGTAATATCTGGAAAAGCGACGGGTCTTGGGTTTCGGTTTAACGGGCTTTTTACGCAAACCGAATATCTCTTGCACTAGAGGTACATGTACCAGCACCAGCTTCCATGCCAAAAGCCATCCTGCAATTATTTTACACCAAACGAAATCCTCAAATCAGCGCATAAAAAGTAAAATCAGACTAATCAAATAATAATTAAGTGGTTAACAGCGAAAAGATAGACAAACCCAGAGATATAAACAAAACCACAAAAGAAACAGCGATGATCGGACGCAGAATCAATACTACGAAATAATCCCAGTGCGAAAGCGGATGAGGAGAAGACTCCATTGCCAGAAGCTTGCTTCTTTATTTTATTTTTGCTTCTTGTCTTTCTTTTTGTTGGCGTTTCGCGGGCTGCGTCGGTATGGGCTTTGGTCCAAAAATAAAATATTTATTGGGCCCACAACGCGCTGTACGCCACTGGCGTGGCCCAGTCATCAATTTCCAAGTCAGTCAAAGAAAGAACTAGAATAAAAAATTGAAAAAGCAAGCCAGTCCAGGTGGTCGTACCCTAGTGAACCTAACTGTTATTCCGTCCAAGTTAGAGACTGCCACGTGTAATAATAAAAACGATCGCGTTACAGGCTATTGCCGGTTACCCGCCCACCCTCCGAAGAAACAATATTCCATCCAGGTTCATCCCCCTCTTCTCTTTTATCAACGTATATGCTCGGGCTTCTTCTTTTTCTCAAATTAAAGGATTTTCGCAATAGCGAAGTGTTCTACTATCTTTGAATTAGGGTTTCAGTGTAATTTTGAAATTATATGGAAGCTTCTGCTTCTTCTTCCTCTTCAAACCCTAGAATTCGTTATTTTCGGTGTAACTGCTTCAGGCGTTGTTGTCGCTGCTTCTGTTGTTTCTACTCATATCCTTGAATTTAAAGTCTCTGATTTTTTTTTTTTCTATTTTCGATATAATTGTTGATTTGTGAGTGAGTTTGAAAAATGGATTTATCGCAAGCTCAATCTGGTCTGTCGCTTGGGTTTCATTCGCACTCAGCATCGAGTCCGATTCCGTTGCAATTACTTGACCAGAAAGAGGAGAATCCAGTAGAGAAAAATGAAAATCAGATTGAAGAAGAGGAGAATTTTAGCATTTTGGGACATCCAATGTGTATAAAGAGGCAAAGAGATGGTCAATCATCGTCTTCATCATCATCATCGCCGAATCCGCCTAAGCGCCCTGCTATTGAACCAGGGCTGGAGTGTCGACGAGCCATTGTCCGAGGCTGGGGGAACCAGCCACTTCCTTTGGCAGACCCAGAAATTCATGAAATTATGGAGAAAGAGAAGCAGAGGCAGGTGAAAGGGATTGAACTTATAGCATCGGAGAATTTTGTTTGCCGTGCAGTGATGGAAGCTCTTGGTAGCCACTTGACAAATAAATACTCTGAAGGACTACCTGGAGCTAGGTATTATACGGGTAATCAGTTTATAGACCAAATTGAAGTGATGTGTTGCAATCGGGCGTTAGCAGCCTTTGGGCTTGATTCTGATAAATGGGGCGTCAATGTGCAGCCATATTCATGTACTTCTGCCAATTTTGCGGTTTACACAGGGCTTTTATTACCTGGAGATCGGATTATGGGTTTAGATTCACCTTCTGGTGGGCATTTGAGTCATGGATATTATACTCCAGGAGGTAAAAATGTGTCTGCTTCATCGATTTTCTTTGAGAGTTTGCCTTACAAAGTGAATCCTCATACTGGATATATTGATTATGATAAGATGGAGGATAAGGCCATGGATTTTAGACCCAAGATACTTATTTGTGGTGGCAGCTCATATCCAAGGGAGTGGGATTATGCCAGATTTAGGCAAGTTGCAGATAAGATTGGAGCAGTGTTGATGTGCGATATGGCTCATATCAGCGGTCTTGTGGCAGCGAAGGTTTGAAATTCTTTGAATTTTAATATGCTTTAATGTGGATATTTGGACTTATTGTTATTCAAGCGTCGTTCTATGATTGATGTTCTTGTATGTTCTAAATTCACTTTGTTCTTGTACGAAACTTTGGCGCTTTTTTCTGTTTTGAGAGGCAGTTACTAGAGCATAATTTCTTAGGGTTCCTAATTATTTACATTCTGATTAGTATGTATATTGGTTTAGAATTTGAAGCTACAGCATTGGCACTCTGCAAATGAGCGATCAATTGAACCACTTGTATTTTTAGTATGTAAATACAAATAAGTTATTTTGCAACTTTCTTGGATCCATATAGATTTATATCAGTGCTGGTAATTTATACTATAGTATAAATGGGGCTATAATGTAAAGGTTGTAGAATTTCCAAAATGCATTAGATTAATATACATTGTAGGAGTTAACTAAAATTTGAGAAATACATCTAAATGAGCTCAAACAAATAAAGGTGTTAAATAGATGGTTTGTGTAGTTACTATCAATCAACTTTAGTAAGACAAAGCAACAACAAAAGCGAGATCAGGCATCTAAGCTTAATCTAGAATTGGAATCAAATAGCATTTTATTGTTTTTGATGCGATTAATCTCATCTGCAATTGATGAATTATCAAGATCAATGTATCTAGAGTTAGATTTTAGACTAATGATCTAACAGTAGCTGGGTTATTGTATAATTTTTAACTAGCAGGTGTTGGGAAATTAACTTGTGGTGTAAAAAACGAGGTGCATGATGTAGTTTGATTTTGAAACAATGGTGCTAGGCTGCCATTTATTTTTCCTGAAACTTATGTATTAGAAATTTGCATAATGTTGTTGGTATTGAAAATGTTAGATACGATTGTGATCATTCATTTCTCTCTTGATCTCTCCACCCCTTTAGTTGCAGTTTGTTACTTGTGTTAAACTTTGAATTGAATGATTTACTATTTTTCTTTCTATGAATGTTTATACTACTTCCTCCATCCCATTTTGTTTGTATGGTTTGACAAAATACGCATATTAAGAATTTAGTCAACAAAAATTATTTTGTCATTGTTTACCCTTAACTCATTAAGATATTAATAAAAGTCATTCATTTAATGAACAATCATAAAGGTTATTATGAGAAAAATAATTGTTTAAGTATATAAATTTAAAAACTTTGCAAACATTTTGGGACATCCAAAAAAGGAATAACAAGTAAACAAAATGGGATGGAGGCAGTATTAATATTATATTGGTTTTACTATTTTCTTCACTTCAAAGTGCATGCATATGTATTTTTGCTACGTTCATTCTTTTTTTTTTTTTTTTTCCTTTTTTGAAAGGAACAATGTCTATATTCAGAAAACTACTTATCAAAAGGGAAAAAAAATTAAAATCCTTCATGCGAATAAAACAAGCCACTTGGTTTAAACCATGTAAAATGAATATTTTGCTGTTAACTTTCTTCTTACAATAACATTTGCTCTCCCCTTTAACAGGAATGTGCAAGTCCATTTGATTATTGTGATATTGTCACCTCCACGACTCACAAAAGTCTTCGAGGTCCTAGAGGAGGAATAATTTTTTACAGGAAAGGCCCAAAATCAAGGAAGCAAGGCATGCTTCTTAGTCATAATGATGGTACTAGCCATTATGATTTTGAAGAAAGGATAAACTTTGCCGTTCATCCATTGTTACAAGGTGGTCCTCACAACAATCACATTGCTGCTCTTGCCATAGCCTTAAAACAAGTAGCTACTCCAGAGTACAAAGCATACATGCAACAGGTGAAGAAAAATTCCCAGGCATTAGCATCTGCCTTGTTGAGAAGAAAATGCAGATTGGTGACTGGGGGCACTGACAACCATTTATTGCTCTGGGATCTAACTACTCTAGGCTTAGCAGGTTTGTGTAGATATAGAATTATATGCGTTTGCATGCATGTGTACTTGTTTGATGTTGACATGTTGTAATGTTATCTTTTGCTTGGGAGACTGAGTGGTTTTTTCTGTGTGGAAATATCATTGGTCAATAGTGGCTGACAAATGTTGGAACACTTATAAAGATGATTAGATGTGTGCTTCCACATTGTATAGAACTTAGGGAGCTTCTTGTGGAAGTCCATGCCACATCCCCTGTCAATATAGTGTAGTTTATGCAAGAAATTAGGAACCTTTTGAATGCATTTTGGAACTAGGGTCAGAATGGCATAAAATCTTTTTCTTTTTTAACTTTTCAGAAAAATCTTTTCTATTTAGACAAGAAAAGAATTGAACACAAAAGGATACACTCCTTTCCAAAGAGATGCGGAGAAAAAAAAAAAAGGGAAAAAGACTTTTCTTACCGAGAAAGAGTGTCTGCTGTTCTGTTTTCAATCGAATCCGCAGAGCAAAAACAAAGTATTTGCTTGCCAGAATCCAAATCTACTCTTGTTGAAGCGGTGTGGGAGAGAACTCTGTTCCAGATACATGCTTTACATACAGGATTAGCCTTTTTCTAATATTAGATATTTCCGAAATGGATGGACACTTGCTTTATAGCTTGATAGATTTGCTTGTCAATGACAACTGAATTCTTACAATGTTGTGAAGAGATCATTCTGTATCAAGCCTGACACTTGGAGGGTGTTTGATATATTGATGATTTGTTGACTGCTGTGGTTTTGTGCAAGGTCGCTAGCTAAGCTATAAAGAAACTCTATTTGATGAAGCATGTCATGAAATTGCTTTTCCATGTCAAATTGTTATTCTTTTTGCCCCTTTAGTGTCCTATGGATCAGCAATGTGCATCAATATGGAGTTACAGCAACTGCTATTTGTTCTCTGGATTATATATTCATGATGTATTTGTGGCTATCTGGAACAAATTCATCTCATAGTGCTATAATAATTTAATATCTTTTATTTTTTCCTTGTACTTTTCCAAGACCGTGTTCTCTTTAATTGAATACTTGATATTCAGTCATTATACTTTTTGTTTGGTTCTTTTTGTTATCAGAAAATTCTAGCAAAATGTGACTCAGATATTTTAAGGGGTCTTTATGATGTGTCAGGCTATCAGATCAAGTCTAGGAAGAAGCCTTGTCAAATAGAGATTTTTGACAAGAACAGTGGAAGTACCATTCTAGTTTAATATTTTCTCTTATTGAAGGCTCATCCTTTCTCCCTTTAGCTTCTTGATATCATAAATAGTTGCCTTGGGCACTAGGGTTAATTTTGGTTTCAGTTAGGGCCCAGAAGATGATGACAGATCTTGAATGCACTATGATGGTCTAGAGAAGGGAATCATTGGAGGAAAGTAATTTAGGTCCTGGCTTGCCAAACAAAAACTAGTCTGAGTTGTGTGCTTTCGAGTGCTGGTCTAACTTCTAATCCTGTTGATTATTGATTCCACTTACTATCACATTGCACTTTATGTTATTGTAGGGACTCCATTTGACCCGTTTGCTTTAGCAGTAAAATCTTATCATTGAAATGGCAGTGTTTTAAGTGGAAAATGTAATAGCTTCAACAGTTAACTTGTGAATATGTACACCCCCTGCGAACTTGTCTGGACCTTACCATTTTTGGTTGTGTAATATCTCTTTTCCCCTATGCATGCAGAACTGTGTGTTTGCTCATACATTGTATATGTATTTATGATGTCAAGAATCAGTATATATTCTTCATAACTTCAATGTTTAAATGCATTTTCCTTTTTGTAATGACTATGCTCTTGTTCTTTTCTTTCCAGGCAAGAATTATGAGAAAGTATGTGAAATGTGCCACATCACCCTGAATAAAAGTGCTATATTTGGTGACAACGGCGCTATTTGTCTCGGTGGAGTGAGAATCGGTAAGTTGTAATCTTTTCATCTTAGGCTACATTTGGTAAGCCGCAATGAGATATGATATAATGTAGTCAAAATTTTTAGTATAAATATAATATTAAAATTATATTTGATTGCATTATAGTATTACATTTCAGTACCACTTGCTAAACATGGCCTTACATATGAAATTTAAGATAATTTTATGAACAGCAAAAAATGGACCTCACATTAGCTTAAATATGCCACCAGAGATAATTATTCTTGAATTGATTGGATTGCCTGAACTTTAATTATTGAGTCATGGATGCGTATGCCTAAATATCATAACAATTTGTTGGTGAAGTCTGTGTTTATCGTTCAATTTCTGAGATTTACTGTATTCCTCTCCTGTCAGGCACTCCTGCTATGACATCAAGAGGCTGTTTAGAGGGTGATTTTGAAACCATAGCTGACTTTCTTCTCAGAGCAGCCCAGATTACATGTATAATACAAAGGGAACATGGCAAATTCCAGAAAGATTTTCTCAAGGGTCTCCAAAACAGTAGAGATATCATTGAGCTCCGAAACCGGGTTGAGACATTTGCCTCTCAGTTTGCAATGCCAGGTTTTGAGTTTTGAATATGTGAAAGAGGCAACTTGCATCCATTTGTTGATGATTTTCTTGGCTTTGGCTTCTTGTTCATTCCTCATGTTAACTAGCCAATTTTATTCCACACATATTTTTCATTCATTGTCTTGTAAATTATAAATATAGGTGAATCTTCTGGATACATTGAGAAAAATATAGCATCATAAATTTTCTCAGTGTTTTCCTGATTTTGTAAAGATTACAAGAATACTTGAAAATTTTGTGAACTCAGTCAGCTAAAATTTTCTCCTTGCTCTGCTTATGATTGTTCTCCATCCTATATGGTCTTTGTTTCCATGATGAATGTGTCATTTTGAGGTAAACACACAAGACGTGTGAAGTATCTGTTTAGCAAGAAAAAATGACCCGCAATTTTCGTTCCCACCCCCCCCCACGAAACATATCATGATCATTGCCCCCCCCCCCCCCACAAAACATATCATGATCATGATGCAGAATTTAAGGTCCTTTGCCTCCTCACAAGATTTGTATTTTGCAGTGCAGTTACTTACCGCGGTCTTAAATGTGCTTTTCTGAGCATGAGAAATTGATTCTACAGTTGTCTTGTTGAGACGTAAACTTCTGTTGATAACAAAATACCTGACCGTGTATGCTATGCATGAAAAAGAAGAAGAAAAAAGGAGGGTAAGAAGCGGAATTTATTATTTGGACTTTAGCTGGTGTCAATATTTTGCTTTAGCATTGTAATTTCACTTTTCAAATCTTGTTGGGAGTATGGAAGGACATGATTGCTAGTGATAATTAAAGAGGTTGGTTCTGTGGTTTAAAGAGCTTTCATCATTCACAGTAAGCTGGCTGCCCACAGCTTTGTTGGAACACAACCCTTTCCCTTTGCTTTGCTTTGCTTTGCTGCCATAAAATTTTTCCTAGCCAGCTACCTTTCTTTATTCATTTACATTTTGTCGTTATGTTTTCTTTCTTTCTTTTTCTCCATTATTATTATTATTACCAGTATTATAATATTACATTTCTTTAATAATTAATAATCTCCCATTCTCATGTGGAACCCTCCAAGGGAGGCAAGGCATGAATTTCCGGCAAGGGACAAAAAGCATGAGATACGGTTTACAACACCAAGTGACCAATTTTCTGCCATTTTATATTTTCTCTTAGACCCCAAAAGAAGGAAGAGAAGGGGAAAAAAAAAGTAATAATTGGCAAACATAATTATAATTAGCGGATAGAAAGAAGAGACATGTCAGGAAGAGAGAACTAAGTCATCATCAAATATCATTTTCTTTAAAGTGCAGTGAATCAGACAAAAGCTTTTCATCTTCTTCTCGTCCTTCTCCTTAGATCAAAGCAAAAGTCTTTTTCTTTTTAAATTAAAGCTAAAACCAGGAACCTCACAGTCTTGCCTTGCCCTACTATATTACTACTATTGCTACAACAGTCATAATCATCCACCCTTCCCCATCATTAGTCTTTTTACTATAACAACTAGAGGTTATGAAACTGGAACGAGAGCGAAAACCACTTTGAATTATAAAAATAAAATAATTAATTAAAAATTGCAAAGGATAGATAACTACAACCCTGCTGATATGTTAATTTATGAAAAAAAATTAAGCCAAGAAAAAAAAAGGAAGAAGAAGCTTCCATCCCTTTTGTCCATTATAATTTAAAAAATGGAACCAAGAAGTTGGTGTTTCGTGTTCATATCCAAAGAGAACAGCTTGGCCTTGCATGCTACAATGACCGTCCCTTCATCAAATTTTCAATTCTTCTCCAACCCATCTCTTCTTTTTCAATTTTAGGGTTTTCACAGAAAAGGTTTTCTTTTTTTTTTTTTTTTTTTTTTTTTTTTTTTTTCTTCTTTAATATAGTAGCTACAGAAAAGGTTTTTTTTTTTTTTTTTTTCTTCTTAAATATAGTAGCTATAATGAACAGGAACCATGAGAGGTGAAAAAAAAAAAAGAAATTTAAAATTTAAAAAACAAGAAAAATTAAAAGAAAATAGAAGGGTTAAAAAGGTACAACAACCCCAACAACTGCTTCCTCTACCATGTATTTTTTTTTTTTTTTTTTTGAGATTTTTAAGTTTTTCAACCATTCTCTCTGTTTCTAATTTCTACCTATGACTGCAAAAGTCCAAAAGCTTCTTTCTTCCTTCAACAATCTCATCAAAGAAATCATCAAGTTGGCCAACGATATTTTCAGCTCCAGATCTCAAAACCCCAAAACACCCACTTAAATTCTCTACTCTCTCTCTTATCTCCACCTCTGTTTCCCAATCCACCATTCCTCCTTGTCCACATCTCCTCTCCAGCTCTCCTCTTAGCTCCTCCATAGCCATTTTTGATCTTCTAAACTCATAAAGCAAAATCCCTGGCCTCCCATTTATCTGGTTTATCTCTGCTGCTACTCTCTGCTGCAATCTTGCTGTTGATATCATGAAAGCTGATCCAAAAAATAAACACCCTTCATACCCTCCTCTTAGAAAGCTTGATTCTGGCCAGCAATACACTAACCCATATAGCAGAATCATTAGAAGCAATGAACTAACGTTTCTCATTGCATATAAAACCCCTCTAAATCCATTGAATCCATTCAGTTTCGATTCAATTGATACTTTCTCATCGAAACGCAAAGATAATGGTTGGATTCTTGTTTCCATTAAAGCTCTGTTTTCCTCTTCCAATCCAGCTGCTTCTCTTCTACACCCAGAAATTGCCCTTATTACCTGTTTCAAGGAATTATTCTCATTGTTAGTTGCATAAATTTCATTTCCTTACTATATCCAAGAAACAAAAAATCAAAGAAAGGATCAAGAAAATCAAGAAAAAAAACAATCAAGAAATGGAAAGGATCAAGAAAATCAAGAAACTGGTGTTCAATCAAGAAAATGAAAGAAAGAATCAAGAATAATAAAAAAAAAAAACCTGGCGAGAGAGTTGGGGACTAAGACGTCGATGATTGTCAAGAGAAGAAGTGATATTGAAACCAGCAGAGTAATAGTTTTCCATTCCAGATATGCCTATTTTAAGGACATGACAAGCCTCCCAAAGCTTGGAACTCTCATCCATATATTCATCAAGCCACTTATCACCAACAGGCAAATGGAGCTTTTGAACAAGTAAAGTCAACTGAGAGTGAAAAGATCTTAACAAAGAAAGAACCCTTTGAAGGAATTGAATTGACATGAAGTTATTAGAGAGATAAACTCTTTCAAGATCATCGATCTCTCTAGTAAGAAAAGTGTAAAACCCATTGACAGAATTTGTAGAAGAAGGATCCATTATTATTATTATTATTATTTTTATTATTATTATTATTATAGGGAGAAGACCAAAACTAAGAGAAGATGCTAATATAAGAGTTGAAAGAAAGAGAGAAAGAGAGAAGCTGTGGAGGGGGAGAGAAAAGGTTATAAAGATGGGTGATATTTAAATTGAGGGAAAGAGAAAGAAGGAAAGACGAAGAAAAAGAAAAAGAAGAGAAGAATGGTAGTGAGGGAATATCTTAGAAGCTCAGGTTTCTAAGGTTGAAAAGGATTGTTGGGAGCAATGATGGGTGTTTCCTATAGAGGGGAAAGGATGATTGGTAATATGCCATTTTCATTGTTTAATGGGCAGAAAGGAAGAGAAAAAGGGAAAAAAATTTAAAGAGTTGCAAGCAAAATAAATAAAGAAGAAAAATTTACCAAAAGGAAAAGATGGAGAGAAATAAAGATTTAAAGGGTTGGCAAAACCTTGTTAAAACACGAATTTTCCATGAGCTCCCTTCCAATTTCTTGCTTTTGTTGTGTGTTTCTTTTCTTTCTTTTCCCCCTAAAAAGTTCATTAAACTAATATCATTACATATCCAAAAAACTACACACTGCATGTATTATGTGTCATAATATTATATATGCATATTGATATTAATAATATTAGTTGGCAGTGTTCTATGATGATAGAGTGTGAGGTTATTGGGTTGTAGGAAAGTTTGACTATATAGTTGACCGAGATTCTGCTTCTATAACTTGTAAATCCTTTCTTCTTCTACATTAGATACTGATTTGAGTGCTTTCTTTGGCTTCTTCTTCCCTCTTTTTCGTCCTCGAGCAACTGACTTTGCTCCTTTACTTCCCCTCTATCCTATTGAAATTTGTGGGTTTAATTTATTTCTCCTAGATATTTCTTGTTTTGTTGATTTTTTCAAAAGGAGGGCAAATTGGAATGATGAGGTTCTTTGTATGTGTTTTTCTTTTCTTGACCTTCTACTACAATGCAAAATCAAGTCTTTTTAGGCCTTCAATTGTATTTATTTATTTAGATACATTAATTTCACCTTTTCTTTTCTTGGGACAAATTGAATGATTCTTTATTTTCATTTGTTCATAACTTCCTACCCTTAGACCACCTCATACTCACATATCTTGATATTCAACCTAATAACATAATCCAAGCCGTTCATTAGATAGAACTTTAGGACCCATCAAACGGCGGATCAAAAAGGAAAGACCTTTGTAATTCTTTTGATCAAAATAATATACATATATATACACTTTTTTTTGCATTTGACCAAATGGGTTTCTACTTTCTAATCATTAATTGGTCCTAGTTGGTAACTAATCAATAGCAATAGAATGTTTTAAAGTTGTGGAGGAATATTAATTTTCTTTTCTCCTTTATTCTCTAAGCAAAGCAAAGCATTATATTTTAACCTTATAAGATTGTTTAATTAATTAATTAATTAATTAATTATGTTTAATTAAATAAACATGTCAATTTTAAGTTGGGGAGGTGGGGGACCATGAAATCTTCTTATTTATAAATTAGAGTTATTATGTTTCATTTCATGAAAATTGTTTTAGAAGAGAGAGTGGTCGTGGGTTTTTGGAGAATGGGACATCTTAAGAATATGAGTATGTTGGTCTTTTAAAGATTTCATTGGAAAGTGAAGACTAAACCCTAAGACCATTATTTATTTGAGAATTTGATATGGCCACCCAATTTTTTCTTTAATTCATCTAAGGAGCACTTCACTTAATTACCCCTCTATTATTAGATATATTGTTCCTTCCCCTCAATTAATATAGGAATAATTGTATTTTCATTTTGCTCCTATAAAAAAATTAAATAAATAAAAATAGGGCCCCTTTCATTTATTTTTTGAAGAGTAGCAATGTCTACCTCATTTGCGGTCTTTGTCTATGGACAGCAAAGGTTGTTTCAATTCAATCTAAGGGGCAAGGAACTAGTGATTCATGAGTTAGTGTAAATTCCATATTTTTGACTTGTCGGCATCAATTTGATCTCAACTCCTCAAATAATAAGATGGTTATCAAAAAGAAAAAAAAAAAAAAAAAAAAAAAAAAGACCTTGTCGTGTCAATTGATTCTCACTCCTCAAATAATAAGATGGTTATCAAAAGAAGAAAAAAAAAAAAAAAAAAGAAAACAATAAGATTATTTTTGTTTGGAGTAAAAAAAAAAAAAAAAAAAAAAAAAAAAAAAACAATAAGAGTAATTTTTGTTTTGGTAAAGATATACACGGTTATGCCAATCAGATATGGTCTGGTCAGTCTTCTTATTTATGTGAGTAATTTTTGTTTTGGTAAAGATATACATGGTTATGCCAATTAAATATGGTCTGGTCGGTCTTCTTATTTATGTAAGGAGTGTGAGGCCTCAAATTTAATTACTCTTAATCACAATAATTTTCATCAATTTGGTGAGTAGGGAAGGACTATCTTCTATTTATAGTCTAGTGTTATTTCGATCCGTTATATCCCCATATGAATCAAAAGAAATATACACCGGATATTTTAAATATTTTACGTATGATACAGTGAAATTTTGTGTCAAGCCAAGTTGGTCCAAATATATTTTTCAATATATTTTACACTAAAATATAAAAAATGCCATTAGCTTATACAATTTCATCACAGTAATAGTCTTAATTTTCTACATAATTATTTTTTAATATATTAAAGGAAATTAATTATTGAAAAATTGAAATCTATATAATAGTCATAGGAAGTGTCATGATCATTCTATTAAAGTACTAACCATTTTCTTTTTGTAAATATCCAATTTTATTAAAGGTATCATTTTCAATATATATATATATACTTTCTTTAAATGTCCTTTATTTATTTATTTTTATTTTTTTGTGCTAGCTCACCATAGGCAACTGGCCTACATGATTGGATTAACATATGAGTGATGATGGTTAAACTCAGAATTTGAACAAGAATGCTAACCCTACCTCTAAATGTAAGCAATTCCCATTTTTGCCAAGGAACCAAAAGTACTGCAAAAAAATCAATATGTTGCCATGTGAAAATAAGCAACTATAGATTTATTTATTTATTATGTGAGAGTTGCTTGGTTATCTATGTCACAAACTGGACTCTACTACAAAATTAGTACAGTTTGCATGCAAAATTTATCTCAACTAACTCAACAATGAGGGGCACTATATTGGAAAAAAATAAATTAAAATCATACTTGTGATATGATGAGTACCCTAAAAACTAAGGTCAGCCCTTAATGTGTGGGTCTATCAGTGGAAAGAAATTAAACCCATTTGATGGCTAGACTTGTTTTTTGGTATCCCTTTCATCCCATCATATCATTTACCATACAGAAAGCCTTTTTGGGGAATGTATCATTTTCTCATCCTTAATGGCCTTAGAAGGATACAACTGGATGCTCCTATTGGTCTCTTAGCATGTGATAATGATACAAAGAAATAATATTCAAGAGACAACTCATCTATATATATATATATATCTCTAAATTTGAGATTGATGTCTATCAGTTTGTATATTCAAATTCTGCTAAATGAGATCAGAAAAGTGATAGAAATAGAAGTTTGATTAGATCTTAATTATGTTCAAATCATATTAAATAAAATAAACAAAGTAGAAAATTAATTAAATCAAATCAATCAAAGCAGTATTTACGTAAAACTAGCAGTTTCAAACTTTTAATTTTACAAATAAAATTTTATCGAAAAAACTTTCTACTTTCACCGATTTAATACCCTTTTAACAAAAATGAAAAAGGAAAATCCCATCAGATCAAGAGTGTTGGCAAGTTGGTTATCATATTAATTCCCAATTCAATTGGGGGTTACTGTGTTCGGGACCACTCACACTTCTTTTCATTCTTCATTTTATGTTTAATGGAGATAAAGGGATACCTAAACCCTACTTTGTTTTAAAGATGAGTGATTTGCAAAAACTCCTGTTAATGATAAATAATATGGAATTAAATAAGTGAATGTGACTCCATTTCAATTCAGTCTTATTCTTTATATTCTTTATTCTTTTCATACATAGATCTATTATGTATATGTTAAAGCCTTTCCAGTTACATTTATTCCATCCATGCGGATTATAGTGACAATATAAATGGATAATTTTTAATTTAATAGAAAAATTATATTAAAATAAATTATTTTTTCTGTGTTGGTAAGATAAAATGATAAAAAAAAATATAAAATTGCATGAAATCTTTTTCAATTAACCAATTATATATATATATATATATATATTTTCCCCTCCTTCCTTCTGAGAACATTTTCAAGTTTCAATTTGAATTAATTGCTAAAATTGGTAGTCCATTAATTAGGCATTTCAAGTGTTAAATGCATTGAAGCAATAATGATAGTGAAGAATGAAAATAAATAAATAAAATGAACCTTTTAGACTTTACGCATACATACAATAATTGAATACTTGAACGAACCTCATACTCAGGCTGCTACTCTGCTTCCTCTATCAAAGCTTTTGTGTGCTACCGCGTACTTCGGTGGACGAAATTTCTATTTTTTATCCGACGGCGTTAGTTATTTTAATAAACGTTTAATTGGCGTTTTATTAAATATTAAGAAAAATAATATTTTGTAATTTGCCATTTCAAATATGAACGTTATATTATTGAATATTATAAATAATAAAAATAGTATTTTGATTTTAATCCAAATGCTTAAAGCTATATAAAAATCTATTGGCCAACATTAGTCTTACTGTGCGTTTAAGCTAATAGAAAATTATTTTTTGATCATAAATACAAAAATAGTTATTATTTAATAAAATTGTTAATTAATAATACTAAATTCATTTTTTTAAACATTACAAATTTATGAGCATACACTTCAATCATAATTTAATTAGAAAAATCAAAATTGTAAAATTTCACAAATTATATATTTTTCTATAATTTTTTAAATCTGATATATTAAAAAAGTAAGTGATAACTAAATAAAATAATAAGAAATTAAAAAAAGAAAAGAAAAGAAAATAAGAGGAGGAAGGGGCATCATTGTCAGCCTCCAAAAGAGGTGCTCTAATTATCATTAAACAAGAGCAATAAAATCAGTCTGCCTCTTTATGAAAAGAGAAAAGTGAAGTATAAAGCTAAGGTAAAAAGTATTACCTACATATTCTATAGGACAGATGGCAACCAAAAAACTACACAACTGGATGATAATAATCATATGCTCAACCTTCCAAAGTAAGTAGAATTTTATTTTTTATTTTATTTTTTTCCCCCTTTTCCAGAGCATTATGGGCCACCTAATGATCTTTTAGTACCAAAATCTAATGCAGCCTAAAGATTTGGGTTAGCAATTAATAAAATAAGCTAAAGACAGAGAACCCAAAACACAACAAAATGATCTTTCAGCCAATTAGGTATGGATTGTAATCTGTATTTTTCTTTTTTTTTTTTTTTTTTTTTTATGGCATTGTAATCTGATATCTTTTTTTTTTTTTTTTTTTTTTTTTTTTTGAACTGATGTATTTTTCTATTGTGTAACACTAGTACTTGCTTTGTTCTAATTAGGTGATTAATGTTGATTTATCTTGGAATATGATATCCAAAATTATAATTGTTTATGTTGATGGAACTTTCTTTTTCTCAATTAATTACTTTTAAGCAAATGGGTTTCTACTTTACATTATGATATCAAAAATTATAACGGCAACTGGTAGCATTTCATCAAAAATTAAAAGAAATAATGTTTATAATTCATTCTCTTAAATTTTAAACACCAATAATAAACACTCGCCTTGATCATTATAAATAATAAAAGCGGTATTTTGACTAAAAAAGCTACATAATGCAGAGCATAACATTAAAGTTAAACCAATCACTATTACAAAAAATACAACCAATCGATTATATAGTTTGCTTTACATTCTTGTGAGCAGTTATATATTTAGTATTTTATATAGTATGAGATTCCAACTAAAGTGGCATTATAACTAAAAATACAGGTAGATAGATAGTTAATCATTTGAGCACAAGATCTCCATTGATCAATGGCTGAAATGGGTTTGATAGATAGAGAATATGTCCTAAGGTCAGATTTACGTGTGGACAACTTTAGTTAGAAGAGGACATATTAATGGGCCACAACACACATTAACATTACATCGACATGACCCAATTACCCAAAAGCCTAGAGTTTTGGTATTTAATTCGTCAACTCATGCCCTCCATGGCTCATCAATTTTTCATTCTCTTCTTCTTATTTTATTTATTTATTTATTTTACAATATATATTTGCAATCTTCTCAATAGTGGTACTATTGTACCATAGGGACTTGATTAGGGATAAACTATAAATGAAAAGACTACATAAATCAACATCATCTATTGCCTTTTTTTATCCTAATGTGAGCCTTTCAATTGATAAAAATAGGCAAAAGAAAAAAAAAAATCCACTATATAAATAAAGTTCAGGCAAAGTACCTATGCTATGCATAGCTACATCCATAGCTTGATATTTTGATAGCACTTTTCTTTTCCTTTTATGATTATATTTATCGATTTGCCCACTGAGGAATTAAACTTTAAATATTAAAATTTTTGAGAATATTGGTATGTTTATTTTTAATAAATTAAATAAAATTTATAGATAAAATTTTTTTGAGAAATTTAGGAATCAAATACAACCTAATGCTACCAATGTTATTTGACATTTGTCACTATTTATTTTAAATTAAAATTTTAGTTATCTACAACAAAAATATTCTTCAGCATTCTCACCAAGATTAATCATTTTTGTAATATTCAGGAAACTAATATAATTTTAAAATAAGATTTTCACTAATTTGGTCAATTAAGAGGAGGGCTACATCTATTATGTAATATATAGAGGGCTACATCTATTATGTCAATATTAGATATATATATATATATATCTAATATATAATTACGATTAATCTTGTACAAGTGTGGCAAGGACATGGAATGATAATGAAATGAAGATGGAGAGGGTCAAGCAAATTAGCATTAATCCTTTTATTAAGAAAACTAGCTAGAATGATTTGTATGCCAGAGAATAGGGGTATCCAATCTATCAATATATATTACATAATTTGTACAAGTGTGGCAAGGACATTAATGATATGAAAATGAAATGAGGGTCAAGCAATAAGCATATCTTTTATAAAGAAAACTAGCTAGAAATGATGATATGCCAAGAAAGGACCCAATTATCATACTTAAGACCATACCATACTCTTTGGATTGGGGCTATAGACCCTATAACCCATTACCTCTCCTTGACTAATATTGATAGATAGTGAAAGGGATACATTATAAACTATAAAGGGTGCTTCGTTTGCCTTTTGGTTCAACTTGGCAAAAACCCACTTAAGGATTCCTTCCCACTATAGGTGGCTTTTATCCCTCTTCCTCCTCCCCTTACCCTAAAAAGAGGGAGCCTTCCAAAACTTTGTTCATTAACAAGCTTGAGTTCAATTAAGCATTTATAGTCATGTATGTAAGAGTAGTGCTTATATGCTTTATAAAAAATGGGGCATCCAATGAGAACCTTAAAAGGTACTTTTTTTTCACTTTTTCACAATTAAGATTTTGATATAAGAATCAGAAAAAACTTACTTGGTCCAGTTTCACGGTCTCATTTATAAACAAATCAATGAAATTAATGATTTTTATTGAAACGGTGATATTCTTTATCATACACTTGAAAGAAAAAAAAAAGAAGATAAACTTTTAAGAAAATCCTTAATTTCATTTATTTGGTTTATAAGTGAGGTATACACTCGATCAAGGCAAGTATTTTTTAAATTAAGAATTTGCATGCCAATATGGTTAAGGGAATTTGTCCCACCAACATGCCACATATTGCAAAATTAGTGGTTGGAGCCTTAATGGTGCATAACAAATAGGAAGAAAATGCAATTGCTAGCAAAATAAATTTTGATAGGTGACATGTTTGGTGATCTTGACCAGGAGTGACTTAACCAGCTCAACCTCTTTAGTTCTTGATTCCATTTGCATGTAAATAGTATTCTTGATCTTGCAAGAAAATGGATATTTTTTTTTCCATTCCTGTTATAAATTAATTTTTTATTTGGGAAAGTGATTGATTTTAATTCAAAAAATGAAATTTCAACTGAATTTAATTATTGAAAAAATTATACCAAACCAAAATGATATGTGATGTTTCTTAATCCCATTGTTTTAATTGGTAGATAGAATGCTGAGAGGCTTGCATGTGTGTGTATTAAATTTAGACACATAACTGCACGTTTAAGTGGTCCAAAAAGGCAAATCAAAACTATGCATAATGTTTATTTGATCATGCAATTTTAGCTTTGACAAGCACACAAGTCTATTAATTTGGTCTTTGGTCTCTTTTCAATATACAGTATGTAACAAATTGACAATTAAAAGTTTATTTATTAGTTAATTAATTAATTAAGTTTAAATTGAAAATCCTACTTGGCAAAAATAAGCAACATAGATTGTTGCTATTCCATGTTTAAGGATATGTAAGCTATGGAGTAATTAGATACTATATATGTCCAATAACTTGTGATTTTTAGCGATATGGGTATTAATAATTGTCCAGATAAAACTTAAATGTTCAAGCCATATTTTGATTTAAAGTGGGAATCCCGATAAATGAGAGACTAATTTCTTTCGGATGGAAAACAATTTGTTTAAAAGCTCTTTCTGACATGTTGACTCCATGACCCCATCCTGCAGTCACAAGAGTGGGATCTAGTGCACTTTAACGACTAAATCAAACTATTTTGGATTGTAAATCGCAGCATTTTAGTATCAAAATTTTTTTTCTTTTGTTTAATGATGGAAAAGAAAAGAAACTGAACAAGGTACACCCTTTATCATGTTTAGAGCTAGATTTTGGCATTGGAAGGAGAGGGATTAGTTAAGTAGGGCTTTGGGTTGAAAAAAAAAAAACAAATATTAATTATATAAAATATTTTTAATTGAAAATGCTTCATACACTTTTTTTTTTTTTTTTTTGATATAGTATTTTTAATTTGAAACTGATTCATACACTTCTTTTTTTTTTTTTTTTTGTAAGTTATAGGGAATTTAGGACCCCCAACATCATTATTTTTTTTTTTTTTTTTTGTGTTATAGGGATTATAGACCCACATCATTAGATGCTTTATGTAAGTTGTAAAAGTAGTTGTTGTTGTAGTATAATGTAATATATATATATATATATATATATATTTCAATAATGTACTCACAATCCTATAATAAAAGCATTGCGGCTGGTTGGCCCTATGAAAGGGCTCAATGCAGACCTCAGCCACATGTAATAATTAAAATTCAGAAAATAAAGGCCAATGGAAAATAAAAGAGAAAGTAAAATGAAAGAAAAGTTCATATATTGTAGTAAAATTTGTTGGGTTCGTTAGTCATTTTTGTGCTAATAACTAGCATTACACACAGAGGCCCAGGCCCAAATATAGGCATATGTCAATAAAAAGGAACACGCCCAGTGGGATTCGAACCCACAATCGCCTGATTAGAAGTCAGGCGCCTTATCCATTAGGCCATGGGCGCTGAATAATATGAGCATGTCAAATTAAAAAAATAATGAACTCTACAAAATTTTATAGAATAAATTCAGAAGGTTTTAATAAATTTTCCCATAATGGGGAAAATCACATTCAACAGAAGAGGGAGCATTTTTTCGTAAAAAAAAATTTGAGGTGTAGGTTGTGGGTTTCAAATCCAAGACCTGAAGCTTTTCTTGTAATACTTTAACCATTTATCCCCTTCGTTTAGTTAATATTTTGGCTTCGCCATCAGTCTGCAATATTCACATTTGCCAAAGACATTTTGGGTCAGGACACAAGATGGGTTAAGTAATAGAAAGATCACAGTTTGATCAACAGAGAATATTCATTTAAGGTCCAATATATTTCTCATCAATAATGTCAATTCTGCATTCAAGTTCACAAGCTCTTTACACCGTATCACAAAGTGACCCCTTGCCTTGCTTTGCCTTACTACAGAATTTACCAAAATAAAAGAAAATCAAGTACAGAAAGCAGCCAAAAATATTGCATGTTTTCAGGAGCATATAAGAGTGCACAAATCCCTGGTCCTCTCTTGTGAAATGTTGGTAAAAGGAAAAATTCTGAAGTTGCCGTTACCCATGCAGGTCAAAGTTGACTGTGTATCACTTAACATGGTCTGCACTTAACATTTCATTTTTAGCATGACATTGCAAAACACAGTAGTCACCAACAAATAAGACTGCAGTTTATAATTGACCAAAGGTTCCTAAATAACAAATAAGGGCCAAATTATAAATGGTAAAGAAAATTGCAGGTGAATTGACATTGGGAAGCAACAAATGAGAAATCATTTCTTTTTTGGTCCGTTTATGATAAATTTAACTTCTCAGCCTTGAACTTAAGAGCAACACGCTTTTTGCTACTCAACTTCAATTGCTTTTACTGTATCTGAAGGAAGGGTCAGTCAAATGAAAGTATGAAATCATTAGTGTCAAGAAGGGATATAATTTGTCATCTGTAACCTTCCTAATAATATAGTATGAATAATGAAGATACAGTAAAATTTTCAAGTTGATATTATAGGCGAAATATTTTCTTCACCTATCTTTTGCTTTTAGCACTCCTCTTTTTGACACTTCCCATTTAAAGGGACCCTGATAATTGCATAGTATGTTGGTGGAAATAAATTTTTTATGCAGAGTAAATTTCTAGATATTGATGCAACTAAAATTTATATAAGATTTTCCTAGTTCAGTTCAACTTCTGTATTAGTGAAACCTCCTTTGACTGCTAAAGCTTCAAAAGAGAAGATATGAGAACTCTAAGGTGCAAGGTTTTTTTTTTTGGTTTTCCTTTCTTCTTTCATGACTGCTTGGCAATTAAATCATCAGTTAAGTATGTCAAATTGACGAGATAAAATCAAAATTATACCTCACAAGAAGTTGTCATGTCATTGCAGTTCCACCTTTTGGAAGGAATGCAGTCAAAATATCTGCACCACTGGCAATATTGGCTGATATTGAAGCCCAAGAGTGCTACCACAAGAAATACTAACAGCCTGCACAGCTAGCTCCTTTTAGAATCACATAATATTAAAATGACAAGCAAACAGAAGACTCTTTTTTGGGTATGAAGAAGAAGAACTCACAGAAAAGCAAAAATAAGAAGAGAAACACTCCTCAGCACAGGCCTGTCCAGCTTCTGCTTTGAGTTAAAGAAATTTTTGACACCCTTGTCATAAAAGCCTGATTTATTTGGAGCCAATTGCCTAAGTTGAGGGGTAGATAAAAGTGCAAGTCCAAGTAGAAATCCTGATATAAGACCTCCAATGTTTGAATAGTTGCTGACATAAGGTAGTAAACCAAGCATGATGTTACAGGCAAAGACAGCAAAAAGTATCAGCAGAGCTGCAACCTGCAATCAAGTGAGTCAATAAAAATAACTCTGGAAAGAGAGATAAATAGAGGACGAGAAAAATAATGACCTTATTAGAGTAAAGTTTCCAGTTCCTTATAAGTGCAGAAAGTGTAGCCCCAAGTAATCCAAATTGAGCACCAGAGGAACTAACTGCTGGGCTATCTCGAACAAAAAGTGCAGTCACCAAGGTGCCAAAAAAACCAGAAAAAATGTAGATTATCCCAGTCCTTACTGTGAAACAGAAAAAAAAAAAAAAAGGGAATAAGAATAAAAAATCATCCTCCATTAACAATACAACACCTATCATTTACATGGTGACAGAAATTAAGATTCAAATTCTTACATGGCCCAAATTCTTGCTCTAGGTAAATTCCTAAGAAGATAACACCTATAAGGTTGATGATAAGGTGGATGAGCCCCGAATGCAACCATGGACATGAGAGAAGATGCCAAGTTTGATGTTCCACTAACAATGTCTTGCGAAGAGCCCCCACTTTATCGAGCCTATTGTAGCATGAAAATTTTAGCAATATGTTACTAAATCTTCAGAGTACTTGAACAAATGATATTAAAGACATACCTAAATAAATGAGCTAAAAGCTGTCTGAAACATCTTCAGTTTGACTTAATTTTTAGGATATAGCCTTTCAATTACATAAAATATTCAACCACTTCCATTCTGAAATGAAATACTATTCTTTTGGTATTTGAAATTGAAAAGCTTCTTTTGACTTGCATTAATACTTGAAAAGCATCTTTGTTAATTTTCTCCCGTGTCATGTTTTGCTTCCAATAAAAAGGTTCCAGGATCCAATACACATGCTAAAACTAGGCCTAGAATCCAACTACAGTTAATCAACCTTTTTGCAGTAGAAGTTTTCTGCATATAGCAATCCTGATGTTACACGGACCAGTTCACTAAAGTAAAAGAATCCTCCTAGTTTTGGTTTGACATTGAGTGAAGCAAAACGGGGAACCAATTTGAGAAATTATTGTTTCTCGCAATTATCATTTAATTTTAAAGAGTAAACGTACAAAATGCACATATAAACGGGGAAAGGCAGGATTATCAGAAAAAAAGTTATTGATCTGTAACTTGAGATAAAGTAATTGTGAAAAATAAGCAACGACATGAATGTGAAAATAGAGAGCCCTAAAAACCGTAAGCCACCATATAACAAAGACCATTCTTCCCGTTTACCCCACATTTCTCACCGAGCAAACTGCAAATATCTTTAGTGCATTATTTTGGCTTCATCGAAATGTCGTGAAACACAACAAACAACAATTTCCCTCAAACTATCTCAGAAATCATCAGAAGTATTAAAAGACAAATCAGATAAAATAGAAATCAATTGGAACCTAATATCAATTTCGCTGCTTCTAATAAATCCTGCAAAGCGAATCCAATCAGATTAACTTTCAATTAAGAAACAGAATGAAACAAGAAGCAAACGCATTGAAAACAAAAGGAAATCCCATAACAAGAGCTAGAAACCTAACGTGGAAGCAGAGGGACCGAGCAGTGGGTTCTCGGAGAGTGGCTGGAACGACATCCTCCGTAGAGTTTTCACAGTGCAATCTCCATGAGAGTTACTCCAACAGTCGTTGACGATCATGGTGGCCACGAACGCTATCAGATGGAAGATAACAAAGATGGAAATTACCCATGTGTCATTTCTTCTTCTACGAGAGCTGGAATTGAAGAATGGCGTCTTTTGGTTTTGAAGAGATTCGTTGAAATCTAAAGGGAATGTGGGCTCTGCCATATCGATCTTTGCGTCCTGTTTAGGTTTTTCTTCCATGGGGATTTTTCTTTTTCCCCTGCAAGAAAGAGAAAGTTTGGGTTTTGTAGTTCAGTACTATGGTTTTCTTGGGAAGCAAAACAGAGTAACAGAAGCTCCAGCATACGGGATTGCTAGCTGTCTTTGGCGGGAAAAAATTATTTGAATTCGGTATAGCGAGTTCCCCCAGTTGTATCCAAAAAAATAATTATATAAACCATATAACACAACTAGAATCCGTGGCGCAATGGTAGCGCGTCTGACTCCAGATCAGAAGGTTGCGTGTTCGATTCACGTCGGGTTCAATTTCTGTTTTCCCTTCTAAGCCGTTTGTTTTTCAAAATAATTAAAATCTATATTACTTTCAATTAGAAAACAAATAAGTTTTAAAACATTTTCATTCGGAGAAATGAAGTGTCATTAGTGATATTTGGATGACAATATATTGTTATTATATTCTTAAATTTCTTCTTGTGAATTTTGTTTATTATATATCTTATAAGAAAATAAGTAAAATTTTGTAATTATTATAGAAAGTTTTGTTTGAAAAAAAAGATTAACTTTTTAGTAGAAGATTAACATTTCTGCCAATATCATCTCTAAATAAAGATTATATTATTTTATATTAATAGACATTTTCTTAAAAGAAATTATTAGCCTTTCACAAACTTATATTTTATTAGCCTTTTTTCATACCTTTTCAATATAGAATTTACTCACACTTAAAATTCCATTGACATATATGTATATATATATATATTACTTTTCAATATAAAATTTACTCATACACTTATAAGTGATACAATTTCAAGGTGAGATTTTTATTCACACCTAAAATTCAATAGATATAAAAAAATATATGTTCATGTCGAATCCTTAAAGTAGGAATTAAATTACACGAACGACGTATAATGATTTTAAATTGTTTGTGAATAAAACCCATCCTTCAAGATGAAGTGTATCCATATTGTAATGTTTCTTTCATAAGCAATCATCAACCTTATAAGGACATAAATCTGCACATTTATCAAATTAACAAAAAAAAAAAAAAAAAAAGTTTCATAAATAAATGACTTCAAGACTTGAAAAAAAAAAAAAAAAAAAAAGAGTTTTCATAAATAAATGACTTCAAGACTTGAAAATTTAAAATTATTGATGCCGCTAAAACGGGTTTCTGCCAGCCACCAAAGTATCAGTCAATGCCTTTTGTTTACTACCAATATCTCTTGTTGTTGTTCCTCTATCATTATGCCTAACGACTTGCAGTTTTTATCGGCCCAACAATTTATTTTCTCTCATTTAGTTTTAATATTAAATATTAAATATTAATTAAAATTTTTGATTTTATAATACTATAAAAATATCTAGAGTTAACCAATATATATATATATATATATAGTTATTAGAAAATTTTTTTAATTAAAAAATCCTGATGATGATTAAGTATGAAAAATGCAATGACCTGGATTTATAAATATTATAAAAGGTTTACCAATATTGTATTTAAAAATTAAAAAAATATTTAAATGAAATTATGAATATATAGAAAATATTTTTCTCTTAATTTTTTTTTCCTTATATAAAAATATTTATTATTTTTTTAAAAAAACATTTTCCATGATTAGATATGGTAACCTCAGAAATAAATTTATTCGGAGAGAAGAGTAGCATAAAATTATATAGTGAATTTTTTGAGTTGGAGCATTGAAACGCAGCAATGGAGCTGATCAATGGCGTTGTTGGCATTTGGTTGCACTCAATAATGGGATTATCAACAATATAAACGGTTGGCTGCTGAATGTAGATGGAGACGGTTACACCTGCACCCAACGAATCGCGGGAATGGGCACTTCTGTTGCTATCTACGCCGCACAGCAAAATTAAATTCATTATCACAAAACTCAGGAAACGAAATTTCCTTTGCTATAAATTCAACTCGGAATAGGTGACTTTGCGCTTAACAGTTAACCCCACCTCTCGGTTCTCTCTCTGGTCCCTTCTCTTATTTGGTGAGTTTGGTAGATAAATTCTATTGCTTTCGATTGCTTTCAATGGAGGCTTTCTTTCTCCTTTTTGAATTTGATTGGATGCATTTCTGATTTTGCAATTCGAAAATTTTAGGGATTCTAAATGGAATCAACAAATGGAACAGCAATTGAAGTTCCACTCGGTCAAGTGAACGCAGAAATCGAATCGTTTTTCGAATCGGCTCCTCCTCTAAAAGACAGTGCTGATATCAGTAAGAAATTGAAGGAGTTCATTGAACTGAATTCTGCAACGCCAGGTGAGGATTATTTGATAGAACTCTGTTATATATTTGTATGAGTTTCTGCATTAAAGGGTTGGTTATTTTGATGTGGAAAATGCAGGAAATGGAAGTGCTAGGAGAGTTGTGTGTGTGAGTTCTGGCGGCACCACAGTTCCCCTAGAACAGCGTTGTGTTCGATATATTGATAATTTTAGCTCAGGTCATAGAGGAGCGACGTCAACTGAGTAATCACTTTAGATCTTGACATATAGAGAATTATTTATTTTGTCTCCTTTTTCATTTTAGATAGGTTGAGTTTATTGAATGATTGTATTGCAGATACTTTATCAATGCTGGATATGCAGTTATATATTTATATAGGAGGTATTTTCTTCTTCCTTCCCCTTTCTGAGATATCACGTGTTTATCATAGTAACCTTTGAATCTTCCCTATTAGCAGATGAGATGTGCTGCTTAATGGGGTTTGTCTTCTGATAATTTACTGCCTTCTTATGCAGGGGAACTTTCCAGCCGTATTGTCGATCTCTTCCGGATGATCCACTGCTTGAGTGTTTTGAATTCATTGATGAATCCGATATTCAAGGTCTGTAGTTTCTATTTGAAGGAATCAGTGCTGGATCTTCATTAGGAAATTTCAATATAGGGTGGCGATATTTCTAGAGCAAAAATTGTTATAGTCAAAACAATTTTTATTTTTGACATTGAAATTGAGGGAAAAAACCTTCTTCAATTGAATTTAATAGTTTTAACTTTATTTTTATTTTTATTTACGTAAATATTTTATATACTTTATTTTTAATCAATCTACCTATCAATGATGCTAAAAAGTAATCCTTTGTTATCTATCTATCTCAACCATGCCTTATACCTCTCTTTCTCTCTCTCCATCACCACTTTTTGTTTCTCTGTTGAACAGTGAGATAGAAAAAAAAAAAAAAAAAAAAAAAAAAAATAGAAAAAAAAAAAAAAAAAAAAAAAAAAAAAAAAAAAACACAGAATGCTAGAATTGAAAGGGAAAAATGAGAAGCATAAAGTTTTTGAAAGAAAAGAAGACATAATTGAATAAAAATAGATAATAACTGCATAAGTTTGAGACAAAAACTTACTTCACCTATATGTAATCACTGTGGAAGACAAGGATCCTTTCAAATGTATGAATGGAAAATACATAATTTCAAAGACAAACCAGTTTTGCGAGGTTAACAACTTACTAAAACATATTATTGGAAGAAAATAAGACAAAAACATATGTGAAAACGCACAATCAAAAAGGAAACTAGAATAACTATTTAAGTCAATTGAAGAAGATATTTTTTGTTCAATTTCAATAAAATAAAAGCAAGTGTGGAAATAAAAAAATCAAAAAGGAAACTAAAATAACCATTTAAGTCAATTGACGAGAGTTTTTTTTGTCAATTTCTTGTATTAACAAATTTTCTCTGGCAATATTGCCACCCCATATGTGTGTGTGTATTATCATAAGTTCTTGCTGGGTGGTTTAACACATATGGTCTAAGTTCATGTGATAGCCTCATTCCCTGGTACTAACAATTTTTCTTTGGCAATATCTCCACCCTGTGTGTTTGTGTAATGTGTTTATTATCATAAATGCTTGCTCAATGGTTTAACATATACGGTGTAAGTTCATGTGATATCCTCATTCCTTTCTACTTCTAAACCTTATCTTCTCTTTTTATTTTTTATTTTTTATTTTAAAAAGATGCAGCATGAATTTCTAAATTGGCTTGCAAATTAAATTGCATAAACTATTATTTTATATGACCAAGTTTCATTTCATATTTCAGTCCGACAACCATATTCTGAAGCAGTCAAGAGAGCCATTAATGGTCATCATACTGTATGAACTATTGATAACTTATATTTACTGTTTGCCAGTTTAGCTTTTTTACATATTGGTATATGACGCAATGTATTATTTACTCAGAAACAGTGAGGCACATCTTACTTTTGTTTCCATTGCAGGCTGTGGCAGCAGGTCACCTGTTAAAACTTCCCTTTACAACCATATTTGAATATCTTCAGGTTAGTTTCAATCAGCTTTTGAGTTTGTTTTTCAATTTTCTTGTGTGCATGTAAGGTTAGTTGATTTCAGAAAGTTACTGAGTTTTATCTTTTAATGCATTGATTTTTATTCAAAGCTTTTGTCAGCTAAATGCAGCTTTAAAGCGGCATTTACTGAATTTGATTGGCTAGTTCAAGTGTTCAAACATGAGAATAGTCAACTACTAATTTGGGGCTTGTTGATTTCCATATCATTGAATGGAATTCATCATCTGAACCATTATTTTGTTCAGCTACTTATCTGTGATGTTGCAATTATGTGTTAATTTTTTTTTTTAATCTTTATTCAATTTTTTCTTCAGCATGCAGATTATTTTTCCTACATACTGCTATAGCAACTATCCATATAATGAATAAACATCTGGTGTCCTTGGCAGATGTTACAAATGATTGCAATATCGATAAGGAATCTTGGGCCACATACTATGTTTTATCTTGCTGCTGCAGTGTCTGACTTTTATGTCCCTTGGAAGGATATGGTAATAGTTGAATATGTTGAAAAAAAAGACTTCTTTTTTTTTTTTCACTTTTCTGATTATTTCCAACTGCATTTGGTCCCAGCAAAGTATAGATCAGCTTGAGATATTTCCCACTGCTTCTCTGTTTATATAAATTGCATAAAGGGTTATTCTCCACTTAAATTAGTTCAATCTTTCCCATAGGATACAGTGGTAATGTTATGTAAAAGTTATACTCATAATGTGCTAGAACTAATCATGTGGAAGTTAAGAGTCAATTTTTTTTTTTTAAAAAAAAAAAGGAAAAATGAAAGAAAGAGATATGTCCTAAAAATTAGGCCAGCTACACCCCCATTTCACATTTTGTGAGCATAACAGTGCCCATGAACATTTTCCTATTTATTTTGAAATTGCTGTATGTTTGTCTCTTTATTGCCAACGTAAGAAGATTGTTCATGTTGAAGGTGCCAGGTGGATCTTGATTAGCCTGTTGAAATTTGTATTCCATGCTTTGAAAAAGTAATCCTTGGTTAGAGAGCATAGGTTATTGGCAATAGATTGTTTTGAGGATCTTGATGATTAATTCATCCGGAAGATGGAATACTTTGGGGTAGAGATTGCTAAAAGGGGAAGAGGTTGATCTAGAACCTTACAGAGGGGAAGTGGTATTGAAAGATCTATGGTCTTGAGATTAATGAGAATCTAGCTATGAACAGAACAAAATGCAACTAGTCTAGGTTCAAGGCTTTTTTTTGTTATGTCTATCTTATGCTTGTTTATTACTTAATAAAGAAAATGATTTTAAAAATTTTCTATATTTTTACCAAAATTATATATTTTTTAAAGTCATTTGTTTCCCCCATTTTATGCTTTTTTGCTTATTCTTTCCATGATTGGACATAGCAGAAATGATAACAAAGGATTCATATAGCTGATCCCAGTTAGTTTGGGACTAAGACTTAGTTGTTCCCGTCGTTTATTGGTTTTAAATAGCTTAATAACATTTGCAGGCAGAGCACAAGATTCAATCCGCATCTGGTCCACTGGACATGCGACTGGTACAAGTGCCGAAAATGCTCTCAGTGTTGAGGAAAGAGTGGGCTCCCATGGCCTTCTGCATATCTTTCAAGGTTAGATGTTGTGTCATCCTATCCTCTAATGTCTTTTTTGGTGATTCAAAGAGTTTTGACTTGACCTTTCCCTTAGATAGTGTTTGGAACTAATCTATATGGAATTCGTTTTATTTGCAAATGAATTTCATTAAAGGAATTCATTTTATAAATGAATTTTCATGTTTGGATTAACTATAGAATTCATTTGGAATACTTAGATTTACTAACTTGTTCTTTGAATTAATTATTTATGGTAGCTTGTACTTTGTTAAGTTTAGAATTCATTTGCAGATTTTATTACACTTCGCTAGGATTTGGTTCAAGTCTAACCAATTTCAGAAAATTACAAAATGTAGAATTCTAAGTGAATTTTGATTTGTACCAAACATGAATGCGTATGGATTTGTAAATGAATTCCATAAAATTTCTATAAGATGACAAGTACTCTAGTTGATCTGCCCTCTATCTGAAATAAAAATGATTTAAAATCCATTCAAGAGTTATAGCTGGATCATATGATCGGTGAATCTGGTTCATTTGGTAATATTCATAAGAGAAATCTAATTTCTGATTCCTTCATTCATGTTTATTCCAGTTTAATAATAAGAAAGGCAATGTAGGAAAATATTAAAGAATGTGATCTTTCAGTGTTCCTAGCATCTTAACAGAAAGCTGACTCAATTATGTTCCTCTCACTAGGGAATGACATTGTATCTTTTTATATCCATAATACTACATACCAGTGTTACTTTGAGTTTCACCAAGGAGTTATTTGCTACTTATGTTTTCTGTGTCTCTTCACCACCCACCTTAGGAGTTCTTAAATAGACAATTTAACCTTTTCTTTTTTGTTTGTTAACTTGGACTTCAACGTGGGACTCGTTTACTATGTCGCACTGATTTTGTTCCCTACTTTAGTCGCACTGATTTTGTTCCCTACTTTGCTTATAACAGCTCGAGACAGATTCAGAGATCCTTTTACAGAAGGCTGATATGGCACTTAAAAAGTACAAGATGCATGTGGTTGTTGCAAATGAACTCTTGACCCGCAAAGAGGAGGTTATAGTTGTCACGAGTGATGAAAAGATTCATGTCTGCCGTGACAAGACTCGGCCCGGTTCTGATGTGGAAAAGCCCCTCATTGAACTGCTCGTGGAGAGGCATTCAGCTCACATCAAGGGCCCTCATGCATGATTTTTCAGGTTAACAGCATCATATAGGTGACATATTCGACAAATTTTCTGCTAACATATTACTGAAATTATATGAAATATTGTTGGCATTTTGAACTGACTTTCTTGTTTTCTAATTAATCCATTCGGGATCGTGTAATTAAACCTTGCATAAAGGAGAAGCAGAAGAAAATGATTGTAATTACTTCTAGTTCTATTTCCAGTCTGGAATAATAATGAATATAGACATAATGGACCTACACTTCATTTGTGCAATAGGTTGACAATTGCCTCCTAAATGGCAATTCTCATTCATTTCTTACCTGAAAATTAATCATATGTACAGTTCACTTTTCTACAAATAGAATATGTATCGGTGTGCTCCTGCTGAATAATATTCCAGAATGTATTAGGTGTAATTGAGAGTAGAGGGTCAACATATGTGCATCATTCTTTACATAGCTTCATCGTCATCCGTGTCCATTTCAAGGCCTTCTGCAGCCAGAAGCTGACTGATAACCTTCTTCTTCTCTTCTTCTGCTTTCTTTCGCATCAAATCTCTTTTCTTTAAGACAAGCGTATGTCGTCTGAGAGTATTGTTGAAATACTCCGCCGATGCTTTTTTCTCCCTTGCGAGGATTCTTCTCTCTTCTTCAGGGTCAATCTAGCAACCCAGCAAAATATACAAGTTTGAGATGTGCAAATGAAGAGAGGCATCCGTACCATAAACAAAGGCCTGATAGATTCTTTTGTTCCAACCAAATATAATCGAAGGGGAAGCATGACTGAAATTAATAGCAGCTTTTATTACCAATATCAATGGTACTAGGGCCTACCCTACTGGCAATGAACAGGATACAACCACGAGACATGATTCAAATTGATAAATCTTGCTGTTAGTAAAACCCAGGGGCCCCGAGCACCCAGTTCAGAGGAACTATATCTTCGATTCTATTGATACTTCAGTTGAATATGGTACACCAAAAAATATCCTTAAACTATTAAACTGGTTAACTCCTTATTAAAAGTAATAATAATAAAGTAACTTAAGTATATTAAACCACTTGAGAAATTATGAAAACGCTTACAATACCTTTGAACGAGAAAGACGGCGTGCACGGATATTCATTTCACGCTGCTGTTGCTCAGCCCAAGCTGCAATAGCCATATCACCCCGTTGATCAAAAGCTTTTCGCTTTTTCATGAGCCACTCCATCCATGCTTGTGATGCCTGGAAGAATGAATATGGAAAGGCCATTAATTCGAGAGATAGGTTGGAAATTACTAAATAGAGAAGAAAAGGGAGATAAAAGGAAAAAGAAAACAAGCATTTTTCATAAACCAGCTAGAGTATCTTTCTCTCTACCTCACACATTTATTACTCTCACTGACTAATGCAATTCACCAGGAAGACCTTCGAATATTCTCAATCAAATTCAAAATAACACATAGGCATTGTTATTCTTAAGTATTACCTTCATTGGATTGACCCTGTGATCCATATCGTATTGTTTCCGTTTATCTTCATCCATGAGCAACTCGTATGCAGCCTGAATTTTGATGAATCTAGCTTCAGCTGTTTCCCCTTCCTCAAGAGTCCCTCTACCATCATAAACTTTCCATGGAAAAATGAATAAATAGATGAGTTCAAAGTTCTTATCTTATAAAGATGCCTCTAAGGAAACAGCCAAGCACAAGTGACAAAAGGAATCATGCTGCAGAGATTACCGTACAGCTCATTACAAATCAAAGGAGTCTAAACAAACTTAACAGGACCATATGATGCTCAAGAAATAACAAGACGCAACCTGAAAAATAACCTCCACTGGAAGATTGAGCTAACTTAGATTCTAACCATTCAACCAAAGCAGTAATTCAAGCTTCGAATTAAACAAAAGTATATAACATGAAATGATAAGAACATATACACAATCCACCCTCCTTCAGAAATTCAAATTGTTCATCTGTGCACTATAACTCGATAATTGCACATATAAAGCAGTCAAGAAGCCTCTTGGTTTTTCAGTTTGGTCATGTTCCCTATTAATCATATTTTAAATGCTACAAATTTTGTTTCCTTCTTTTTTTTTTTTTTTTTAGAAAAAGGAAAAATAGGGCAATAAGAATCTATAATCACAGAGCTATTCCAAGTATTTTGTAATCACTATCAAGGTGATTTTTTCTCTCTTTTCAGGATTCCTGTTACATTCAACTTATAACGTCACTAGCAACAATTTTACAACACATATAGAAAGGGAGTTAACAGAATGCATAATAATGTCCACAAGTCACTAAAATTGAGTTGCAGACTAATTTTCACTAGTCCAATCCAAAAATACAATGACAAGATGAAGGAAACTAACCATCTGGATGATAAAATTTTGCCAATCGTCGGTAAGCGATTTTAATCTCCTCATCATCTGCATCTCTTTCCAACTCTGTATTTGAAGATAAAATTACACAGAAATTTGTTAGTCACCTCCATCAATTACAATAATGAATGAATTAATTACAAGCAATAAAGGAATATAATATCTCCGTCTCCATCTCTATTAAATAAAAAGCAAGCAAAATTTCCTCCGACGAGAGAGGAAATAGCTAATAGTACTATTTAAATAGCCAACAGTACACGAAAATTTGATATTTTTTTCGCTTTTTCCTCTACTTTTTCAGCTACGAAACACCATAAACAGTAACAAGAAACTAAAATTAACATAAACACAAAAGAAAAGAAGATATAACAGATTACCGAGAGTTTCATACGGGGATTTCTGATCGGGCCAATTTGAAGCCCTGACCACGGTTCTCCTCTGATTAACGCTAAACCAGGGCTCATTTCCATGGAGCCAAGGAGAGAAAAGAGAAGGCGAAGATAACGGCGACTTGTAGTCAGGGTTCCGAAATGAAACCCTAACTCTGGATCGAGCTTGGTGCCTGCAACACATGAAGGAGGTGAATACAGTGTGGGGCCTACATACTGTTCTCAGACTGCTCATTTTTTTTTGTTTTGTTTTCAATCCTTTAATTCCTTTCCGAAAATGTCTTTGAAGCTAAATTAGGGATTTTATTTTCTTTTTCAGAGATTGATTGATTGAATGTTGAAGACGCGAAGGAAGCGAATATGAAAACGAACCACTGGAATGGAATCTGACTGAATCTTTTTTTCCTTTTCCTTTTTATTTATTTTTACAGTGAATTTTGTGGACGGTTGGGCTTCCTGACAACCGGCCGTTGGAACGGTAAATTTAACTATTTTCGTTTTACCCGCCATCTATCTTCATCATAACAATAACAATAATTTATAACTATTATTATTATGAGTCGCCAAAAAAAAATAATAATAATAATAATAACAATAATTAGAATACCCTACATACAAATATACAAAGAAATGAGAAAATATATACAATGAACAAAGAAAAAACATATTGATATAATTTATATCTACAAAATAATAAATTTTTCATATTAAATTCCTTTATGTTATCATAATTAAACTTTTTTTTACTAATTTTTGTTATATTTACTAATTAAAAATGTTTCCTTTTTAATATATTTCTGTTTAATTTTATTGACTCCTTCATGTGTAGATTAATTTTCAATTAATATAGCAATTTTTATTTCTCCCAAGTTAATTTTACCAGCTCTCTATAAAGATTGTGATAGTTCATTTTTTCAATTTATGCATATCAGCCAAGTAGATATGGTGAAATATTTTGATTAGCGCATGTATGTAATTTTTTTATTGACTTATTGTTTATTATATTCTATATATTATTTACAAAATTCCATTTTATTTTTTAATAAAAATATTATTAAAATGAGTGTTCTATTTACTGGATAACAATCAGAAACTTTTTACAGTTTTATGTTTTTGATTTTAAAATAAATTTCTATAGTATTTTTAAAGTTTTGGTTTCATAGTAATTAATTGTGTAAAAATTATATATACTACTTTTTATGAAAAAAAAAATAAAACAGAGTGAATTATATTATCATAAATGATTTGTATTCGTTTGATGCAAAGAGGAAATCTGCCAAAATTACAATATATCTCATTGAACATCAACTTCATTAACTGATTTCTTTGCTTCTGCTCACACATAATTTAGGTTCATATTTACACCTGTCGAGTTAACAAGCTGCTATGGAAGACAGAGGTAGATCAAGAAAAAGTACTCTCATATATATAAATATATATATATATGTAACAAAATCCACGTACGTTCTATTCTTGGCAGCCAAGGCATGAATGCTAGTGGTAAATTAACCTAAATATTGTGGTTCTTCCATTTCCTAGTCTAGGCAGGTTCACGAGGACGGGCAGCCCATAGCGAACTTAGAGCACGAAGACGGTGGAAGTATTCTCCCAGAGCAAGTAATCCTCGAGCTGCTTGGCGGGTCGTTAGAATCCGAGACATTTGTTGTAAAGTTTGTTGGCGCAAGTGATCTGCCTGTTTCAAGAAAGAACAATGCATAATCTGAAGTGAGAAATCCGAAAGAGAGCGCTTAAGCGCTTCAGATCAAGCATTGCGTGTATTCTTACATATTAACTTTCCCTGTCTAGAAGACTAGAATAGATAGTAATCCCATTTACATGTCATCATGCGAAGCAACTAGTCAACACTATGAGATGATCACAGGAAAAGGAAAACCAACACCAGCGTGATTGAAATAACAGAACATCTATCAGCAACTTCAGTGGCACCAAGACTCGAGGAGTCGAATCGAAACTAAACTTTGATGAGGTGGATTGTCTTTTGTCCACATCAAAAGTTAAAGATACCAAACCATGTAAAAATTGAATTCAGGAAGAACAAAAGAATTCGGATAAATCAAGGTCACAGTAACCACCTCAAAGGTAATAGCTAATAAGTGATTAGTACCTGGTTCACAAAGCCCTCGAGTGCTTCCAACTTTTCTATTGCAGCAGCCATCTGAGCCCTGTAACTTCCACCACTTGTTATATCCGCTGCTATACTATGGGCCAGAGTCTGCTGGAGTTTATCAATTCCTTGTGACAGAGCATCTTCAGCTTGCTGAGAAGATTGCCGAAGGTTACAGACATCCACCATTTGTTGATCAGTCAAAGGCTCCAACTGTGACATCAGAACCTGAAAAGCAAATCACGTCCCAGAATAAAAATCACGATGTAAGGCTTACGCATGTTTTCTTATGTCACACCCTCAAATTTCAGGAAGAAACACTTTAACTATCGCATCCGCACGGTAAAATCACTCAAAACATAAGAATACGATATTGTACTATAGATGAAGATAAATCCCTTGCAGCGAAATACATAACTATTGACTACTTGTCTGCTCACAAGCTAAGAGCATAAAATTAAGAAGACTAATCAAATAGTTAAATCTATTGTAATGTGAAAAACGAGCAATATGTCCCACTCGGAATATCCACAAACAATGAATTACACAGAGCAAAGCCTTACATTTAGAAGCTCTGAGGGACGGAATCCCCCGATCCATTGAAAAAAGCGCTCTACTGATGTTCTCCACTTGCCAGAAATCAAATAGAAGACATCAGCCTTTGCAGCGTCTGCTTTCATGCGGAAAAGATTGTTGTAGTGGTTCAAGCCATTTTCCACAAGTATCCGAAGCTCTATATCGGTGATGTGAGCTTGTAATGCATTCCTAAGTTCAGAAACATGTTTATGTTGCTCCTCAACCCAGTGTCCATACTCTATTTCAAATGTAGTAATTCCTGCAGATCAGAAACGAAGCTGTCATAAAGTACAAAACAAGAATACGAGATGGTTAATCATGAAAACTACAAATAAGATTGTAATGAGCCAATTTAGTTTTACAGAGGTAACTAGGCCATGAAAATTGATTGCATAAGCTGCTTGAGGGACAAACAGGCAATAACAGGGTACAGCTCCCATGTTGCCTTCAAATATACAGTTGTACACAAAATGTTTACTATGAAGCTCATAAAGGTTGTATCCATTACATAGGCAATAAGGTATGGAAGCAGGTGTGCAGCACTCTAATTTTTAGAGAACTTGCTAATAATGCCTCCTACGTAGACCATCCTTTTAAGAAGATCCAATAATTAAAGTTAAATCCCCTCCATGATGCTCTTTGCTTGTTCTAGCAACCTACAGTTGCAACAATTTGCAGAGCCATTAACCTAAAATTGCTTCTCCTAAGATTCCTAGAACAAAATAATAGTTTCATTGTCCAAAAATGTATAAAATTATTATTTGAAAGGTGATAAATTTGTTAGCATTAAAATAAAATTAAGTAAAAGGTGAAACAATAAATTCAATTGGTTCATGGAAGAAAATGATAAAAAAACAGAGTGTAGATATTCCAGAAATTCTGCTAATGCATCATGTAAACAGTTAAAAGGTGAGACACTCAACAAAAAAATGTAAAACAATGATTTCCAATGCAGAAGATTTGAACCTGAATTTATATTTCCAGGCAATAAATGAGTTGCATCTGGTACGCTGCCCACAAACAAACCCTGCAGTAAGACATTCACAGACCTGTTATATAGCTTGAATATTCAGTGGCAACAGGAAATGCATTATGATGAAAGGGGGAACAAAGTCGAAAAAGAAATAATTTTTATCTCACCTGTTGACGAGCTCTCTCAAGTTCCTGCTCCAGCTGCACCAACTTCACGCGGCTAGATTCTAGTTGTTGAACGTAGGCCTAAGAAACAACATAGAAATATAAACTTTCTATGTCGTAAAGTAAAAATTCCTTCCATCAGCAATCTTCTTCATCTTCTTCATTTTCTGCTTAGTTTTATTTTTCCAAATTGGCTTTTTAATCCCAGCATTCTGTCAGGACATCTTTATGAGAATACATTAAAGCTTACCTTTTTCCGCATGCGACTTTTGCGAGCAGCTTCACGATTTTGTGCCAAACGTCTCTGCACCTGAGGATAGATAATATTGCAGTCAGATGACTAACATTGAATGCTATTCTAGTTTATTTCCCCTTATATATTTTGCTTTTGACAACTCTTTTGCACAAAGGAAAAGGAATATAGTACTCTTATACAACACAGTACTTAACAGATACAGACTTTTTTCCCTCAGCAGGACCTCAGGGTGCATTAGCTGTCTTACATGAAACTCAGGATATTCCTCACTCCATGGCATGGCAAATATATAGAAAATCAACAAAATCTCTTTATCAATCACTTTTAAGTACTCAATTTTTTTAGATACAAGCCATATCTCATACGCAAAATGTATTCCCATTTGTTTGATTTATATCCTTCTGCAGCAAATATAATGTCAATGAATGGAATAAAGAAGCATGACAAATTTGCAAAGATAACCTTAGCCAGCAGGAAACATTTCCACTATAGAACACAGCTACGGTTCACTACTAATAGCAAATGCTAAGAGAACACCGCCATCATGTGAAAGTATTTAAAAATCTATTGAAATTGGATGACCACGTTTAAGAATAGAACCTTAATGAATCAAGATTTATTTTTTACCAGAGATAGAGTTCATGAAGCAAGATCATTCAGCATTTTATAAGAAGATTGCGCCGATGAAAGGTTTTACAACAGAAATTTCAATGTTGACTAAGATTTAGTGAGTCAAGATATAACTAGAAACAATCTTTTCATTGAGTTTCTGGTGATAATACTGGATTATTGGTTTCACATGCAAGATGTTTGTTTCAAATGAATTAAAGCTATTGGAGATCTCATTTCGACAAGATACGCTTATTATCAATCCATAAAAAAAAATGCACAATGTCGTATGACAATTAACATCTTCAATTAAGAAAGAGAAGAATTCTCGTTACCTTATCAGCAGGTCTGTTTGCTTCTTGATCACTTCTAGAAGGTTCCATTGATTCTTGAGAAACATATTCACCCTAGAGGAAGTGAATCAGAACAAGTCGGTCATGCCTAGCAATCAGATAATAATAACTCTTACATTCATTAATAAAGAGACTAAAAAAAATCATTACCTTGTTTAGCCCATCATCCACCTGCATGATTGTGGATGGACCAATATTTAGGTTATCATTGCCTCTGAAAGTGTCTCCCCATGAGCTAATCTGGTGGAATGGCTCATAAATGCCCATACCCCTCAAGGCAGAAAGTTGAGTAGATGAAGAGCTCATATTCTAAAATCAATCAGGACATACAAAGTAGAGAAAACAGTGAAAACTCAATATATTGACTCAGCTGCATCATCATAAAATGCATAATTATATAAAATTGGCTTTCTAAAACAAAATAGAAATGTTTTGCAAATTGAAGTATTATGGAACAAACACAGAAGAGGAGGGGGGGGATGATAGGTGACCAGCTTTTCTCCGCACAATTAATGTTAAATACTAAAAACTGAAACAACTGGGACTATTATTAATATTTTTTTTTTTTTTTTTTTTTTTTTTTTTTTTTCAATTAATGTTAAATACTAAAACTGAAACAACTGGGGACCTTATTAATTAATATTTTTTTTTTTTTTTTTTTTTTTTTTTTTTTTTTTTTTTTTGCTATCCAGGCATCTTTTTTTTTTTTTTTTTTTTTTTTTTTTTTTTTTGCTATCCAGGAATCAAAAATAATAATTAGAAATTTACACTTGCAATGCCAAGAGAGAAGCACTTGAAAAAGGTGAGTTTAGCATTCTTGCACAATTTTCTACTTAAATTCACCTCCATGAACTTTAAAGAAATGTAGGATAAACACATTAATCAACAATTCTGTTAGATATATGAATATCAGGTTTTTCCTTATCCATATAGGGAAAATCTTACAACTCTTAAGAATTACCAAAGACTGAAGAAACTTAACAATAACGGCATTAGCAACATCAATATGAGAGAAAGAAAGGAGAAGCCGGGGTAAAAAACAATCTCTATTTAAGGAGATCACGTCACATCATATTTCCTTTTCTAAGGTCGTAAGAACAGAAGAGATAACAGAGAGAGAACTTCTGAAGGGAAACAGTGGTTCTCCCTTCATGTGAATCCCAATTTTAGGTTCCTTCCTTTCAATGGAGATGACAAAATGATAGAGGCTATAAAACACACCAGTAGATATCTGTAACTGCCTCCTCATTTTGTCTTCAGAAATATCACTACCACATTAATATATCAATAGATTGACAATGAATAAAGGCAGCTTGATGTGATAATCTCATTTCTCATGTCTGCTTCATTTCATAATAAATTATCTCAGGACATATTAAATTTTGTTCCCTACAAATTCCTAAACATTGATCATGAACTAATAATATACTGCCATACTTTTTAGACTTCGATTCATTATGCATCAGCTAAACCATTCAGCAGTATTCTGTAATCTACAGTTTATTAATGGATTCCAGCTTCCTTTTGCCAGTGAATGTAAGCTTATGCCGAACCATGTAACTTGTGTCTTAATTTTATTTTATCTTTTTCGTTGCAAGTTTGATCCAAATAAAGTTTGATTGATCCTAACAGTCCAAAAACCCTACCATGTTTTGACCAGCAGTAAGGCAATCAGCTGTAATAGTCTATATCGCTCTTTTAGAAACTGGGCTGACAACCTATATATATGAGATAATAGTAAGACTAAAACCAGTAAGAACTTCAATACTTACAGAGTCCTCTGCTCAGGAAGAGCAACTTTACAGCTACAGTTGGCTCCAACTTCTAATTACAAGTAGTGATGCTGAATTAACTCTAGGATCAAAATCCTCAGAGACACACAAAACAGGAAAACCTGCATTTAGCATGCGGTTCAATTATCTCAAACTTCTATGTATTTAGCAGTAATAACACAGGCGGAAGCAATAGGCTTCAAGACATTATTTCTCCACAAACTCCATAATTCAAATTAAAACTAGCTAAAAGAATTGTAGATAAGTAAACAACGAAGTCCATGTGGTCAATTCGAAGGATTCTCTATCGAAGCAAACAGCAAACAATTTGATAGTTAAAAATGAAGAGAAATAACTCATTCTGCCTACTATCCATACGTAAGTCCAGTAGTCCACTACTAATTGACACTTCCAACTCCCGAAAACGCAAAACACTTTCCAGTCCAACACTCTAAAACTTCAACCTCCAGTTAGTGCAAATAAAGAACAAAACTAAACTCAATCTGCTAAGATAGAGAGTGACTAGAGCTTTTACTTACCTCTTACAGGATGCTTCACCAAAATGGAGCCAAAAGCTCACATGCTTCAGTTTCCTAATAGGCAAGGAAGGATCATCAAGAACAAGAAAACTAAACCAAGTTTATGTCTTGATTAGCAAACAAGTCTAATGCAAGAAAACCCCAATTGAACACACAGGCTGTCAGTTTAATACTAGTTGGTTTCAAGAATCAACATCACATTACCATCCACCCATTCCTCGAAAGCAAACAAAGAACCAAAAGCGACACCCCAAAGTCGCAAAAAGAAAACAGAATCAAAATAATCTAACAATGACTGAAAAAGAATGCATCTTTTTAAAAAAAAAAAAAAAAAAAAAAAAATTAAAAAAAACAAAAAAAAAAAAAAAAAATTTCGACGAGAATAAAAAAAAAAAAAAAAAAAAAAAAATTTCGACGAGAATGCTACAGTCAACCCGTTAACGTCGTTGTTGTTACTAAAAGTCTAAAATAAAGCATAAAATGCGCACCTTTGTCACTTTAACCTACGCACCTGTACCTAATACACCATTCTGTGATTGTGTCATCTCTAAAGTATTGGGGGTGTTTTGGTGACGTCATATACCGGCAAAGTGCGATTGCCGGCGGCGGCAAAGCACGTGAAATGTGGGGTCTGGTCATTGACGGGATGACGGTGAATGAGTTGCGTGGCTAATGAATACGAAGTATAGCATTACTCATCAATGGCTGGTAATTATTTTGGTTTTTTTTTTTTTTTTCAAGCTGACAAGGATGCGGGGACACAGTAACATGTTTCGACACGTAAGCAAGTGTGTCAAAAACAAGATTTAACACGCGTGTCTTGTCCATCAATTATTCATAAATCCATTTAAGAATCCACGGGATAAATGCGTAAATTTATCTTTTATAGAAAAATCTTAAGTATTAAACTTTTATTTTATTATGTTTAACACTTTAATTTGTTAAAATTATATTTACTATAATTTATAAATTTATTTTTTATTTTATTTTTTTAGTACATATTAAATTATAAAATTAAATATTTATTATATAGTTGATATTTAAAATTATACTTAATTACATATCAAATTAATATTTTTTTAAATCAAATTACTATACATAAAAGAAAAAAATTCAAAAAATTGTTGTTGTTAGTATGAAAAAATATATAATATTATTTATCAAAATTTATAATTTTAGAAGCTCAGTTTCTCCACAAAATTTATGCCATAAGATTTTTTGCATAAATAAAAAATAAATTTATGATTTATCTGTATGCAATATATCAATCTCCTTATTATGAATGTTTATTTATTCTTTATTAAAAAATAAAAACCAATAAATTTTAGTTTAATGCGGAATTATAAACACTAAGTATAATGATATAAAATATTAAACTTTTAACATCAAATATAAGATTAATTTTTTTAAATTTGCACACCAGGTTTTAAACTCCTATATTATAATTAAAGTTTGTTTTGAGATTAATTATAAATAAAATATAACCTTATAAATCAAATCACATACAGGAAAAGTTTGTCTTGAGATTATTTATTAATGAAATGTAACCTTATAAATCAAGTCACCGTTTGCTCTATATTTTTAATTCTTACGTGCATTGGTTAATTGATCGGGATGGCTTACTTGTCTCAATTTGATTTTTTATACAAAAACAACTTTCTACAAGTAGTTTTTAATAGTAAAAATTATTATATTACTAAATTAAAATTTACCGCAAATAATTCTCTAGCTAAATGATTAAGGTGATGATTCTAAGTTTAACGCACTATCTCAACATATTTAATATATAATTATTCTACCCATTACGTATTACTTTAAATGAAGTATGTATGAAGTTTATAATCTGTAAATTATGTTGAGAAGTCTCCTTAAACTGTCACATTGTAAAATATATTACTACACTATAATATTTCACGGAAAAAAAAAAAAAAAAAAAACCCATCTTAGGATCTCTGTTAAGCGAGCACGCTTAACCATGGAGTTCTTCCAATTCTCCAAAACATTTCACCAAAAAGCGCCTTTGTTGATTAGTTTCCCTCTTTTTGATATATGATTCAATTTATTCCTACGTCCCGCAATAGAGATATGATAGGCCCACCAGCTTCCGCGTGGTTCATCCTCGAACCATACATCTATTGAAGGGGGTCCGGCTCTGATACCGACTGTCACGTCCGACTTCAATCACTGGAGGAATTGTCCGCTTTGGATCAAGCCAAATCTATCCCATAGTGGATTGGCAGGATCCGTAAGGTTTTGTCCCGCAGGTGAAATGGGGAACTCAGGAGATGCACTCATCCTATGATTTTTTCCCGTTAAGCCGAACATGTTTTAACCCTGTAGTTCTTCCAACTCTCCGGCCCTTCCAACAAAAAGGCCGCCTCCTAAATGATTAGTTTCCCCCTTTTTCGATATATGATTCGATTCATTCATGTGTCCCGCATTCCCACTACCCTAACTAGCCCTTCCATCCTAGAAGCTAGCCAGGAGCTTCGCTCTATCGATATATGATTCGATTCATTCATGTGTCCCGCATTCCACTACCCTAACTAGCCTGCCATCCTAGAAGCTAGCCAGGAGCTTCGCTCTATCCGCCCTCTTAAGATCACTTTGTCGGGTCCGGATATCACAATAATCCCCAAGAAGAATGGATAAAATTAAGGTCATGCTTTTTGGTTGCCAACCCAGCCAATGCCACTACGGATATCAACAAAAACAAGCCAATGATTGAAACAAATTTTGACCTTGCAATACATTATCAAATGTTTCAAAGCTTTTTTTCCTTTTTTTGCAAAATTTCATTGCTTCTTCATGCTCTTTGAGGGACATGAATGAGTAGAAGAAGTCCTATTTGTAGAAAGTATATTCAAAAGCAGGCACTTTTCTTCCATAACCAAAAAAGCAAAAGAAGTGTTTTTCTTGCATGGTTTGGCTAAGGGAATTAAGGATAATTTGTAAGAATCATGCTTGTTTTAATTTAGAACATATATTGAATTGAAAAAACTTGCCTAGTTCATGTCTATGACCCTACTAAGAGATTAAACAAATGAAACTAAGGATTTTTTAAAAAATGTTTCGATTTTATCCTTTTTTCTAAGTGTATGATCAAAAATACTATCGTTTCAATAAAAAATAAGGTAACGTGTAATCTCAATCCGATGTGGGCTTTATATCATGAGTTATTGTATAGTATAGGCAGGTTAATTATGCAAGGAAAATGCTTTGTCAGCTTAGCATTAAGGTTACATAAAGAAGAGGAAGAAAACAAAATGAACAGAAAAACTCAAAAAAGAAAATTGCCAAGTGGATTTGCTTAATGGCTTAGCATTTTTCAGGAAATGATTGCCACTAAGATTGCTACCAATGAGTATTGGTTAAGAAAACATTATCAACTTGAATTGGTGACAACAAAGGAAACAAAAAAAAAAAAAAGTTCAAACCTTTAGAAGTGTATAAGCTCACACTTTTTTGTATTAATGATATACTTTATTTTATTATTGATGTCAATTATAACCAAACATTCATTATCGTGTATTTAGTATTTATTTATTAAATATTTAAAAAAATCTCCTTTCTTTGTTTAAAAAAAAATATTTATTGTAATTACAAGATGTCATTATCATCAATTTCTTTTATATCCTATGAAAATGGATATATTATTTAAAATCTTTAGACTAAAATATACAAATTCAGCAAAAGTAGCTAGTGGAATAGATATTAATAAAAAAAAAATTATTTGTAAGAAATATCTAGTTTTTAAGTTAGTTTTAATCCCTCTATTTAATTAATTGATAAAGTTCATTTCTTTTTAACATAGAAGATATTTAAGATAACAACCCAAAGCAAAATCTTGCCAAACTATCTCTCACTGTACTTCAATTATTTTAGTACAAAATGGGTCAATAATGTACTTATTCAACCAAGATTTTGGAAAAAGTTTCTCTCTTATAAGTAGAATCTATGTCAATGGAATATAAAGACTAAAGACACCCACTAATCAAATTAGGTCACATAAGAGAGACCCCTTTAGCTTTATTATAATCGATGTTTCGAGATCACAGTAGTATTCTTTCACATATCTTTTCTTTCTCCTTTCGTTTATTTTTTTGTTCCTTATTCATATATAAAACACCAATAGACTTGAAAAATATTATTGACTGTACAGTAAAAGATAGCTTTTGTACTGAACAATGAAAATTATCGGAACTTGAGACTTCTTATTACTCTCCATACCAACGAGACTAATTAGCTTTCTATTTTTATTTTATTTTGCTTATTAGCTAATGGCATATCCTTTCCTAACTCTCATCACTCACGGAACTTGAGTTATATTTTATTTGGTTACCAACAAGTACCAAACAGATGATAACTTAAAAAATGGTAACATGAATCTTCTTTCAATACAATTTGCAAAAGGTGTTTTGTTTGGACAATTCCTTGTTCTATCACCTTTTCTTTTCACTTTGTTTTTTCTCTTTTAGCAAGTATTTCTTTATGCATCACCGAGAGCTTTACAAATAGTAATTAAAGTGGACAGGATAATGACATAATTATATACTTTTTATATGTTAATCAATAATTTAAAAAGGAGAAAAGATTTCAGGGTTTCATATCCTTGATCTCCATTATTATATTTAGAATATTAGATTAATATATGATTAATCTGAAATTAGAAATTGATCAGAAAAGAAGAAAGGAATTTTATATATTGCCTCCTCAATAAGCTGAAATATGAAGCCATTGAGACATCAAAATCAGGAAAGTAGTTAGCTAGTTTAATCAATTTATGGGTTCAACATCACAAATTGTAATATAAAATTGGGAGTAGGAACTTTCCTAGGAGGAAAAAAGCATACCTTCTTTTGTTTCTATGTCATAAACAAAAGAATAACTGCCATTGGAAAAGAAAATTATATATATATATATATATGAATTTTACTGTTTTTTCTTTCCAAATTATGAAGTTCAACCTTTCTTTTCTTATCAATCGAGTTACTTGATACCTTAACTACTATAGAATGGATCCGTAAATCTTGTCTAAATTCTTAAAATTGACTCGTTTATTAAACGAGTTTGATAGATAAATTTGAGTTCGAATCATTAAAATTATTGGACCAACTCAAAATCCATATATACGTGGTTCAAACTCTCGACATGATATTGATAAGTTACACTGAAGTAGGAATCCATAATGGTTAGAAAGATTCTGGTTTCCATGTTTAAGGGTATCGATGTACACAATGTATCGTTGTAATCTATGCCAAATTTGGATGGACTAAGGGAAGGAAAGATTATGAGCCACTGGAAATGCTTTTGTTCCCGTATCATGTGGATGTGGCCTAAAAGTCTAAAGTAGCAATCCCACTTAGAATCCCAACTGTGAGTCACCAACAGAGGGGAATATTCTCACGTGCTTGTTGCGTGACGGCTTGGAATCATTTCTTCCAAACCAAAAATTACTTGACCTCACCCGATGTCTGGGAAGAGTGTTCTGTTTATCAGTAGTTGCTGTCTGGGTAGAGACAATTTGAGAGATAACGTTTGCCTTTAGTTGCCACGATAGCTCATGATTGACGGTCCAGCTGATTAACAGCTGATATTTAATGAAATATATAATATTAAATGTTTTTCGCATCTCATAAAATAGTTTGTTTTTATTTTTAGAAACAATGACAAATAATAATTAATATTATTTTAATAACAAAATTTTACCTTTAATTTTTAATATTTATATCTCTATATTAAAATTACATGTTACTTTCAATAAAGAATTAAGTGGAAAAACTATTAACAATGCTTGTTAAATAGGAATATATTAGAGAATCAAAACATTAATTGTATTTTTATAGACTATTTAACTAATAAATCATTTTTATAGACTAAATTATTTTTAATATTTTTAATCAAATACATTTGGAGTATTTTTTTATCAAATATTTAATTACTTATTATAATTTAAGTTAGAAATTAAAATATATTTTAAATCAAAAATAAAAAATCTATTAAGGAAATTATTCAAGAACTTATAAATTGAATGTATATAATCAGAATAATGATTCATAATCTAAGAAACAAGAACTTCATTATTAGAATCTTGATTTGCATTTTTTTTTTTTTTTAATTTAATGGGCTATGTTCCTTTATGCCTATTAGATAATTTGGAAATGAAAGCCCTTGTGAAAAGTTGGCATTCCGAGTCGAAGTGAGCTTTTTTAGTAAAACGTTCAGACTAATGATCGTTTAGAAATGAAGTGCCGTTTACCGAATGTGAAATAATTTTGTTAAAACTAACATTGGGAAATCCAGTCGTTTGATCATTGGGGAAAAGATAAGTAATGTTTACGAGGGTACCCGCTGTTTTAGAACGGCCTGCTAAAAGAAAAACGAAGTGCAGAAAACAACTGTCGTTTACATGAAAAATTAAAATTAGCAAAATGGCCCCAATGAAGAAAATTGTAGTCCTATGTTACGGAAAATTTGGTGTTTTTCAGAAGCAAGAATACGAGTAAGCCTGCGTATCGTGTTATTGATTTTTTTTCATTTTCTCTAAGAATGTCAAAGCGAAAAGTCTTATATTCTAATATCTTCACTCGCAAAATTTTTTAGTATTTAAAGTGATTATTCTTAATATATAAATCATAATAGTATTTCGACTCTCTCAAATAAAACCTTAATTAATACTATTTACCTACTAATTGTATATTTGAGGTGAAATATAACCGTATTAACGGCAAAAAAATGTGAACTGAAATGAAAGTTTGGCCGTTTCCAATTGGGAGAAGAGTCTTCAACATTCCATCTCTATATCCCACTAATCAAGCATCAAAATCAGCTTCAGCTGTTGAAATGCAGATGAGTCTCACTCACTCCTTCCCTCTCTCAATCCAAAAATAGCCTCCTTTCTAACGGGTTCTTCGATCTTCCTGGCGGCCATAGCTTTCGCTTCTATACTTTTCCTTTTTTCACTTTTATTTACTCTCTCTCTCTCTCTCTCTCTACCTCTTCTTCAGTCCTTCAATCTAGAACACCATCCACATCCCATTCTTCAAAATGGTAAATTTCATCAAGTTCTTAAATTTATAGAATTTCTTTTGTTTTGAACTTCTTTATATAAACAATACACCAAAAAAAAAAAAGTTTCATTTCTGTATTATTTTGTGCATTAACATTAATTAATTAATTTGATCTGATCTTATTCGTATTTCCTGAATAAATTTGTTTAGTTTATATCATATGTATATGGATAATAGAACAATGGTGTCACCTAATAGAGCTCAAGAACACCAATATAATCTCACCATTGATCAGTTGGGCAAGCCTTTAAATACTATGAAATTGGATGAGTTATTGAAAAATGTGATTTCTGCTGAAGATAGTCAGTTTCTACAAAATATTAATCCTTCGTCATCATCCTCATCCTCATCATCCTCTTCTGCTTCCTCGTTTCTTGGGAATTTCGATTTGAATGGAAAGAAGAAAGTTACAATAGATGAGGTTTGGAAGGACATAATTTTAAATCAAGAAAATGTGAATGCCATTGAAAACCAATCAAGAATTCATCAAGAAACTACTCTTGAAGATTTCTTGGTTCGATCCGGTGTTACAAACATAGGGAATAATCAAAATGGTTTGTTTAATATTCCTCATCATCATCAACCTATTGTGGGAATGCATGATCCAATGGCAGATTGGCTACAACTGCAAATGGCAGCCGTGCAAAGACAGCAAATGAGTGTTTTGGATTCTTCGACTAATTTTCATGCATCTGAATCATCATCATCAGTTTATCATGACAAGTCATCGATTATCGGGCATGATCACGGTGGATATGGAGAGAACCAGATGGGTATGACTATACCAGTATCAGCAATTTCTACAACTGCTTCTTCAGAGTCTCAGGCAGTTGTTATTGCTGACAAGAAACGTCAGTATTCTGATGAAATCATGGAGAAGACTATTGAAAGAAGGCAGAAGAGGATGATCAAGAATCGCGAATCTGCTGCAAGATCAAGAGCCAGGAAACAGGTAGAATTAAATTAGCTATGATTTTTATATTTTACCTACATATATATATAGAATTGGGTTCAAGATTTGAATCCTTAGACTTCTTATACTCTGAAGCAGATATTCTAGTCCAATGACATTTCATCATAAATGTTGCTGTCTTATGTTTATAGGCTTATACCAACAAGTTAGAACATGAAGTGTTTCACCTGAGGGAAACAAATACCTGGCTCAAGAAGTTTAAGGTACCATAATCAATTTATTTTTTATGTCCATTAGGGATTAAATGGATCAGAAATATTATGAGCCTGAGTATTCGGCATTTTTTTGTCTACGGTATTTAGCAAAAGCATTGCGAACTTTTTAGGTTGGAAACTAGAATTTTCTTTTAACTGTTATTATTGTTCTAGCAGGAAGTGGAAATGCTTCTATCCTCTGATCTAACTCCTACGCCCAGATACCAACTTCGGCGAACCAGCTCAGCTTCTATTTAGCATTTATTAATATTTGACACTGAGAATTTTGATTTAATTGAAATTTTCTTTATCATTTCATGAATAGACTTACAGTTTCAGCCAACATTTTGAGCTTCAATTGGGCCAGTGTTCAACTTTTAAGGTTGGATTTGGATACTCTGATAGATTGATATAAGGTTACTGTTTAGTAAAATAGAGCCACGTAACAATGCTGCTATCACTATAAAACGAAAAATGCATTAGTTTCTTAAAAATGAATTTGTTAAACATATAAAACCTATACCTTTTCCCTTTAAAAACGATTCCAAGTAGCTAATTAGCTCCCTTGGCTTGGGATATTTGGTTTCCATGAAACATGCAGTATGCATTCCATGAACAATAATAAGCAAACATAACCTGCAAACATGATGGCAACAAAAATTAGTACATCAAAGCTGTACGGCTAAAAAGCATACAGATAGAAAACACCAAAAAGCTACTGTGTGAATAAGTGTAGATATAAACTCGTGCGAATGTTTTCAAAATATATAAACATGGAAGCATAAATAAGTGAAATGATGGGTAGCATAAGCATAGATGCCAAAAATGCTAGTTTTGTATCGTCACAAGTACAGCAAAAGGGACTGAGTTATGGATTGGTGTAAAGAAATTGTTGATATAAATGTGGTCTAAAACTAAGAATAAACACCCTGAATATTAAAATATGAGTATCATTTGATGTTCTTGATTCCAGTCGTTTTAAAAAGAGAAATAAAATACTACCTCTATTCCATATTACTTGTCACATTTGGAATTTTACATCATTTAATAAAATCATTAAATTTATCTATGTTACAATAAATTATTCAGTAAGTTGACTATACTACCCTTAAATTAACATTAATTCTCTAAGAAAATCATTAAATTGAAGTAGTAATTATTAGTCATATACAAATGGTAGACAAGGAAAAAAAGATTTATTACCCCATGAAACTATAAATATAACAATTATTTTGGAACAAACTATTTTCTCATATGTAATAAGTATTATGGAACAGAGATAGTAAGAAAAAAGAATTGATCAACACTGAAAGTTCAGGGGTGTATTCATTTTTCAGTAATCATGTTGCTGATTACTGCGCTCCAGATAAATGGACCTAATTATTTGCATTATTGTCATCAATTTGAGGTTAGGAGCCTAAGAGGGTTGTCTATCCCAAACTCTACGTGTTTTTATAATTGAATCTCATTCTACACCTCACTTTAAAAAAAAAAAAAAAGAATTTTTTGAAACTACACCATGTTTTTAAAAAATTTAAAAAATAATATTATTTTATTCTTAATGTGATTAAAATGTTAATTTTCCTAATTCTAATTTCTCTATCCAATCCTTCTTCGTTTCCATCCACCCATCACCTCCACCTCCATCACTGCCATCATCAATGTTTAATTTTCTTCTTCTTTCCTTCAATTTCTTCCTCTCCATTCCTATGTTAATCACCATTTGATGTTGTTTCAATCTCTTTATTTCCATCTTACCTCTCTCGTTCTTTTGAAAACTCATATATTAGGTCTTCCTAAGTTGTCTTCTTTTCGCTTGAATCCAACAATCAAGTATGTTTGGGATAAAGTGTTTGTTTTTGAATACCATCATTTTGTCATCTTTTCAAATTTATATTAAATGGGATAAAAGTGTTTGTTTTAATTTTTGAAGAAGAAGAAGATAAAAAGAATGGTGGCAATGATTGTGGTGGGGTGAGAGTGAAGGTGGTGGATGAATGGAGATGAAGAAGAGGGGAGAGAAAAGTTAAACAACAACAACCAAGTTTTAATTCCAAACTAATTGGAATCATCTATATGAATCCTTCATTTCAAACATCTGCTCTGATCAAATTAATATAGGGAAAAAATAAAAGTTATAAATTTAATTTTATTTATATTAAGAATAAATTTATTATTATCATTATTTGAATTTTTGAAAAGCAGAGTACGCTTGCAAACAAGTTTCTAGATTAGGATATAATAATCAAAATAGGGTTCAATTACCAATGTTATAACTTTCTGGACCTGAAAATAAAAGAAACTTTTGATAAGTTGATTCTACCTCTGTTGTCACATGAAATTGTCTTCAACTAGCTTCTTCAGTTCCTCCATCTTCTTGATGATGTTTGGATTCATAAGATCCCTAGCCTCTCTTACAAGAGTGCCTTCTTGACTGGAATGGTATGCATTCACCACTGCCTTAATCCAGGTGTGTAATTTTTCAGGGGTCCTGTGGTAAAAGCCAAAATAATTTCAGCTGCTTTATTTTTAATAGATTTCTAGTAGATTCAACAAAATAAAGTAGGCTATTTTGAGAGACTCATGTTAAAGGAAACTAATAATCAAAACAACAAAATTTCATTTACACACGTGTACAGGCAGTCCACGTCCTTTCCTTCAAGTTCTTCTCCTGGAGTAAATGCATCTTTCAATGCACACAAACGTTCCTCAGGATCCTCAATTTTAAGAAGATATTTTAGTATCCTAATGTCCTTTGGAATGTTCCTCTGAAGATTACCTACTGCAGTCTTGTAGAGATGATATAGTATGTCTTTTACCTGCAATATAGCAAAAGAGATGATCTGACTGAAGCATCATTCTAACAACAGATAAATGCAACATATATATATATATATTGCGTTATTTGTTTATAAATTTTTCTGGACTGGGAATGAGTTTAATTTTTCTTTGCTTTTCTTTTTCCTTTTTTCTTTTTGGAAGGGGAAGGGCAGGGGAAGTGGCAATTGAAATAAATTCACTGAGCTGTATTGTGTAAGTTCAAATTGAAAGATTTCCAAGCTTAAGCTCCACGTTAAACTATCAGAACTACAGATGGTTTCATAATGCTAGTCCAATATTATTGAACAAGATGTGGATACAAAATAAAGCAGTCCATATAACTGTGCTTTAATTGTATTGATCATGCAACCAAATATCCTCTCCCCAACCCCTCCCCTCCCTCCCTCCTCCTCCTCCTATCTCCGACCCAAAAAAGTAAATAAAGAAAGAAAGATGACGGGCAGATTTATCATATTTTCTGCCATGTTTCACGCAGCTGCATGATGAAATTTCCATAAAAAAATACATGTAACTCATATCAAGAAAAGCCCAGGGTGGTTTTTTGAGCCAGCAATAATTTACCTCATCTTTTGTCATGTTGGACTCTTTAGCAGCCGACCATGCTTTTGTGATCATCAGAACCAATGATGAATCAAGTTGATTTTTTGCAGCCAAATCATCTATTTTCCTGCAAGCGGCATCCAGAGAAGGAGAATTGATAATATCTTGCAACTTCAGCTGGGCAGCATTCAGTGCTTCAACGCTTTCTGTTGCATTATCATAGGCTTGCACAGCAGCAACACAATCATTTCCAAGCTTTGCCAAAGCTGCTCATGTATAAATAAAGAAACAGTCAGTGTAATACGCAACATTAGAAACTGGAATTTCAGTGCAACTTTTAGAAGTCAGGTTTTCCATTTATGCTGAGATTCAGCCAGGATATTCTGAGCAACAATGGACTAACCAATGCTGGATGTAGCATTTAAGTATATTTGCATTATAGTTGATAAAATGAACATATATATTGATGAATATTATAAGCTTGAACCTAATAATTACAATTGATTACATGCCAAATACTATATTAATTTTTAATTGACAATATTATTTTGATTCATTTCCAGTAATGAAATTGTCCTGCAGATAAAGTTGCAGATTTACCATCTCTTACATTTTTTCTATTAGATTGAACTTACTTACCAACATAATATTATCATCTTCAAGAAGAGAAAGATGACTATTTACCACTAATTTAGTAGTACAAGTAAAAAAAATTCAGGGTCCAGGCCCTCAGTTCTACTAATCATTGAGGCGTACATCACTTGCATACAGTAAATCAATTAATACATTGTCAAAAAGATCAGAATTCAGCCTCACCATTTTGCTCAGTCGGGTTGTCATGATAGGATTGTGCTACAGTGAAAAGATGCACAAAAAATTCTTTTGTGAAATCTTTTCGACGCTTAGAAACAACTTCACTTAGCTGTGATGGTGCCTTCTTGATCACTTCAAGAAGTTCATTATGTCTTTGCACGTCTTCATCAATCTGTTCAACAAAAGTTCACAAATCAACCATAGCAACATCAGAAGTTCACAAATCAACCATAGCAACATCATCCAACTTACACCCAAAAAACCCAATAGGTGCAGCACCACACTTTCATCAATTAAAAGACCACAAACAATTAATCCTTGATACAACTGAGAAAAATACACAGCCAGTAATAAAACGAAAATGGGATTGTATCATTATAAGAATATATCAAATTTAAAGACTAATGACCGCTCTTTTTGCTACAAGTAAAATAACAAGCAGCAAACTATATTAACAGAAACAAATTGCTTGGAGGAAAAAAAAATCAACCTTGAATTTCAAATGCCCACCTCTTTCAGCTTCCTCGCTAGCCTAAGTAGCTTATGCTTAATCCCAGGATCATTTTCACTATCTGCTCGTTCTTGACAGCGCCTATAAAAATGAGGTCGAATATTGTCCCATTCCTTGCTAAAAGCAAGTAACCTTCTCCAGTCAGTAGGTGTAGGCTTGTCAACCATGAAAACCCCGATTAGCTTGTCACATACGCCAACCATTTTATCCTCATCAACACTACCTTTTTCTTTTCTTTCAGGATCATCATCAGCCGCCGTCAGTTCCTCCTCTTGCCTATCATCAGATACTTCAGTTGCACCGCCAATAACGGCGGCCGGAGAAGACCTCCGCCGTTGAGTCCCAACAATTGTAAGCGAAAAACCTATAATTTCATAAATTGAGAGCCAAAAGTAAATATAATAAAAAACTGCAATTCTAATTCAGAAAATGAGAAAAGAAATGAAAAGAGAGACTAGCCTTTGAACTGAGAACATAAATTAACATTTGGAGTTGAGTATCTAAAGAAGGAGAGAGAAGGTGATTGGGCTCGAAAAAAAATTGAAGAAGGAGCTGTTACTGATAACGAGCAAGAGGAGTGGAAAGTCGCAGGAGCCAACTCCATTGGAATTTACAGCCTTTGTTACGCTTTCAAGTTCATTTTACACAAAGGGTTTTAGAGTTTCTACAGAGAACGCCAGCGCCTGGATTTATAATGTCTGGGAACGAGGTTTTAGCTGCGTTGCCTAAACGGTGCCGTATCCCGCCGAATGCAACCCGTTAAGGGCAATGTAGTCTTTTTGAAAAATACAACCGAAAATTTGAGCTCTAATGAATGGTGGCCAGAGCCCAACGTTTTCCAAATTTTTCAGGCCAGCAGATAACAAAGCCGTTAAAAACACTGGTAGCTCTTGGTCGGAAATTTCTGTACTAACCAAGCCAATGCTCTCTTTATCATGTCTCTCGTTGAATGCTACTCTCTTTCAACAGGCGTCATATCTCTCCGCACAAAAACTACAAAGCTCGAAAACAAGAAACTATAGCCATACAAGTGGCACAAATTTACGTTCTTTCTCTTGCAAGAACAATGCTAATTCACCCTTTAATTCCCATTTCTATCCAACCACCAATGTTTCCGCCTTGGAGTTCCAGGGAACCCCAGATCACTACTTTTCAGATACACGATCGGGCGGTCATTTTATTGACCCTGATTTGCTTGCTGTTTGGCTTCAGTCCTGTTACAAAGCAAAAGATGTTAAGAGAATACACACGGTTGTTTTAAAGTGTTTGACGGATTCAGTCATGTATGTTAATAACAATTTGATTAGTGCCTATTTGAAATTGGGGGAATTAATTGAGGCGCGAAAGGTGTTTGATGAAATACCTGAACGGAATGTTGTTAGTTGGACTGCTATGATTTATGGGTACTCAAGTTTTGGTTTAGATGATGAAGCATTGAGGATGTTTAGTGGATTTGTAGAGAGCAGGGTTGTAGCAAATAGTAGGACGTTCGTGTGTATATTGAACTTATGTAGTAGGAGGTTGGATTTTGAGCTAGGGAAGCAAATCCACGTTCATGTTATAAAGGGTAATTGGAAGAACTTGATCCTGGACAGTGCTGTTGTTTCATTTTACGCCCAATGTGGTGACTTGACAAGCGCATCTTGTGCATTTGATCGAATCATGGAAAGGGATGTGGTTTGTTGGACTACTATGATTACTGCTTTTTCCCAGCAAGGACATGAAGACGAGGCTTTTAGATTGTTCTCACAAATGCTGAGTGAAGGACTTATGCCTAATGAGTTTACAGTGTGTAGTGTTCTAAAGGCTTGTGAAGAGAAGAAGGCGTTGAAGTTTGGGAAACAGCTACACGGTGCTATAGTTAAGAAGATGTATAAGGATGATGTTTTTATAGGTAGTACTTTAGTGGATATGTATGCAAAATGTGGGGAAATTGTAGATTCTAGGGAGGTGTTTAATAGAATGAAGATTAGAAATACAGTTACATGGACTTCTATTATTGCAGGGTATGCTAGGAGGGGGCTTGGTGAGGATGCAATAAGTCTCTTTCGAGTGATGAAGAGACGTAAGATAATTTCTAACAACTTAACTGTTGTGAGCATTCTGAAGGCCTGTGGTTCAATTGGTGCGCTGCTGACAGGGAAAGAAGTTCATGCACAAATTATCAAGAATGGCATCCAATCAAATGAGTACATAGGAAGCACTCTTGTGTGGTTCTACTGTAAATGTGGGGACTTTCACATTGCCTCAAAACTCTTTCAACAGATGCCCCAGAGGAATGTTGTCTCATGGACTGCCATAATCTCTGGTTATGCTTGTCTTGGGCATGAGTCTGAGGCTCTTGAGTTCTTGAAACAAATGATGGAAGAAGGCATAGAACCAAATGCATTTACATATTCATCAGCTTTGAAAGCTTGTGCTAATCTTGAATCTGTTCTGCAAGGAAAACTGATTCATTCCTTTGCCAACAAGGTTCCTGCATCTGTGTTTGTAGGCACTGCATTAATCTATATGTATTCTAGATGTGGATATCTGTCAGACGCAATTCAAGTTTTTGACAGCATGCCAGAGCGAAACTTGATTTCTTGGAAGACAATGATTTTGAGTTATGCAAGGAATGGTTTCTGCCAAGAGGCTTTGAAGCTCATGTATCGGATGCAGGCGGAGGGTATTGAGGTGGATGACTACATCTTTGCTTCAGTCGCATGTGCGTGCGGAGACGTAGAGTGGAATAGAGAGCCTTCATCCGATCATTGTTTGCAGTCTAGTTGATCTACACTCCAGTGTAAGGTAGAGCATCGATTGAGGTTGTGTATAGCAACTATAACTGCCTATATCAGTAATAGTTTCACTTGTAATTACTTGTATAAGAAAGTCAAAGCTGATATAAAGCGATTTACACTGCTTGACCATCCAGTTAAGTCAGCAATTTCCCTTCTCCCTAATCCCAGACCCACAGTATAAGGTTTGAAGTAACGAAGAAAGAAATGAATGAAGCGAAAGGTCCCTTGAAACTGCGATATAATCTTGTTTGTCCTGATTCTTGGATGTCGTTCGACTATTTGACACCATATATTGCATAATGAAGTCATATCCAGTCCCCCGTGTCAGCAGTAGTACTACAGTCATCTTGAGAAGCCGTCATAAACAGGTATTAACCTTCTTTATCTTTCTAAAGTTTTTCATGTTTAACTTTCATGTTCAAGGTTTGTTTCCAGTTATTTAAAGCCCACATTGTCTCATTGTTTGCAGGAATTCTATATATTTGGAGGGTGCTATTTAATGAAGCAATCTAGTCATGGCCCTATCCCCAATTTTCCTCATTTAAAAATCTGTTATAAATTATAATGATGTCTTTAGAAAGAGTATAGGCAGAGGAGAAAATTTTTCCTGTGGAAGTGGGCTGAACTATCAGGATTTGATTCCCCGTGTATTTTTTTTATATATTGCATTAGCCCCACGAAGTTTTCCAAAAATTTCTTTTTTATCTAGGTAGTTTATGTATTTTTATTTTTTTCCTGACACGAGTCTAATCTAACCACCCCCATCCCCTTCGCCATTTTTCTCTTCTTTTTCAAATTTTATTTATTATATTCATATGTTCGCATTAAAGTATATATAATGTGTTGAATTCTCTAAAATTTTTATTTTCTATTTATATATTATTATAATTCACATGTACGTATTTAGTCTAATAAAGAAAAAATACATGAGCTTTTAATTTGTTGCATTTGCACCCTATTTTTAACTTTTTAACTAATATAGCCTATTATTAAAATTAAAAATTAATTATATCCCATTAGATTTGGAGAAAAAAGAATTAGAGTGCAATTGTCACACAACGCAAAGTTCATGATCTTATTACAACCTAAAATGACTAATTGAACTATATGATTGAAAAATGTAAAGTTTACGGTATTATTACACCACAAAATAATTAACTCAGTTTGTATATTTTTTAATATCGTATTAGATATATAATATATATTACCATAATTTTTTTTAACTGTTAGATAATAATTATTTTGAAATTAAATTACCTTTCATTAGAAAGGAAAAAAGAAAGGTTGATAAATTTATCCTTTAACTTAGTTATTTTAATTTTATATAGGATTTTTAATTTTTATTTTAATTCGTCAAACACTTTAATTTATCAAAATATAAATATTAAATATTTCAATTTGCAAAAATCATTTGATTGAACACTCTAGTTTGAAAAAACTAAATTAATTAAGCACCTATAATATTGTTGAAATGTGTAAAATTATGGTTTTAAAATTATACAAACTATATATCAAATCAATATAAAATAATTGTTATCAGTGTAAAAATGTGTGTAATATTATTAAAATTTATAAATTAAGTGTATTATAGATCATCCATAAAATTTAGGGTGCCACAAAATTAAAATTACAAAATTCATAAGTAAATTTATATATTGTGTAAAAAAGAAAAACAAGAATAAGAAAAAAACCTAGAGCTGGAAATAGGTTGAATATAAAAAAAATACAGATACAAGTTACCCATTATATTAAAAGAGTTTGGTCATAAATATAATTGTTACTCCCTGTATTAAACGAGTTTAATGAGGAGTACTCGCGATGGCCGATCCATTAGAACCGTTAATGACTTGATATGTAATATAAGAAAAGTGTAAGCAGTAATTTGCAAAATAATCCAACACAAAGGGTCCACAAATCTATAAACAAAAAAAGTCCGGTCCAAAAGTCTAAAGTCTAGGCCACCTCTTTCATTTTCTCAGCCCACGCACGGGCTTCCCGCTTCTTTCGCTCATCTTTTCCCTCTCTGAAGAAAATCATCATCCTATAATCTTACCGTTTCAATTCAATCTAATTCTATAAATAATGTAAATTACTCATTTCCAAACAATTCTCGTATTCTTCAATCCTCTTTTGTCTCTTCAGATCTGTAAGTTCTGTTATTTCCCTGTCGATTCTTTTTGTTTTTGTGTTTGATTACCGGAAAGAACCCTAATTTTGCTATTTTTTAATGTATTTGCTTATTGTTGTTATTATTATGTTGGTTAACATGATATTGTAGTGGTTTTTGTGTTATTTTTAATCCTGTCAAATGGAGATTTGAGTTCGTAATCTATTAATTGTATTCAGTAGACTAATATTTCAGCAGGTGACCTGATTATTTTTTTTTTCCTTTTAATTGCTAATTTGGAGAAATTAGTAATATTTCTCTATTTTTTATTCGTTATCGCAATTGTGTTTGTCTTGTTTTGCATGTTGTTTCAATCTTTGTTCATCCCTTTTTGTGTTAGAAACCTGTGTTTTAAATGTTCTACATATATGTGGGCCATTGACTTGAACTAGTACTTTTGATTAGCAAGGCCAGTATTGTGATTAGTCTCTTGGCCACTTATGGTTCATTTTTCATCATGCAAATTACCTTTCTATATGTATGCGCTAAACTTTTGTTATTTTTTTTTTCTAATATTATGCTAAGCTAGTCTTGTTTAAGCTTCTGTGCATTACTTCCAGGTTTAAGTCATTCTAATGAACTATTGGAGCAGAGGGAATTGAAAGTTAGGAGCATTCTCTGTTGAGTTGCATTACAGGCTTTATATGCTGTAACTATCTTGGAAAAGGAGGCATTAATGGAGAAAAACGTAACAAATTCTCCAACTTCTGAGAAACTGGAGCAAGGTGCAGTTGAGGTTCGGAAAGAGGATCCTATGGAGCTATCAAAAGAGATGAAATCTTTAGATATCAGCATGGGTGACTCCAAATTACACGATAATGGAGAACAGGACACTGGTGAAAATATTGACAAGAGTAGTGTCTTGGAATCCGAATGTCAAGGAGATAATTTAGATGATAGCACTAAAAATGATGACTTGAGTAAGATGGACACGAGTAGGGATTTTCAGTCTAAATGTCGGAGAGAAAAGTTAAAGAATGATATTCAAAAAGGTGACCTGGATAAGAAGATAAACGAGGATGAGGATTTTGAGTCCAAACCTGTTGAAGTTACAAAGCAAACTGTGGGAAAAATTCTTGGCAAGGAAGAGTCAGATCCTGTCTCTGATAGAGAAGAGGTTCTTGGTATGGAAACTAACAGGACCACATCTTCCCATTCTTTTGGTTCTGCTCCTGAATCTGAAGGATCTGATTGGCCTGAGAAGGCTACGGCTATTGGGAACTTTGTAAAGGAGAAAGGTGTAGTTGCTGTTACAAGTTTTCTGCGTGCCCTATCTCGGAAAAGAGATGGGTTTGGGGAGTTTCCTCCTGATGAAGATGAGGGGTCTTCAGATTCAGCTAAAAATAGAGAAGCCACAGAAGATTCTCAAAAACCATTATATAGATCATGGAATCCGCTAAACTATATTATAAATCCCCGTGATGTTGATGCAAAAAGAAAGACTGACCAAGGGACAGAAGTCATAGAAGAAGCACCACAACCTATAGTCATGAAAGGAAGAATTATACTTTATACAAGGTTAGGGTGTGAAAGGTGTAAAGCAGTCAGATTATTTTTGTATAATAGAAGGCTTAGATATGTTGAGATTAACATTGATGTATACCCTAGTAGAAGGGCTGAGCTAGAGAAGTTTACTGGGTCTTGTGTGGTTCCTAAAGTATTCTTTAATGAGGTTGTTATTGGAGGATTGAGTGAGCTCAAGAGCTTGGCTGAATCTGGCAAACTTGAAGAGAAGATGGATTATTTGATTGCTGAAGCACCACCATATGAGGCTCCGCTACCACCTCTTTCTGGTGAAGATGATGCATCCACTAGTGGGTCTATTGATGAATTAGCTCTTATTGTTCGTAAAATGAAAGAATCTATAGTTGTTAAGGACCGATTCTATAAAATGCGGAGGTTCTGCCGCTGCTTTCTTGGTTCAGAGGTTGTTGATTTCTTGTCAGAAGATCAATACTTGGAGAGGGATGAGGTCTGTTGGATTTTCTTTATTAGCTCATAATCTCAATGTTTCTTATGCTGGAATCTGAATTTTTTAAGCCTCTCTGGTTGGTCATTTTGTATAGGAATATGCCATTCACTTTGAATGCTGATTTGTGTAGATTAGATGTTAAGGTTCTTAGGCATGTTTAAATTCTCTGTTTACAGCTAATTTCCATTTGGAGCTTATGAAGTTACACAAAGTGAAAATAGAAAATAGAGGTGCTTCAGCCAATCTCAACTGCTTAGAGTTTTTTTGTACTCGGGCTTTGCTGATTTTTTGTTCTGAAATTTGAAACTGTTCCTAGAATGAAAACACTAGCAGTGCAGCTTCAAGTAAAACTACACTGCAACTTGAAGAGTAGTTATAGAACTCATGGAAGGCTTAAATCCAAAATAGTTTGATACTTAAACACTATCACTTTAACGGATATTTGTGTGGGTTTACACTCTGTGCATTTGTAGTTACAGTCCTCTCTATCAGTGAAACTACTTTGGCTGAGCTGCATAGTTATAAAGCTTTTGCACTTGAAAATTTTTTGGTCGTTTTATGTCTTCATATTTTATTTTCTTATATCAACATGTGCAACAGATGACCACTTGCTCCTGATAATTATGAATAGCTTTATTGATTTTGATATCCTTTAATGGAACAAATTTTATTTTTCTGGGTCATGTTAGTGAATGCAAGATATTTGGTGGATATTCCGTCTCTTGGTATTTATTGAATTGTTTTTTGAATAAATGAAGCAGTTGTTTCCTGAAATTGAAAATTCTTAACTAAATGTTTATCACTCAGCTCATTCATCTTCTAGCACCATGATATCATGGTTAAGTTATTCTTCCTTTTTCTTTTTTTGCACTGTGAAACAGGCTATTGAATTTGGACGAAAGCTCGCAAGTAAACTCTTCTTTCGACATGTTCTGGAGTGAGTCCCTCAAAATACTTCCAAGTGAATTTACATTCTGTTTGCGAAACATATCAATTGATAATTATTCTTTTTGCCATTTGCTGTTTCTAATGCTTAATGTAGCGAGAATCTATTTGAGGATGGCAACCACTTGTATTGGTTCTTGGACGATGATCCTATTGTGTCTTCTCAATGTTTCAACATCCCTAGGGGTATAATTGACGCAAAACCAAAACCAGTAACAGAAATTGCATCAAGGCTGAGGCTTTTGTCTTATGCAATATATGAAGCTTACACATCGGAAGACGGAAAGCATGTTGATTACAGAACTATTCATGGAAGTGAGGAGTTTGCAAGGTTGGATGCATTATCATTGTGTAAAATACTATAAAGATGAACATATATATTTGCATTCAAGGTGAGGCTTTCTGTGCTTATGCAATATTGAAGGCTTTACACATCGTGAGACGGGAAAAGCATGTTGAGTACAGAACTATTCAGAAGTGAGGAGTTTTGCAAGGTTGGTATGCATATCATTGGTGTAAAATACATGAAAGATGGAACATATAATATATATATATATATATATATATAATCTCTTTATGTTGCTTTATTCACAAAGCTATATTTGCAGGTATTTGAGGATAATTCAAGAACTCCAGAGGGTAGAATTAGAAGATATACCTAGGGAAGAAAAGTTGGCGTTCTTTGTAAATCTATACAATATGATGGTTATTCATGCCATACTTGTTTGGGGTCATCCAGATGGAGTATTGGAGCGAAGGATATTGTTTGGAGACTTCAAATATGTAATTGGTGGGTGCACTTACTCTCTTTCGGCCATTCAAAATGGCATTTTAAGGAGCAACCAGCGAGTGCCATACAATCTGATGAAACCATTCAGGGTGAGCGATAGACGTTCGAAGGTAAGGTAGTCTCCTTTATTATTAATATTATAATTATATCATTATTGAGTTATTCTTGATTATTGGTTTTCATGGATAGTCATTGGTCTTTTTACTGTCACAAACTATGGTAAAAGTTTGAGTTGGTCGTGTTTGCAGGCCAGTGTCTTTACTTTTTTCTCTTCCATTTTGTATTTTTTCTTACTCTTTTTTCTCTAGGTGGAGTAGGATTGGAGGGTATAGACGGCGGCTTTTGCTATCTTTACAAAATTTGGACATTTCAATTTGTTTTTTGATATCATTATGTCAAATATCACCTTCAATATGCAAGATCAAATTTAACAGAAATTTTAATGGGGGAACAAGGAGAATTTGGCGTACTTTTTCCCTGATCTATGTTCATGTTGTTAGCAACATGAGTTTAGAGAATGTTTGGTTTGTCTTTTAAGTTGATCAAATCTACTTTTAATAAAAGGTTAGAAGTAAAATGGTGTTTGGTTTGACTTATAAGTTAAAAAGAATCTAATTAAAATAAATCATAAATCACAACTTCACAAGTAAGGTGCCTCTTAATTCTGATTATGTATTTATATTAAGTTACTTTTAATTTCTTAGTAACGAAACACTTTTTTAATTATTTTACTAAACACTCAAGTCAATAGTTAAAAAGAAAGTAGTCAAATCAAACATCCTAGACTTCAATTAATTTATAGTACATGAATATCAACATTCCATCAAATATCGCTATTAACATATTTGCTTCATTTTTCTTATTTCAAGATCAACTTACATTCAGCATTTTGTTCTGATTTCAATAATAAAGCCTTATAGTTTTTATCACTAGATATGTTACTTAAGTGGGAATGGACCTTCTGAAATAGGGACAGACTCAGATCTTTGTTCGAAGTGTTCTGTCGACTGAAAAGTAGTACCTTACTTTCTTGTGACTATTACTTCTTTCTCCATTTTTGGGTGTATGCGTAGGTAGCATCAAGTTTTTGGAGACAAAGGCTTTTAACCTAGTTATTTTTGTCTTTTCCTCAAAAAAGAAAAAAAAAAAAAGAAACAGACTTTTTCCCTCCCTTCTATTCAGATTATAGTCAATTATTTTCTGTTTTCTTGGGAAGAGGGGTTGATGATGTTTAAGTGGAAAGCAATTTTCTCGTATATTTCTGATAGGGTGGTAAGTTAGTGGCAATGGTCAATCTTGCTTTTGGACTTCTAGTGGGTATCTGAGAGGCTGGTTTTTATGCTCTCATTTCTTTTTGTCTGTTAAGTTAAGTTAGGACTGTTCGATAGAAAATTCAAAAATTGCATGGAAAGAACGAAGATTTTGTTCTAGAATTTCAGCTATCTAATAATCAATTTATGCTCTATATCAGGCAGCTCTTCCCTATCCAGAGCCTCTAATTCACTTTGCACTCGTTTCTGGTACCTGATCTGGACCAGCACTTAAATGCTACTCACCTGGGAACATTGATAAGGAGTTGATGGATTCAGCCCGTAATTTCTTAAGAGGTGGAGGATTAATTATTGATTTGAATGCCAAGGTCGCATATGTCAGCAAGATCCTTAAATGGTAAGTTGCTCTCTGATAGGAACTTTTGATGCATTGGTTTCTCTGGTTTCTCAGAGTTATGCGTGCAGATAAGGATTGCACATGTGATTCTCTCCTCTAACACGCACAGGAACATAAACACACAAGTTGAAACGCAAAAGGAAATAGAACCTGCACTCTGTTATGCTTGGTTTTTGGAACTGCTAGAAAACTACATAAATTTTTGAAGATTTGTTAAGTTTAGAAGTAAATAAGGAAATAACCTATCTTTGAATCTGACAGTCATGAACTCCTGCTTTCAAGTTTTCATGGTTGGATTGGCCATACATGTCAATACAACATTCTGTTTCTGACCAAAAGTTAATTGAGACTAATAATATGATGTCTTAGTGAAGGTTTTTTTCCCAAGCCTTAGTAGCATTAAATCATAATTTGGCATATATTCTCAAACAATGTATCACTTTCTTGTATATATTATGTAATCAAGCTGTTACAGCCTCTTCTGTTGTTTAATACTTTGCTTGCATTTGATGCACAGGTTTAGTGTGGATTTTGGCAAGAATGAGTTGGAGGTACTCAAACATGCATCAAACTACCTGGAGCCTGCCAACTCCGCAGCTTTGCTTGAGTTGCTTGCCGATGATCAATTAAAGGTGATATACCAGCCTTACGATTGGGGTCTAAACTTTTAGAATCAACTTTGGCTTCCCAGTACACTACATATACCTTATTACATCTTACATTTTTTTTTTTTTTTGCAAGACATTGCATGAGAGAAGTCTCAACTATATTTTGAAAACGAAAAATGAAAAAGGATCTAACTCAAGTTGCTTTCTTCTTTCTTGAACATTGAGCGGATCCTATTTGGTTCCAGTAACATTAGGAACTAATATAAGCTGATAACATGAGACCCTCACCTGCCATGCCTTAGTCTGCAAATTTAAAAATTGCTAGTATGTAGTAGGTACTGGTTTTTTGTAGTGTTAACAGTTCCGTCATTACCTGCCAAAGCCATGTATTTATCCTTCCTCGTAAGATGGGTGCACTCAAACCCTAAAGCTCTGGCAATTTCACTCTGTACATGATTGGCAACTTCGAACTTTGATCTCCCGCCACCCATATGTGTTTCAGAATCTTGTAACTTCTCAAGAATCTTGATGAAATATATTGGACTCGGGTTCGCTAAGTGAAATATAGGGTCTAAGCATTTAAGTCCAGTGGCTGTTGATCCATAGAACATGCTTGTCTGCATGTTTATAGCAACGGGAACTATCTCATCAGTTACTTCTGCAAATAATGGGCTAAACCTTAGTAGGTAGGGTTCCCTGCAAGTCGTTCCTTCTGGGCAAACAACAAGATCACCCTGGCTTAGCATCTTTTCCACTATTTTTCTATCTCTTTCTCGGTCTCTAGTTAATCGGACTGTTCTGATTGGAGAAATGATCTCATTGAATCTGCTCATGCTGTAGGTGACTGCACTGAGAGGTTTCATGAGAGATAATGAGATGTAGACTGGGTCTAGTAGGGTTCTGTGGTTACAGACATAGAGCACTCCTCTGTTTTTTGTTGTTGAGGTGAAAGTAGTGTGTTTAGGTTTAGATATTATTGTTATTGTACCTGTTAAGGCCAGGATAAGACAGGATAAGTTGGAAGGCAACGCAATGCCAACAGCCATTCTGATTATGGAGAGGCAAAGGCCAAATGGAAGCCACATGAACATGGAAATGGCGGCAAATGCAGTTGGCCTGAAAACTAATCGACTGTCGTGGAAGATCAACGGTTTTGGGTATGCTTCTCGCGGGAGGATTTTCCAATTCCTTTTCTCTGTTTCATCCAATGAATAAACTGCCTGTTGCAACATAAATTTATTTCAAATGTCTAATTAGTATTTATCCTAATAGATTTTCAGAGTAAGTATCAGGACTGTTCAAATCGGGTCCATTGGATCCGATTTGTGAAAATGAAAGGCTACCCTTCATTTGATTTAAAAAAGCAATAAATTTCTTGGGTTCCCATTTCTCCTGAATTGAGTAGCCCTAGTAATTACTCAACGATTTTCCGATTAATCAAACTAGGGGGAAGTTAGATATCATATATTATGCATCAATTATAAATCTAGACAATGCCTTATTATCAATTTTACCCCCAACTTTGTATCATTTTTGCTAACTTGGGATTTCTAAAATGATTAATTTTCTCGTTACCATCTATTTCGTATTAACTAAGTTTGGGTTAGTTACGGAATCTATTTCAAGTAATCGTTTGCATGTGAAATTGATGCTTAGGCCTTTTGAAAATAATAATAATAATGCGTCATATCACTTGTTCATTGAAATTGAATATATATTGACACTAAGGAAGAGAAACTTGACGTGTTTCTGAAGTATATGCATAAGTAGAAAAGATGGGCAGTAGTTCAATCAAATGGCAGCATTCAGAAGGCAGGGGAGAGATTGGTGTGAAGGCACAAAGCTAATTAAAAGATTTAGTTATTGAATTACTAGTCATAATCACCTTCTCTGCTTAAAATTTTAGATAAGCCAAAAAAATTGCACTGTGTCTGTGAATGTGAGAGAGAGAGAGAGACAAACCTTACAGTGTTGAAATACTTGTTGATAAAGCAAGTTACTGGAGCAGCACCCAATTATTCCCACAGAGTTCTTTTCAGCAAGAAGCTCCTTTAAACAAGTAAAACCCGCCTCTTCTTTTTCTTCTATCAAGCCTACAAAAAACCCATAAGCCACCTTCAAATCTCTACCCACTGCATCCTCCACTCCAATATATTCTTTCAAGAACCCTTCGACCATGATCTTTGGCAAGCAACTCACTCCTATCTTCTTGTCACATCTCATAACAAGATCAAACCCTTCATACCCAACATCTTCTAAAAAGAATTTGGGCAGAATAGCTGTTCCAATCCTCAGCCTATCTTTTCTAATACCAAAAAAAGATACAAAAACCATAATCTTGAGCCCTAGCTCTTTTCCAACTAAACAAACAAGAGGGTAAGAAAGAAGCAAGAAGAGAGCTCTTAAGAGACCTCCAGCTTCAAAGGCTACAATCATGAAGTATGGAAACAAGGAATCAGGTGCTGATGATTTCAATAATGTAGCCTCAAAATCAAAAACCATTACCGTTTGTTTTGCAAGCTCTTTGAGGACATGTTTAGGGGTGGGTTTGTTAAGTGTTGAAATGTTCATTTTTTGTACTAGTGAAATGAGATTGCTTTGCGAAATCTGGCTGTGGGAGTGTATATATGCTCTTTTAGCAACTCGAGTTGAGCCTTTAAATGAGGTCTTGTTTCCCAGACCAAATATATATATATATATATATATAAACCATAAATCTTGAAGCCCTAGCTCTTTTCCAACTAAACAAAAACAAAACGCAGGGTAAGAAAGAAGCAAGAGAGACTTTAAAGAGGAACTCCAAGCTTTCCAAAGCGGCTTGACAATCATGAGTATGGAAACAAGGAATCAGTGCTGATGATCTCAATAATTGTAGCCTCAAAATTCAAAAAAAACCATTACCGTTTGTTTTTTTTTGCAAAGGCTCTCTTGAGACATGTTTAGGGGTGGTGTTAAGTGTTGAAATGTTCAATTTTTGTACTAGTGAAATGGAGATTGCTTTGCGATAATCTGGCTGTGGGAGTGTATAATCATGCTCTTTTAGCAAACCTCCGAGTTGAGCCTTTAAATGAGGTCATTGTTTCCCAGACCAAATATATATATATATATATATATATGTATATATATAATCAATGAGTTTAACCTTGATGCATGTTCTAATTTCATTAATTCGGTGAGTTACGATAAATGACGTTGATTTAAAATTATGTGATTCGCAAACCATTTATCGAAATGATTCAATTTTAAATAATTTTCAAAGAATAGTAGAATTCTTTTTTTTTTTTTTTTTTTTTTTTTTTTTTCTTTTTTTTTTTTTTTTTTTTTGTAAGAATTGTGGGGAGGAATATGGATAATTTTTTTTTTTTTTTTTTTTTTTTTTTTTTTTTTTTTTTTTTTTTTTTTTTTTTTTTGTAAAGAATGTGGGGAGGCAATATGGATAACTTGAATATGTGGTTCAAATAAATAAATTTAGAGAAAAAAAATTGCAAAGAAATAGTTTGAATCTTTCTATATGCTAGATAAATTTATAGAATAAACTAAATAATTGATATTAAATAATGTTATATTGGAATGAATTCGTCTACTCTATTGAGAATAACCTAAATAAATAATATAAAAATAACAACATAACATAAATTATTATCTTTATAATTCATGAGGAGCAGCTTAAATAGTAAAATGCATTTAAGTTTAGCAGATAATTTTTATCTGGAAAGATCATATTTGGATCCTTTCAATCCATATATACCCCAAAAAAATTCAGTTGTGTTTGACATAATTGAATCTGTCCATTGTACGGATAACACGTATGCAATTTTTTGGACAGCCATGCATTATTTTTCTTTAATTTTTTAAATTTCTTTGTACAAGCAAAAATCTGTCTCTATCCATTTATATATCCATATATATACTTTTTCTATATCTATATCTATTTTATTTACGTATACATATCTATGTCAAGCAAAACATAGTATTTAAATTCATTAAATGAATCCGTCTACCATATGGGAGAGAGTACACGCTATTTCTTTGCAATCTTTTTAAATTGACTACTTTATATTCAAATTTTGCATTATTTGTGAAAATAGATTCAAAAGCCAGATTATTTTTGTCATGTATCAAATTTCTCCCTATATAATTACCCAGAAAGATATGACAAAAATAAATAAATAAATAAATAAAAACTTCAAATCATGCATGTTAATTCTGTGAAATAATTTCTTAATTTTACAATTCTATCACTAATTTAATCTAATAAAATCACGTTTAATTCATTTTATTGTTCGGATTGTAGAGTGTAAATGTTATTTTGTCTTTTCAATAAAATATATTTTCCGAATATTGAACTTGTATTTTAATTTTTACGGAAATTGAAGTTGCTTACTTGTTCCAAACTATCACTTCAAACCAAATTTTGTTGGTATTTATAATTCTTTAATTGTTCCAAGCAATATGGATAAAATACACCACATGAACGACAAATCAAAAATACTAGCATAGAAATCATAAAACAATACATTTTCAGCTTGGGAAATCTTGAAATACAAGTAATGGTTTGTATTTTTTTTTTCCTATTTATTGTTTCAGTAAAATTATTTATCTTTTTTTTTTTTTTTGAAATTGAATCGATAATAGAATAATAAAACTAAACAATTATATACAAGATTATCAAAATTAAAAACTAATAATAAAATTAAGGGTAAATTATTATTTAGTCCCTCAGGTTTTGCATAATTAACCAACTAATCTCAAGTTTTAAGCAAATATCTAGCTAGTCCCTCAGGTTTAACTCCATCTAATTAAAAGGTCATTCCGTCCAAAAAGTTGGTTTTTTTCCGTTAATTGAAGAGACTAAAATACCCCTCCCTAGCTGATGTGGACCATAAGGGAAAATTATTATCTAGTCCCTCAGGTTTTACATAATTATCTAACTAATCCCAAGTTTTGCACAAATATCTAACTAGTCCCTCAGGGCTGGATGTGGGAACCATAGGGAAAATTATTATCTAGTCCCTCAGTTTTACAATTAATTATCTAAACTAATCCCAAGTTTTGCACCCAAAATATCTTAACTAGTCCCTCAGGTTTAAACTTCGTTCTAATTGAAAGGTTCCTTCCTCTTGAAAAAAGTTAGTTTTTTTCCGTTAATTGAAACTAAAAAGACCTAAAACACCCCTCCCTAGCTGACGTGGGACACCAGCTATGAAGCGATAAATGATACCTTAGTTCTGTTTTCCCTTTTGTTCCTTCCATTGGGGGGCCCCCAAAATTTTTTTTAAAAAATTTGATATACCTAGTTAATCTTGCACAGAACACAGATAACCTTACATTAAATATTAATATTCATATTCAAAGTTGTGAAATTATAATAATATAGGTGACAATAATAATTACTTTTTTATCTATAAATAACTATTGTTTTAGAGCCTGTGTTTTCTCTGCAAATATCTTTTTTTTTAGAATATTAATGAGTAATTAATTTTTTTTTCAATTTTACCCTTATTTATATTAAATTTAATAATTATTTTTATAATTTTTCAAAATCATATAACATCTCCTCTCTTACTGTCACGACCCGTTTCCGTGGGCCGGACCGGCACTAGGGCCCAGGTAAGCTTAAGACCCCCGAGGCCCGTAGTAAGCCTGAAATACTAAAAATAGATGGAATACTTTGTTTTTTTTTTTAGATTTTATCAATGATAATAGAAATGTTTCTTGATAAAATTTGCATATTAAATATGAATAAAATAGAAAATATGTTTATTACTTTTTTTTCTAAAAAAGAAACTATGATGATAATTTGGGGTAAAAAGAAAAATGAAGTAATTACTTTTTTGAAGATGTATTTACTTTCATGATTCACTCAAATTTAATAATATTTAATTAGAACATCAAATTAATTTTTTTATCCTTTTTTTAATACTGTCTTTGTTTTATAATACTTGTCAGATTTGAGAAAATAGTTTGTTCTAAAATATTTGTCTAATTTAGTCTAAAATACTTGTTATATTTACGGTTTTAAGGAGTAATAAATATTTTTTTCATATTTACCCTTTGTGTATGATTAATAATTATTATTTCAATTTAATGATTTTCTTAGAGATTAATATTAAATTAAGAGTAATATTGTCAAAATTTATTCAATAATTTATTATAATTGACCTTTCAATTAGACGGAGTTAAACTCGAGGGACTAGTTAGATATTTGTGTAAAACTTGGGATTAGTTAGATAATTATGTAAAACTTGAGGGACTAGATAATAATTTTATCTTATGGTCCACGTCAGCTAGGGAGGAGTGTTTTAGTCTTTTAGTCTTCAATTAACGAAAAAAAACCAACTTTTCGGACAGAATGACCTTTTAATTAGACGGAGTTAAAGGACCTTTTAATTAGGGACGGAAGTTTTTAAAACCTGAGGCGGACTAGCCTTAGCATAATTTGCTCAAAAACTTTGGGATTAATGGTTTAATTTATGTAAAAATCTGAGGACTAAATAATTAATTTACCCTAAATTAAATTAATCTTTTTTTTTTTTTTGTCAGAGCCTTTTTTTTACCATTATTTTTTATTCCACAAACCTGAGGGACTAGCTAGATATTTGCTCAAAACTTGGGATTAATTGGTTAATTATGTAAAATCTGAGGGACTAAATAATAATTTACCCTAAAATTAAATTAATCTTTTTTTTTTTTTTGTCAGAGCCTTTTTTTACCATTATTTTTTATCACGTTCTCAAAGGATACATCTATATAATCGAACACTGCCTCAGTTTTTCCTTTCTTTTTTTTTAGTATAATAACTAAAAAAAATGAATGAACCACCTCAATACTAAAAAAAATAAAAATAATTTATTATTAATTTTCTAAAATTTATTTAGTAGAGGAATCAAAAAATAACAATAAAGTTGAGAAAAAAATAATTAATTTTATTTTGATTATCAAAGTGACAAATTAAATGGAATTAAAATAAATTAAAAAACCGCAAAATTTAACAGAATAGAGGGAATATCTCATGTGTTGATAAGGAAGTTGATAGGTAGGTAAAATTGCTAGTGTGTGGGGGATTCTGAATACAGATGGTTTAATGTTGGAGAATCAAGAAGTTATTTGTGTTGGTTGAGAAGAAATCAGTTATACATAATAAATTATGAGTCATCAATCAAGAAAATGATAACGCTGATGCCTTACATGTCATGCAAGCTGTCGCAAAAATACCATCCACCAACATAAATTATCAGAAAACGAAACACACACCAAACTGTACTTTGGATAGCTTTGTTAGCCAAGAAGCAATTGATTGAACGGTAAATCAAGAACTATATGGATGGAATAATCACGAAAAGCTCTTCAAAATCAAGATTTCCAATATACAAAAAGGTTTCTTATTAAAAATAAGTAAAGTTCATTAAAATTCCTTTCCCCACAGAAAAACTCTACCGAGTTTTGAATAATATATTATAGCTTTTGCAGAATTTTGAATCTTGAATTAATACCATTATAGCAGTAACATTATTCTAAAAAATTATGAACTAATAGAGCTGAAAAGCAGAGACCCTCACCTGCCCTTCCTTAGCACATGAAGTTACAAATTGCTAGTAGGTAGTAGGTACTAGTATTTTGTAGTTCTAACAATTCCTTCATTACCTGCTAAAGCCATGTATTTATCCTTTCTTGTGAGACTGGTGCACTCAAACCCTAAAGTTCTGGCAATTTCACTCTGTACATAATTGGCAACTTGAAACTGTGATCTCCTGCAACCCATACATGTTTCAGAATCTTGTAACTTATCAAGAATCTTGATGAAGTATATTGGACTCGGGTTCAGAAAATGAAATATAGGGTCTAAGCATTTAAGTCCAGTGGCTGTTGATCCATAGAACATGCTTGTCTTCACGTTTATAGCAACAGGAACTATCTCATCAGTTACATCTGCAAATAATGGGCTAAACCTTAGTAGGTACGGTTCCCTGCAAGTCGTTCCTTCTGGACAAACGACAAGATCACCCTGGCTTAGCATCTTTTCCACTATTTTTCTATCTTTTTCTCGGTCTCTGGTTAATCGTACTGTTCTGATCGGAGAAATGATCTCATTGAATATGCTCATGCTATAGGTGACTGCAGTGACAGGTTTCATGAGAGCTAATGAGATATAGATTGGGTCTAGTAGGGTTCTGTGGTTACAAACATAGAGCACTCCTTTGTTTTTTGTTGTTGAGGTAAAAGTGTGTTTAGGTTTAGATATTACTGTTATTGTACCTGTTAAAGCCAGGATAGGAGATGATAATTTGAAAGGCAATAAAATGCCAACAGCCATTCTGATTATGGAGAGGAAAAGCCCAAATGGAAGCCACATGAACATGGAAATAGCGGCTAATGCAGTTGGCCTGAAACCTAATCTGCTGTCATGGAAGATAAATGGTTTTGGGTATGCTTCTCGCGGGAGGATTTTCCAATTCCTTTTCTCCGTTTCATTCAACAAATAAACTGCCTGTTGCAACATAAATGTATTTCAAATGTCACATTTAATCGTGATCCAAATGGATTTTCAGTATTGGATCCCATTTTGTCAAAATGAAAAGATAAATATATATGAGAGAGAGAGTCAACCTTGCAATGTTGAAATACTTGTTGACGAAGCCAGTTATTGGAGGAGCACCCAATGATTCCCACAGAATTCTTCTTAGCATTAGCAAGAAGCTCCTTTAAACAAGGAAAACCCACCTCTTCTTTTTCTTCTATTAAGCCTACAAAAAACCCATAAGCCACCTTCAAATCTCTACCCACTACATCCTCCACCCCGATATATTCTTTCAGGAACCCTTCAGTCATGACCTTTGGCAAGCAGCTCACTCCTATCTTCTTCTCACATCTCATAACAAGATCAAACCCTTCATACCCAACATCTTCTAAAAAGAATTTGGGCAGAATTGCTGTTCCAATCCTCAGCCTATCTTTTCTAATACCAAAAAAAGATACAAAAACCATGATCTTGAGTCCCAGCTCTTTTCCAACTAAGCAAACAAGAGGGTAAGAAAGAAGCAAGAAGAGAGCTCTTAAGAGCCCTCCAGCTTCAAATGCTACAACCATGAAGTATGGAAACAAGGAATCAGGTGATGATGATTTCAATAATGTAGCCTCAAAATCAAAAACCAATACTGTTTGTTTTGCAAGCTTTTTGAGGACAAATTTAGAAACGGGTTTGTCAAGTGTTGAATTGCTCATTTTTTGTTCTTTTAGCAACTTGAATGTGAGCCTTCAGATGGATTTAAATAATTGAGGTCTTGTTTTCAAGAGACCAAAACAAAGCTTCAGTTACAGGAAACTTCAGATTTATTTTCTACTGTGCTTACCCTGATGGGTTTCTAACTTCATAATGTTGGAGTTACGACAAAGGATACTATTTATGGAAATAATGCATTTTTAAATTTATTTTCAAGAATAATGTAGAAGTTGCAGAAGCAATATCTATAACTTGAACATGTGGATCACGTGATAGCTTGAATCTTGTTAGAAAATGACAAAGCGGTAATATTGTTCTATAAACGAGATATTTACATCCATAAATTTAATTAATTTTTGCTGATAAAAGGATTAGCCCTGATTGACTTAATAGTTGTGTAGGCAAAAAATTTTTCCATATATAAATTCGACAAATAAATTAAATAATCATATACTAAATAATTATATTGGCGTCATTCCGTTACTCTGTTGAGACAATTGAATCCATACATAACATAGACCGATTCAAGCTTACTTTTTTTAATTTTACAAAGAAAATAAATAAATGTATCTTACAGGGAAATTTATCTATTCTCTTAACATTTCTGAAGGCGAAAAATTTTATATTAAATACTTTTTTTTTATAAATCGAACTTCTAATCTTGCAGAGACTATTTTGTATATTCTTAGTAAGTTTTGAAAATGGTAATTTTTGTTGAATTTACTGATTTACAAAATATTCCATTTCAACTTCAACGTTTTAGAGTGCTTATCTCTGTCTTTAGGGGTTCATCTCTCTGTTTCCTATTGTTTTCTACTTTATGCTTATTCGATTCAAAAAGCTGCATCATAGTTGGATATTGTATTACTTTCCTATTTTCAGATGCACCCCACTTGAATATCCAATTTGCCATGGATTTGAGCTCCTGACCTTATCTAGATTGTTTATTATTATTATTATTATTATTATTATTTTAGAATTTTAAAATTAAGCTGAGGTAAAGAATCATCTCTTAATTTCCTTGCAAGTGGTTTAACGGTCTTTTCACCTTTTATTTTTTTTACCACGCTCATTGTTTTCTTAGATATTCATAATAAAATAAATAAATAAATATATTATAGCGAGTATTTGGTTGAGTGGATTTATACATCTATGATTGATAACTATAACTAACAATTATATTAGATGTGCTTAGTAAAAATTTAATTTTATAAAATAAATATTATTAAATTAATTTTTTATATGATGTTTTTTTAATTATTTTTAAAAAATAAATTAATAATTTTAATATAGTTATAAAAAATACTTCATCCGTCCTATCTTGTTTACTTGTTATTCCTTTATTGAATGTTTCAAAATATTTAAAAGGTTTTTAATTTTACATATTTAAAGAATTATTTTTTTCATAACAATCTTTATGATTATTTATTAAACGAATGACTCTTATTAATATCTTAATGAATTAAGGGTGAAAAAGAGTATAATAATTTTTATTGATAAAATTCTTAATGTGTTTATTTTATCGGATTATATAAATAAAATAGGACGGATGGAATGTTAATATTGTATAACACCAGAAAATAGAAAGTAATCTATCAATCACCGATGCTACTTCAAATTTTACCAAACAGTCAATGGATATCAATGTCCGTCAGTTTTTTTTTTTTTTTTTTTTTATAAAATAAAATAGGACGGAAATGGGGAAATGTTAATTATTGTTAACACCAGGAAAAATAGAAAGATAATCTATCAATCACCGATGCTTACTTCAAATTTTACAAAACAGGTCAATGGATATCAATTCCGTCCAGTTTTTTTTTTTTTTTTTTTCAAGAGGAAAGTCCATCAGTTTATAAACTATTTCCACCACTAAACATCAAATTGATTTGGGAATTAACCATTAATGCTTGGGATATTTATTTATTTATTTATTGCTCCAGAAAAATATATCTATATTTTTTTTTGAAATTGAATCTATAATTAGATAATAAATAGACAATTATGTACAAGATATCAAAAAAATTAAAAACTATTAATAAAAATACAAAAAAAAAATTACGGGAAAAACATTAATCAGTTTTTTTTTTTTTTTTTTTCAAGAGAAATGTCCATCAGTTTATAACTATCCACCACTAAACATCATTGATTTGAATAACCATTAATGCTTTGGGATATTTTTTATTTATTTATTGCTCCAGAAAAATTATCTATATCTTTTTTTTGAAATTGAATCTATAATAGATAATAAAAATAGACAATTATGTACAAGATTATCAAAAAAATTAAAAACTATTAATAAAAATTACAAAAAAATACGAAAACATAAAAAATTTAATCTTTTTTATTTTTCAGAGCCTTTCTTTACCGTTATTTTTTACGGCGTTCAAAGGATACATCTAATGGAATAGTACCTCAATTTTTTTTTTTTGTAACCGCCTCAATGAAAAAAAAAAGAGAATAATTTATTAAATTTTTATTAATTTTCTATATAATTAATATTTATTAATCAAAAGATAATAATAAGATTGAAAAAGGAAATAATTAATTATATTTTGATTCCAAAAGAGGCTAACCCTTATTTGAGAAAAAAATAAATTTCACAAAATTTTATAAAATTTATTTAGAAATGTATATTTTTATATTTAGAATGAAAAAAAATATATAGATTTCAATTTTAGATTTCGAATGGAGGTATGTATAGTTGCTGGTCTGTTGAAATTGTCAGGTAAATACAGTTATATGGTTCAATCTTGGATTAGAGAAATTTTTTCTTTTTTAATACATGAAAGGTTCAATGGATTGAAATAATATTATGCAGTATACATAAAATAGTAAGTACTCAAGTCCAACATCTCCTACAAGACATGAAAAAAAACTAATCAAATCACGTGCCATTGAAACTGAAACGACAATAGGTAATTGAATCAATTAATAGTCTACATTAATGAAGAAGTTATTTGTTGAGAAGAAAGCAGTTATGCATAATAAATTAGGGGTAATCGAGAAAATGATTATGCTGATGCCCTACATGTCTTGCAAGCTGTCGAGAGATACTATCCACAAAACTTTCTTTCCACTTCAATTAACCAAATCATAAATTATGACAAGACACACCAATCAGTACTTTGGATAGCTCTGTCAACTAAAAAGTAACAAAGTCAAACCTACCAATAAATTGTTAAGCAATCTGCATGAGTGCACTGCGCACACAGCAATATATTGAACTGTAAATCAAGAATTATAATCCACATGGACTGAATAATCACCCTTAAAACTCATCAAATTTGAGGTTTCCAATATACAAAAATGTTTATTAAATATGTAAAGCTCATGCAAATTCCTTTCCTCACAGAAAAAGCTCTACCTAGTTTTTCAATGTCATAGCTTTTGTAGAATTTTGATTCTAGATAATATAGGAACATCTACTAGCTGAAACCTTCAACTGTTAGTTGCAACTCGATCATAGATAACAATTGGGATCAGGGCATTTCTAGACACTTCCCTTTTTGCATAAGCTTACAAAATCTTATTTTCTTCAAATTCAAAACTAGTTAAAATAATATATCAAGAAGACTAGGAAAATTTTGATACACAACTATATGGTACAGTGTGCATGTAATTCAGCATAGACAAAACTCGGTTTAAGGAACCTTTGTGTAAAATATATCTGCTTTACCAAGAATGTTGTATGATCCTTGCTAAGCTGACAGGTAACAGTTCAACTCCTCATCGACCCACCAATGATATGACAAAGTCGCCACAAGAGAAGATTAGCAGTCCTGTATAAATATATCTACAGAGATTCCTTGGTGGGTCAACTGGTTCGTTATGAAGTTTTCTCAAGAATGATACACCAATTTGATTTATCAAAAAATCGATCAACTACAACTACATTGTTCATTCCTATTACCAACCTGCAAAAAAGATATGAAAAGATCAAATAAGAGAATAAGTTATCACTTAAAACTAAAAAATGTTGGAAAATAAGACAGGATTTTAGGGGAAAAAAAAAAAAAAGCATTACATTTGCATAACCAAATTATTGTAACAGGGATAACAACACTGCATATTAGTTTACTTGGCTTAATAATCACGGCAGCAGTGCAAGAAGAAACAGCATAATGAAGAATATGTGTTCAAAGCATTTCAAATTACATAGCTATATATAATATATAACATATGTTACCTGTCAAGTTCGCCTTCACTGAACACATGGTAATATCTGTTGTATATCACAGCACCCTTTTTATCATCTTTTTTTGCCAGGCCGCTTTCAAGGGCACAAGCAGATGCACCACTTACTTCAGCACGGTGATATGGCAAATGCCAAGGAACAAAATATTCCTGTTGATTATTTGCATTTTTCTCATCTTTACCAATGCCATCCATTTCAGTTTGAGAGGTTAAATGCGTCATTTTCTTTAATTCCTTGTCTGCCTTCTCCTTGGAATCTTTTACATGGTCTTTAGAATTATTCTCCTCTATTTCTGGGATGCTTTCTAAAGTGATAGATGAAGGGCTTCGGACACGAGGACTACCTGGTCCTATCCACTCTTCTAGGTACCTTTGAGTGAGAGGAGTCCATTTGGTAACTAATGACCCATCTTCCTGTTCTACTGCCCAAACAGTTATCAGTACCAGCCCGCCCTTTTTGACAACTCGGACTAATTCTTCAATTGCCTTCTTCCTCCTATTCTCTGTACTTAGGTGATGTAGCACTGCTATGGAAATTGCAGCATCTCCAAAACCAGTTCTGTAAGGAAGATTTACTGCATCCCCAACCAGAACTTCATGTCCTCTATCTGCACAAATTTTGATAAGGGGTGCACTTATATCACATCCTATGAAAAAGCAATCAGGATTTAAACCCAAGTATTTTCCATTTCCACATCCTGCATCCAATATGAGAGATCCGGAAGGCAATGAGTTCAGAAAGGTTGCTACCTTCGGCCACTTGGCAAACCTGGTGGAACTAAAGTGGGGTGCTATAGCATCATAAACACGATGCACATACTTCCTTTCAATTTCAGGGGTGGATTGAACACTGCAAGACAAACACTTTTGCTCTTCACACTCTGATACAGATTGTTGGATCTGAGATTCTCCATCAAATGCATGAGAAAACAAGCCAGACGAACCTTTCACTTTGATTTTTCTCATATTTCTGAAAATTTGAGAATGACAGACACTGCCAACTGCAAGAATCGATAAAGTGAAGGCCTCCAAAAATGTCTTACTCAATCTACCCACTCTGGAAAAATTAAAGACCATCAGCTTGAAGCATACATTCTAGCCAGAAATGACCCTGTGCAAGGCCAAAAATTTAATCAGGGTGATATCATATATATTGAAAACTTACAAAGTAATTGTCCAGGAACATGAATGTACTACTCACATGCAGGAAACAGTTTTCCTTAATAAATACCAAGTAACAAGCTAATGTAGACCTTAAATTCGAATGTACTAATATCAGCATTACACAATCAAAATTGGGAAAACAACAGAGGGAGTTTCACACGTAGAAAAGGCAAGTAGAATAAAAATGAAGTATTAAACATGAATAAGCAAATGAATTGGAAAAGGACTTTGGTGCTAGAAATTTCCTTGATAGTTCTCATACATTGTAAGCTCAAAAACGCGGATACACGACTCACATGATAAAATAATCAATCACCCACATTGGTGTACAGTAGAAATTTCTCTATTCCCAATTATGGCAAACGAAGATTAACAAGGATTAGGGTTTCCCCGCAAATTTTTATTTCTACTTTCTTAGTGAATTATATTTGTGAACATAAATTAAAAGATGAATATACAGAAATCAAATACATGAAGCGTTACAGTGCCTACCTGATTGAACAGTCTTTGACGACTCTTGAAATGACGGTCAGAATACGGCGCCTAAACTAGGGTTTTAGAACAGTGGCAGAGACAGAGGGAGGGGTTTAGTTATGGAGGAAAAGAAACAGAAGAAGATAGAGAGTAGACAGACTTATGATAAGGAAAATGAGCTCGTTTCCTATTGGGCATCACAATGTTATGACCCGCTCCTGCAGGCCCAAAGGCTTTTTCCTTGCTACTGAGCATACTTTGGTTTAGCCCAATACTCGAAAAGAAAAGATGATATTTCATGTTCGGTTCGGTTTGAATTTTCCCCACAAAATTAGTTCAGTTCAATATTTTAAAAAATACATTCCAACATTCTATCTTCCAAAAACAAAAATCACAAAGTCAGGCATTCCTACTTCACCTATATAAAGAGCAAAGGTTTAAAATTTTATTTTTACCCTGAAAAAAAAATTCTAACTTTCATTAGAAAAATTTAGTTTGGCCCCCTCAAAATATTTTATTATTGACTGGGAAAGTCAGGAATCCACCATTGAAAAGTAAAATTCATAAGCCAATCAAAAAGAAAAATTATTGTTTTCTAGGTGAAGAAATGTGTTATTGATGGTGATGTTGTATGTGGAAAATAAGCTTTGGCAAAAACGTTTTGAGCTGGTGTTCTACAGTAAATTTCTATTGCTACTATAAATAAAAAGGACTTTATTTAAAGTTTTTTGCAACATTCATTCCCCCTTTCCCATAAATACTTAATTATTCTTTTTTATCGATGGCTATTGTTGATATAGTTTCCAAACGTGCTTCTTCAAATTGGTGTCCCCTACATTATGTGTAAGCAATACATTGATGATTGTGATTTTGGATGATGGAACATGTATAATTTGTTGTCTGTTTTTGGAAAAAGGTAGCTATCAAGTTTGGAAAATATTTTTCCATTCATCACTAATTATAAGCTATCATTAAAAAAAAAAAAAATACAGATAGGATTGGTTTGAGTAGAAAGGATTCAGATCTTTCAAATAATAGGTCAAGTGTTTGATCTTTATGAATGGAGAAAATTTCAACTATAAATGCTTCCCTTTTATGGATTTGACATAGAGCCAATGATTAAGGTTAACTCAACGGGCTAGAAACACCTATAGTATAAAAAAAAAAATGTTATTCATTTACTATTTTTTTTCTCTAATAAAATTTGTCATCTTTAATTACTTTTTGTCAAGAAATCAGTGAATCAGTATGCTCGTTTGCTTAATAAGGCAACTGTTTCTTTATCTGATTCTCTGTATTGAAATTTTGTCCAACCAATTTTCTAACTCTAATAAATACTCCAACCTAAAAATTAAAAAGAAAATTGCTTGTTGTTGGTGTGAAAATTTTCTTTTACATCAAATGGATTTTGTTATTGTAAAATATTTCATCTCAGTATTAGAATCTCTTATTCCATATCAATTAGGATTTAGTACATTAATATATGTTCTTAATTAGATCTTAAGATCGCTCGAATAATAAATTTAATCTCTGTGTATATAAATCGACTTTAACATTATCTTTCATTTGTGAAAAAAATATAAATATTTTTGTGACTTTTGAGTTATAAATAGTAAAAATAATATTTTGGGTTGGAGTTAATAGACATAACAATAAAATTCCTAGTGTTTGTGACGTGCAATAGCAATATTTGAGGTTCAACTTATAACACACAACAATTAATTCCAAGTGTTTGATGTGAAGTGAAATAGCTTTCTATATATTACGAAACTTCTTTTCCTTTATTAAGCTTCTTGCAGCAGCCGGCAGCCGGTTTCCAAGTGCATTTTTGAAGAGTTGGCCATGTCACCACGTGACTTCTATTTTATTTCTCGAAGTTTAAAAACTTGCTTAAATCTAATTTATGGATTTATTTATGAATTAAATTAATAAATAAAGATTTTTTTTATATTATTTTATTTTTTTTTTCAGTGAATGGTCAAAAATATTATCGTTTTAATAAAGTTTTAAGTTTTATTAATTTGATTCATGAGTTGTTATATAAACCGGATGCACATAAAACAATTCTAGCTATCTATCTATTAGTATTTCAACATGTATTTGGTATTAAATTTCAATACGTATTAGGACTAATGATGTTAGAGCTGCACATGATTAGGTAATCATGATCAAGTGGCTAAGAAACATCGCATAAGTTCAAGGAAATGACGAAATGCCCTGCAATATGGTTTTTTTTTTTTTTTTTTTTTTTGTTTTATTAATTTGATTCATGATGTTGTTATAATAAAACCCGGATGCACAAAACCCAAATTCTAGCTAAATCTATCTATTAGTATTTAACATGTATTTGGTATTTAAAATTTCAATACGTATTAGGACTTAATTGATTAGAGCTTGCACATGATTAGGTAATCATGATCAAGGTTGAGCTAAAGAAACATCGCATAAGTCAAGGGAAAATGGACCGAAAATGCCCTGAAAATATGGTTTTTTTTTTTTTTTTTTTTTGAAAAATCTGCTTTTTTTTTTTTTTTTTTTTTTGAAAATCTGCAACATGAGTTTTTCCAATGTCAAGATGATTTTTTTTTTAAATAAAAAAAATGTCAAGTATATTCTCTTAGAGGTAGGTAGTGTGGAAAATATTTTCTGTCACTAAATAATTAATTTACAACTCACAATTATTCTTTCATGAAAGCATCTACATTTGAATTTAGACCCAAAAAAAATTACGAAATAAAATTAATTGGAATTGGTGGAATTGCATGTGTACATAGCTTGATTTCACATCTATCTTCACTTTTCTAGGAACTAACGTGGAAAACTCTTGTTATCCACAGCTGAATTGTTTGGCCCCGTCTTTCCTTCCTTGACTCATTATTAATTGTCAAGTCCATATATATATATATATATATTGATAGATAGCATTCTGAAAATTTCAATTTTTATGTGCAAGAACTCTCTCTTTTCAATATCATCGTTCCATTTTAGACACTAAAACAAAATCCTCATATCAAGAAAGAAATTATGTATTCTCAAATGTCATTTTACATTTGCAGACCTAATCTAGTTTTACTGCAACCAAAAACAAATTGGTCGTCCAGGTTAAGCATGCTAATTAATATTCATTACAGCAAATTATTTCTAATTTCTTTTCTCTTTTATATATTATATATATATGATATTTATGTTGATAATTTATTTTCTTGGGTAATTTGCAGTTCCACGGCTGATGGCAAAAGAATTGGTAAGTCCATTATATATAACAAATGGATTTTCAGAATTGTTTACATATATTGAAATTAATTTAACTTGTTTGATGTTAAAATTTGATGCCTTTGCATGCAAGATATTTTAACTCATAGCTTAAATATTAATTAGTCTTAGTTAATTAATCAGTATGATGAAATTAATAAAATTTGATCTGACAGGTCATAGTACTCAAGTTCCACGGAATGTTAATATGGAGAGTCTTAAAAGTGGATATTTGTTTCCTGAGGTATGTATACGTGTGGATTTGGACAAAAAAAAAAAAAAAAAATTTGGGGACAAAAAAAAAAAAAAAAAAAGAACTCTCAAAAAAAAAATAAATCATTAATTAATTATTTCATTTTATTGGAATAATTAAATTGCTAGGTCTAAAATTTCAATTTTTCTTGGGGATTAATTAATTTCATGAATTGGGTTTCTTGTGTTAAAAAAAAAAAAAAAAAAAAGAACTCTCAAAAAAATAAATCATTAATTAATTATTTCATTTTATGAATAATTAAATTGCTAGGTCTAAAATTTCATTTTTCTTGGGATTAATTAATTTCATGAATTGGGTTTCTTGTGTAATTAAATAGATATCCATTCGAGAGTTTGAACATATGCAGAAGAGGCCACATGCAAGGTTGATAAGACTTGGTATTGGTGATACCACTCAACCTATACCAGAAATCATAACATCCGCTATGGCTGAGGTGATAATGCCAACTCTACTGTATAATAGATATCCATCAGGCTGTCTATTATAGCTCCATCCGTAGAACAAATGTTATTCCAAGTCGTTCTAAAGTTTAGTTTGTTTTTCCAATATTTTATTCCAAGGGTCAAAGAAAAATATTTTGGCCTTTCTAATATTTTAAACGGTGCTATGATCCTATTTGAAATTGAAATTTAACCAAAACGGTTTAGTTTTTAACCAAATCAAAAAATGATATAAAATATTTTAATTCGAATCAAACTAAAATCAATGGTTCCATGAATTGAAACTGATCGCGATTCTAAATAATTTATTAAATCTTTCAGGGAAAATATTGTCCTATAAGTTTCCTTAAAGCATAAAATTAATATCAATAATTCCTTTAAAAAAATTAATATCAATAAAAACTCTTTCCACTTAAATTGGAAGTGGAAATTAATATTTTCTTGTTTGGTTTTGTTTGGCAGCACGCATATGCTTTATCAACTCTTCAAGGTTATAAAGGTTATGGAGCTGAACAGGGCAACATGGTAATAAAGTACAAAGCTACATACTAATTTTAGTGCTTCTTTTATATATTTAAATTAATCTGAGAATTCAATTTTCCTAAACAGGACTTAAGAATGGCAATTGCAGAAAGATTTTACAAAGATATGGGTATAAAAGGTCAGGAGATTTTTGTATCAGATGGGGCACAGGCTGACATTTCTCGCCTTCAGGTTACCATTTTACTATATTTACAGCCATTAATTGTAGCAATTAAGCACAAATTTCACTTGATCTTGTAAATCCTGACTTAGCGTTTACTTTCCTGATGACAGATGCTTCTGGGATCCAATGTCACAGTGGCGGTGCAGGACCCATCTTTTCCGGTAATGTTAATTATATAAGTGAAAACAACATTAGTAACATTAGGTTTAATAGTATGCTTTTGAAACAGGGTTATATAGATTCCAGTGTAATTATTGGTCAAGCTGGAAAGTATGAAGAGGAGACTGGAATTTACAAAAAAATTGTGTACATAAACTGTGGATCTGAGAATAATTTTTTTCCTGATTTATCAAACACTTCAAGAACACAGATAATTTTCTTCTGCTCTCCAAACAATCCAACTGGTAATGCAGCGTCATGGGATCAATTAAAGCAACTGGTGGATTTTGCAAAGAGAAATGGGTCTATAATTGTTTATGACTCTGCGTATGCTGCTTATATAACAGATGAAAGCCCAAGATCAATTTTTGAAATTCCCGGTGCCAAAGAGGTTAATTATTTAAACTTAATTATAACATAATATATGTAAGCATTTCCTTTGTGTGATTTTGATTTGGGATTTTGCAGGTTGCTATTGAAATTTCATCTTTCTCAAAATTTGCTGGATTCACAGGAGTCAGACTTGGTTGGACAGTTGTTCCTGAAGAACTGTTATATTCTAATGGATTTCCTGTGATAAAGGATTTTAATCGCATTGTTTGCACCTGTTTTAATGGTGCTTCAAATATTGTTCAGGCTGGAGGTCTAGCTTGCCTTTCTAATGAGGGTTACAAGGTATTATTTCCATTTTGCCTAGTAGTGCAACTTGATGTAGATATTATGTTCTAGTGCTGACACAGTTTATTATGTTCCAAATATATTTGTTTTAGGCAGTGAACAGTGTGGTCAACTACTACAAGGAGAACGCTAAAATACTGGTTGAAGCATTTCAATCACTAGGACTGAAAGTCTATGGAGGAAAAAATGCCCCTTACATATGGGTACATTTTCCAGGAATGAATTCTTGGGATGTATTTAATGAAATTCTCGAAAAAACAGATATAGTAACTGTTCCAGGCAGGGGATTTGGACCCGGTGGTGAAGGGTATATCAGAATTAGTGCATTTGGACATAGAAAAAGTATACTGGAAGCTTCCGCGAGGCTGACAAAATTATTTAACTAATTTGATTATAGACCAAAAGTTAATCGATTAGATGATGTATGATCCAATAATCCAGTTATGAACTGCTTACTTCTTTCTTTATAATAATGTCCACAAAGTTTTTTGAAAGGAAAAAAAAATTTGAAAATGTCAAAATTAGAAAAAAAATATAATAGATACAATCTTTTATTTTTCCTCTCTTCCAAATTAACCGTGTGAAATTATTATTTCTTCTCCATATATGTTTATCTGTTGTTGATTTGTGCTTTTAATATATCCCATAAAAAGTGTTTTTTTTTTTTTTTCTTCATGGTATTACAACTTTGCGGAGACCTGTGTTTTTGGTAAATAGTCGCCGGGGCCTGATCACTGCGACCCCTTTGTGAGAAAGCACCCCATCTCTGTTATTTTACCAAGTTCTTTAGAGAGAGTTGTCTCATGCCCCTAGGTGTTCTCTACCTACCCACCTGTGTCGGTTTCGGGTACAAGTATCCTTGTTGAAAGTCGTTCAAGCTTTTTCTGAGAGTATGACATAGATTACTTCAGCACCGTAGCGATTGGCACTCGAACATTGGATCAAGACATTTTCTCTACCCCTTCTTACCTTAAAAAAGCAGGGAAGAAGGAGAACTAAAACAAACTAATGAAGATAAATTATTCCAGTAATATTATGATCAAGTCGATAATTTACCAGAGTGATATTTAAGTAAACTCTCCCCCGTAATGAACACACACAATTTTAAATTTTGACTTTTAGATATAAAATTTTGCTGTAGAGGAAAATAACTTTAAAATATTGTTTCACAACTTTAAAATTTTAATACTCAGGCTATATAAAATTATTTTTGAAAACAAATTGTAAAGATATCTTAACTTAGTTGACTCGTTAGCTCAATAAGGGAATGCCACACTTTATAAAAGTGATGTTGATTTCAAGCAAACCACCATCGTCCCATGAACAAATATGTGGAGTCCAAATACGACCACAAAATTAATATAATACGACGCTAAGATTTGTTCCTTTTTACATCAATAATTCATTAAAAAAAAATTCCATATTTTACACATACGTCAATTCCCATCATCGACAATTAATAATAAATATAATTATCTCAGTGCCTTGGACACCAATCCAATAATAATTTAACCCCTTAACCAATACTACCACTTCACTGTCTTACACGTATACGTCTCCCTTTTATTAAGTTTCTTGGCCATTTCTCAGCCTGATGAGCCACCAACCATTTCTATTTTCCAAATTTAAAATAGTAATACAATAATTGATTATTTTTCTAAATTATAATAAAAATAGTTATTATATTTAAAATAAATAAAGTGAATTTTATTAATTAATCGTAGATAAATTTTTTTTAAAATGATTTATATTTATGGACAAAAAGATTATGCTAAAACGTATATTGATGGAGAGAAAATATTAAAAAATATATAATTACTCAAAAGATCTAATATGTTATAAGTAGAGACTTATTAGACCACTAATTAATTAATCATCATTATCTTTTTTTTTTTCCTTAAATTTCCTTGTTTCCCAAGGCAGGCCATGCCTATAAAATTAGATGCCATGACCCTCAAATACAACTAACTCACACACTGCTTCAGTTCGCTTGCATATTTTTAGGGCATATACATCTGTACAAATGGCAACTCCTGGGTATTGTCTAGCAGAAGCATATGTGCAGAAAAAATTACATAAAGAGAAATTGAAAAGAATGGAAGAGGAAAGAGCTAAAGTAGAGGGTTTGGAAGTTGCAGTGAAAGAATCCAAAGGTTGTTTCTCATCAATGATAAAGAAAATACATCCAGCTCAATCTGTGTCAGCCCAAGGCCAGGCTGGAAAGGAAGTAGAGAGATTGGATTATAAGGGGTGAATGGAATCAATTTGTCTGATATAAATGTTTATATATATATATAGATGCTTTTATATAGTAATTAGCTTTGGTTTTATTTTTGTTTTCGTTTTATGGAATGCAAGTTATGTAAGTTGGTGGTGTTGTGTTGTTGCCAGAGACTTTAGTGTGGTTCTTGTATGTTCTTTCTACTTTTTTTTTTTTTTTTTTTTTTTTCGTTTTTATGGAATGGCAAACGTTATGAAGTTGGTGCGTGTTGTGTTGTTGCCAGAGACTTTAGTGTGGTTCTTGCTATGTTCTTTCTACTTTTTTTTTTTTTTTTTTTTTTTAATTCTTTTTTTTTTTTTTTTTTTTTTAATTCTTTGATTTGTCAAAGCTATTAAATTTTAATTCGTAATCATGTTTATATCAAAGTTACACAATATTCTTTTAAAAAAAAAGGTTACAAAATATACTTTTTTTTTTTTTAAAGAATCAAATGAAATACTTTTAAAAACGAAGAAATAGAATTAGCTAAGATTGTTAATAGATTAGGAAACTTCCTCTATCCAAATTAGCTCTTCAGCACTAAGAGTAGAGCTTTTTTGCAAGGGCATAGCCACTTGATTTTCTATTGTATAAACATAAGAGCAACTGAAAAAATGAAAAAGAGCTTGCCACCATCTTCACTCTTAGCAACTTTGTATCCAATTCTATTGATGGCATCTCATTCCTTTGCAGCCTCTAAATCAGAGATAAGCAATCTCAAGTAGAATGTGAGAGAATCCCAACTCCATACATCTGTTTAGCGCAAAAGGAGCAGCTCAGCTTCTGCCTCCTCAGGATTAAGGTTTGTCGATACCTTTTGCTCACTTGCTGCCATAACCTGTCCATTGTAGTCGAGAGTTATCATTCCCAACCTGCAGACACCGTTATCGGCCAAGGCATCTTCTGAATTTGCCTTCACTACACCACCCATTGGAGGGTCCATGACCTGTTCAAAGTTAAAATCGGAGATTTTCACTATTAGAATGAACATTATTTACTTGAAAATCCTCTAGAAGGTATAAAGCTTGATGGACTATTTCAAGCTCAGACAATACCCTTTCATTGAAAAACAAAAACCGTTTAATATTATTATCATGAATTTTTTTAGTTTATACATGGGATTCTTTTAAAACCGTTTTTTCTTTTTTGATTTTTTTAATCCATGAATTTTGTTATTTGCGAATTCAAAATTTTATATTTAATTTTTCTAAAACTTTAATTAATTTTACATTAAACGGATTTTCATCAAATAGTAAATAAGTAATACTAATCAATAAGAGTATTCTAAATAATTTTACAAAAGATATGAGTAATTCAAAATTAGTGGATATTCTAAAAGATATATACAAATAGTATAATTATTAATAAGTTTAAATAAAAATATTTCTAAAAAAAATTTAAATGTGGTTATTATGAATATGAATGTATTCAAATCTATGTATATATAATCCTGAAGTAAAAAAAATAAATTCTACAAAACTGACTTGACATTCTATCTTTTAAGCTTTCTTTTTTATGTTTTTTTATAAATTTTCTGATTTTTCTAATAACTTTTTGAATATTTTCTTTTTTTCTTTTATAAATTTAATCTAATATAATATTTAGTAAGTGGATAAAATCTAAGTTAACTAAATTTTGAAATCTAAGTTAAATTTAATTTTGAAATCTAATCTTTTCCCTTATTAGCAATCAACTATTTCCCTTTTTATTTTTATTTCTCTTATGAGAGGGTGGCATTTTATTGAAAATTTATAGACTATGTACATTTAATTTTTTGTATTTAGGTGCTCGTACTCTTTTATTCAAGTTCTTGCTTCTTTCTGTATTCAGGTGCTCTTTTATGTCTTTCTACCTTTTTTTAAACCATTGATAAATCAATTAAATCTGCAAGAGCCTAAAATTTTACTTCCTACCAAAGTGGAGTGAAAATTAAATTTAAATAATGTAAAATAAATTTATTTTACACCTTCTTAACATTTCAATTCAAATCAAATAAAAACTTTTAAAATTTTCAATGCATTTTCACTTTTTTTTTTTTTTATTTAACATCCACCCATATTTTATAACATCCAAATAAAGCATAAATGTCATTGCTGACACACAAGTAACTTGATTTTCATGAACAGAGCCAAGTGTCGCGATGTCCAAGCTGGCCAGTGCATGAAAAATGCCACACATTTGCTGACGTCATGTACCGTCTAAAAGTATGTTTTCAGTGCCTTTAATGCATTTTTTCGTACATCATATGTATTCACTTCACACCCTGACTTATTCCCATTTTAGCCAATTATTAATTAAAAATCCTCAAATATTGAATTAATTATTCTGAAATTAATAAATTAACGAGATTACTATAGTCATTTTCACGGTAAAATTAACCCGGTTTAAAATTCTACTATAGTTTTTTTCAATTTATTAAAATATTTAATAAACCCAGATAATATTTAGTGCAGAGCCATGAATTAAAGTTAAGAGTTTAAAAAAATTTCAAGAGTTAAGGGTGAAATTAAAAAAATTTTCTATTTTAGTAGTAAAATAAAAAAATTTTAATATTTTATGAGTAATTTTTTTTTAAGGAAAAAAATTTGTTAGGGAGGGCGGACTACCCTAAACGTCATCTTTTTTTTATTTACAAAATTAATAAAAACTCTTGTATTAGAGGATTCAAATTTTTAGAAACATTTTCTTATAAATCTTATTTTCTTAAAACATGAAATAAATATTGGATTGTTAAATTACTAAAAGTTGAATTTTTTGATTTTTTTTTCTAAATAACAGAAAATCTGAAGAAGATGCTTCGAAATTGCAGAAAATTTAAAGCAGGTGCTTCTAAATTTCTAGTGATGCTTCCCTGTACATTTCATAGGACAAAAAAAGTCATTCTTGACATCCAAGAAAATTTCATTTTCATCAAGAAAAAAAAGGGTCCACAGAAAGGAGAAAGTCCAAGAAAGTTGGCTACCATCATCCAATGCACCGTACTCCAAAATGCCACATCTTTGCTTACGCAATCCACCGTCCATAATTTTTCTGTAACGCCTAATCTCATGTTTAATGCATGATTAATGCACATAAACACCATAAAAAGCAGTTTCTTGGAAATCAAGCAAAAAGAGAGTCAACTCTCTTTGAATTCTAAAATCTTGGCCAAGTTCACATTATATATAGAGAGTTGAGGAAGCCTGTAGAAGTAATCATCTTCATTTCCACCAACGCTATCTTGAGTTTCAGACAAGTGAGTTTCTTTTATATATTTGATTTGATTTCTTGGAGATATGGCAACAGGAGCTGCTTTTGGAGGGTCTACTTTAGCAGAAGCTTACACCATGAGAAAGCTTCATCAAGAAAAAATGAAGAAATTAGAAGCAGCACAGAAAGGAATGGTAGCTAATGAGAAAGAAGAAGACAAGTCTGCTAATTGCAATACTGGCTCTGGCTGCTTTTTTGGAGTTTTCAAGAAAGGCCATTCTGCCAAAATCTCATCTTTGGATCATCAAGAAAAGCAACCTTACATGTAGCCTGTATATATTATAGGTTGAAGAAGAGATATGTTTTATATTATATATATCATAATTCTTACTGGCTCTGGCTGCTTTTTTGGAGTTTTCAAGAAAGCGCCATTCTGCCAAATCCTTCATCTTTGGAGCATTCAAGCTTTGGATCATCAAGAAAAGCAACCTTACATGTAGCCTGTATATATTATAGGTTGAAGAAGAGATATGTTTTATATTATATATATCATAATTCTTTTTTTTTTTTTTTTTTTCCCCTGGAATCTTAGAGTGAGGTTTATGGATATCTTGGAAGAAATCAGTATTTTGTTATTTCTATTTTGTAATATATATTATGTATAATATTCGATAAAATTTAATTCTTATTTTTTGTGTTATATGTTTTTGTCATATTGATTGAATGTGTAGTTTAAGTATGCCTTTGTCTTTTTTTTTTTTTTTTTTTTTTTTTTTTTTTTTTGATTAATTTTCACAACATTGAGAAATTAGAGATGATAATTTCACAACATTGAGAAATTAGGGATATGCAATTTTTCTTGAAAAGTGGTAATCCTATCCAAAAGGATTTGGGCCCAAATCATCCAAAAGTGAAAAACCTTTTTTGTTTAAATATTAATATTCTACTGCAAAAGCCCAAGATAGATCCAGTAATCAATTGCATTCTGAGAGAACCTTCAGAGAGAGTTTAGAGAGTAAAATTACAGAACAGACTTCACAATTAAATGAGAAGGATTGTCAGTTGCTTCATCTCGAGAAATCAATGTCAGATTTAGAATCAGAGCAATCGAGAGTTTGCATCCATTTGTCTCACTATGAGGACAGTCTTAAAAGTGCTCGAGAAGAGTGCTCTTCAATTTCTGGACTTGAAAATGAGTTATGCGAAATGCATGAACTTTTAGTAGCTGCAGATATCAGACTGGTTTTGCAGCTTTGCACCTCAGGTAGGCATCTTGCTGAACTTCAGAAGAAGCATCATGATGTAGAAACAACCCTAAATCGTTGTCTTGCCAGTGAAGCCCAGTACATTGAAGAGAATACCAAGTTATTGAGAAGTCTTAATTCCACAAGATCTGAGATAGAGGCATCTATGGCTGAAAATAGGTTACTTCTTGAGGCAAACAGAGTTACAACAGCTGACCTTGAGGAGCACAAGTGTCAAGCTCAAAATGTTAGGCTTAATAATTCTGAGGATAAAAATGACCATTCTACGGAGACTGAAAAGCTGAAGCACACTTTAGTGAGTTCTGAAGAGGAGATTGATAATCTGGTCTTCTCCAAGGAAGAACTAGAAGTAAAAGCTCTAGTACTCAAGGCCAAATTGGAAGAACAACAGGATCATATAATTGCAATGGAAGGATATTCTAATGAGTTAATAATGCTGAAAAAACAGTGTAATGAGCTAAACCAGAAGCTTGCTGAACAGATTTTGAAGACAGAAGAATTTAGAAGTTTGTCTGTCCATTTGAAGGAACTTAAAGATAAAGCTGATGCGGAGTATATCCAGGCTCATGAAAAAAGAGAACTTGAAGCACCACCAGTTGCCATGCAAGAGTCCTTGAGAATTGCATTTATCAAAGAGCAATATGAGACAAGGCTACAAGAACTGAAACAGCAGCTATCTATCTCCAAAAAGCATAGTGAAGAAATGTTGTGGAAGTTGCAAGATGCCATCACTACACCACCCATTGGAGGGACCATGACCTTTTCAAAGTTAAAATCGGAGATTTTCACTATTAGAATGAACATTATTTACTTGAAAATCCTTTAGAAGGTATAAAGCTTGATGGACTATTTCAAGCTCAGACAATACCCTTTCATTGAAAAACAAAAACATTCCTCGCTCTTCAAGCTGACCGACCACGCCATTATGAAAATCACCTCCAGCTGCTCTTTTGCCAACTCCACTGTCTTCTCTTTGAACCATTCTTTGAAGCTACCTATATTCTCATCCATACTTCTAAAATACAGCTTATTTTAATGTTTGTGATTGCTATCTCAAAGTTTTAAAAGCTAAAGTTAATCTTAACTCGAGAAAAAGTTTTATTGTGAATAGTAAGGTTCTTTAAATTTATAAATCAATATGCATACTTTTTACGAAAACTTAAACGGAAAAAAATAAAAATTAAAAGGTCATATTATCAAAGAATTTGTAAAGCAATTTTCTTTTTATTTCTGAAGCTTAGAGTTCCAACTCTTCTTAGACTGGTTCTCTATTCTAATTCGGTGAAATTAATTTATTTATGAAATTAATTTATTTATGATGAATACAGATATTAAAATTTACAGTATAAACTTAAAACTAGTTAGAGACATTCATTATTGGAGATTCATTGTACATGTTAATATTATTATCATGAATTTTTTTAGTTTATACATGGGATTCTTTAAAACTATTTTTTCTTTTTAGATTTTTTTAATCCATGAATTTTGTTATTTGCGAATTCAAAATTTTATATTTAATTTTTCTAAAACTTTCATTAATTTTACATTAAACGGATTTTCATCAAATAGTAAATAAGTAATACTAATCAATAAGAGTATTCTAAATAATTTTACAAAAGATACGAGTAATTCAAAATTAGTGGTTATTCTAAAAGATATATACAGATAGTATAATTATTAATAAGTTTAAATAAAAATATTTCTAAAAAAAAATTAAATGTGGTTATAATGAATATGAATGTATTCAAATCTATGTATATATAATCCTGAAGCAAAAAAAAATAAACTTTACAAAACTGACTTGGTATTCTATCTTTTGAGCTTTCCTTTTTATCTTTTTTTTATAAATTTTCTGATTTTTTTAATAACTTTTTGAATATTTTCTTTTTTCTTTTATAAATTTAATCTAATCTAATATTTAGTGAGTGAATAAAATCTAAGTTAATTCAATTTTGAAATCTAAGTTAAATTTAATTTTGAAATCTAATCTTATCCCTTATTACTAATCTTTATTCCCTTATTAGCAATCAACTATTTCCCTTTTTCATTATTATTTCTCCTATAAGAGAAAAGGTGGCATTTTTATTGAAAAATTTATAGACTATGTAGTTTAATTTTTTGTATCAGGTGCTCGTACTCTTTTATTCTTTCTTACTTCTTTTCCTGTATTCAAGTGCTCGTACTCTTTTATTTTTTCCCCTGCTTTCTTTCTTTTACTTCTTTCTTCCTTTTTTTTAAACTATGATAAATCAACTTAAATCTGCAAGAGGTAAAAGGCTTACTTCCTACCAAAAATTGGAGTGAAAATTTAAATTTAAATAATTTGTAAAATAAATTATTAATTTTATTACCCACTTCTCATTTCAATTCAAATCAAATAAAAAATTTTAAAATTTTCAAATTTGCATTATGGAAATAATATAAATCATTAAAATAATTTATAAATTATAAATAAATTGTAAAATTATTATATAAACTATAAGTTAATGTATAGCAAACAAACAATCCGCACAGTTGCCCGAGCCTTCACCTATTAAATAAATGTGGTATGATATGAATTTTTTTTTATTCATTGGCAAAGTTCTCAGTGGATCGAGATAAATATACATAAGTTACAACAACAAAGGAAAATAATCCCCCCTTTTGATTCACCAAATTAGGGAAAAATTTTGTGGACGAGAGAATTTGAGCTCCGGGGAGCTTATTTAACCAACACTATGAGAAACCAATTTAAACCGTAGCTCATTTGGCAAATACTTTTTTTATTTTTCTTTTTTTCTTTGAAACAATGGCATATATGGAATTAGTAAAAATTAGCAAAAACACTCAAATGAAAAGCTTTAATGTCGTGTTAGAAAGAAGGAAAAGAAAGTAAAAATAAGAGCGTAAAATTTAACTTTCCGCCCAAAAATGGAGTATGAAAATTAAATTTAAATAATCGTAAAATATAAAAATTTATTTTAACACCCTTCTTAACATTTCAATTTAAATCAAATAAAAAATTTGTGAAAATTTTCCTATTTTTGATTTCGTTTCTTCAATGCATTTCACTTTTTTTTTTTTTTTTTTTTTTTTTTACATTACACCTATATTTTATAAAGCATCCAATTAAAGCATAAATTGTCATATGCTGACACACAGCCAGTGCATGAAAAGAAATGCACAACATATTTGATGCTGACGTCATGTACCGTCTAAAAGGTTAGTTTCAGTGCCTATTACATTCTTACGGTACAATCATATGTATTTCACTTCACACCCTCCATTTATTCCGATACTAGCAATATTAATTTAAAAAGTCCCCTCAAATATTGAATTAATTAATACTGAAATTAATAAAATTAAAACGAATTACTTAGTCATTTCATGGTAAAATTAACCCGGTTTTAAAATTCATACTATAGTTTTTTTTTTTTTTTAAATTTATTTTAAACAATATTTAATTAAACCGAGGATAAATATTTCGGTGCAGCAGCCCATTAAATTAAAGTTAAGGAGAAGGGATTAAAAAAAAAATTTCAAGAATCGTTTAAGGGCAAGAAAAATTGAAAAAAAAATTTATATATTTTAGTTAAGTTAAAATAAAAATTCTTTAATATTGTTATGGGTTTATTTTTTTTTAAAAGAAAATAAAATGTAATAGGGAGGCAGATTAACCCTATACGTCATCTTTTTTACTTACAAAAGGTTGATGAGAATAAAAACTGTTCTGTACCGAGAGAATTTTCTCAAATTTCAATGTCATGTGTATTAT